AGCCGTTTCGACCGATAATGAATAGTTCTGACACAAAAAAATCCCAAATTTGAAAATTTTCGATTCTGAACACCCTATATCTCTGTAATCAGCTCCGCTAGACCCCAAGTGTGATGCATTGATGAAATCAGCTCTTCAGGAAAAATTTTAAAATACAATAATATACAGGGTGTCCCATTCAAAAACACACATCATCAGCCGATATCTTGGAATTCGAACATCCTATAGATATGAAAATAATTTTAGGTAATAGCTCTCATGAAATTCAATAACTGTTGTATACAAATTTTTTTTATATACCTGACGGTTTGGCTAATATCGAAGGAGAATACACTATTGACTCACCCTGTATACATTATTCTTAACATTTTGAAAATCGATACGATTCCATTAAATTCCATGCGTTGAAGAATAGTATACCAGATTTTGAATAGTTTCGTATACCTATAAATGAGTCTCCAAATTGGGAATGTTTTTGCAACTCAGTTCAATACCTATTTCTAGTACCTCTGTATAAGTTAACAAAGCGAATTATTCTATCTTGAATGAATACGGAATTTTGAAATATTTGTGTTAATTCATAACACAATGGCGAATATTTTCGCAACATGTTGTATTAATATCTATCTAGATCCCCTGTATAAATAGGCGAATAAAGCGAATTTCAAAATGTTTCATCGTTATATGGAAATATACCGAAGCAAAATATCAACCACATGATGAATGCCTCCATAAACAGGGTGTATATAAATAACACCGGGAAAATTCAAGGAGTGTTTCTTTGTGACATTCTAACAAATAAAGTTCATACAAACATGTATCCCAACTTGCTCCGTTTTTGAGATACAGGATGTTGAAGTTGGAAGTATTAATTGTTTTTATTTATAACCCCCTGTATGAGCTATCATGGTACCAAAATTCAGTATGGATAGAGACTGAGAAAGCCACAGAATTTAAGAATGATTCTATTTGGGGTTATTAAGTAATCTCAATGGAAGTCTTGAAAACACCTACAATGAAATTTAGAGTCAAATCGAATTTTCATTGTTTCCTAGAAAAATAAGCTAGATACAAAAATCACACAAGGGATAGAAAAGTTGTTATTTCATTAGTTCAATCTACCATGAATATTCATAAATGTACCCACTGTGACGCCACTGAAAATATAATTTCGAATATAATTGCACTAGAAGAAGTTCCATATTACTATTAACAAAACCACAACGTTTTATTGAAATTGATGAAAAGGCAATTGAGAAATGAATAGAAAAAAGATTTTTCATGGAAATATTAATACCCTGTATCTCGAACACGAAGCAAGTTAGGACACATGTTTATATGAACTTTATTTCCTAAAATATCACAAGGAATCACCACTTGAATTATTAGATACACCCTGTATATATCTCACCAAAATAAGTTGTTTGGCAAAAAATTCCTCATATAAAATATTTAAGATAACGATGGTGCATACAGGTATTCAATGGTTTAAAGAAGACTTCAACTATGAAACATGTAAAATGTAAACACATTTTCTCGAAAAAAAAGCAGAAAAACCGTTATAAGCCCAGCATCAGATACCCTACAGTTGCACTATTTCATCAGAAACACCAATCGAAAACCTATTTTAACATTTCCAACCTATTAATTATCTTTTTCTACAAACGTCAAAAAATGACAAAGTTCGCGCATTGACAACAAATTGCGAAGTGACTCTTTTTTTCAGTTTCCTACGTTACCATGATACCTTGCACAAAACAATGCGCGAAGTAAAACAGTGCGCGAAGTGCCTACTTCGCGCATTGTTATGTAAAATATATGAGATATTTATATTTCAACTTTATGGTCCTCAATCGAGCAAACATCCACGGAATTATTAATTTCTGAATGTTCAACAATAACTTTGTTTTATCTCTTGGAGCGCACGAAAGGATATTCCTATTATGTTCGTGGAACATCGTGCGTACCTAAGGAGGATAGGGGGAGGCCTTTTAAGCCAGTTCAACACTATTTTTCATATAAAGCTGAGCATATTTTTACTTTAGAACTTTATTGTTTGACGTTTGTAGAAAAAATGTTGTTTGCAACTCGAGCGCGAAATACTTTGGTCATCTCGACTATTTTTTCAACTCGGCTAAGCCTCGTTAAAAAAATCAGATCTCGATCACCAAAGTAGCATTTCGCGCTCTAGATACAAAAATAACTATTTTTAAGTGAACCAATAAACTTTAGGAGGAAAATGAAGCATCAGGCCAAACAACTTATTTTGGCGAGGAGATATACAGGGTATGTCACGACAAGCTTACACTATCTCTATATCTAGAATTGGTCGGGAGAAATCGATGAACATATGCATGCTTATATTTCAGAATACGCTCTCTTCACTTAAAATATTTTCAGAAAGGCAGAATTTTCGCTTCTATAAAAAAATAGCAACAACTTTGTTATTTCAGATAGAATACCCTGTATTTACCTGCATTTTTAGGTGCTCGCTGAAAAGTTGATTTTATTGATACATCACACTTGGGGTATATCGGAAATGATTACAGAGATATAGGGTGTTCAAAATCGAGATTTTTCAACTTTGGGACTTGTTTGTGTGAAAACTATTTATTATCGGCCAAAACGGCTCACATATCCCTATCTCAACTTTTGATTCACTATTTACTGATATTCAATCGGACCAGAAACAGAGTGATCAGAATTCTGAATCTTGAACAACCCTGTATGCGCTTCACGTGAGCCATTAATTTAACAGAGGCACTGTATACAAACCCTACATCTGATAAATTTTCAAATTCAACTGTTCATGAAGATTTCGAGAATTGAAAAATATACATATAGGGTGTTACATCTGAAACGAATGTCGTGGACATCATAACTTGAATGTGGATCACCTTGTATATTTGATTGTTCCATATATATGTGGCATAAAAATAAAGTATCCAGTACCTACTTTACGAAAGCATATAGAATTGAACAATTGCAAGATACCCATCACGTGATAAATATCTCCATATTCAAATAAAAAGAACACTCACCATTTTGAAATAGATCAACTTGCATCGCCATTTCAGCCACAAAAAACATACACTTCTACACAGACACACACCTTTCTCACACACACAAATAATGCAGTATGAAGCATTTCGATTCGGCACTGTAAAATAATACACCAATTGAATCGTCCGTTCGCGATGAAATCTAATATACGACTGACGAATGACAGGTGGCTTACTGATTCATCATCCTGATTACTAATTAGTTACGTCACTCTTCTAACCGATTCCTGAACAATAAAATTTTATCTATGACTGAATTTGATACGGGAAAATAGTTCTACAGGGGGTGAAAATAAATTTAAAGTGTTCATACAATAAAAAAAACAGAGATTAGTAGAGATTTTTAGTATAAATCGAGTATACGAGGTGAATCTGAAAGTGATGTTTCTTTAACAGGATATATAGGGTGTATCTAAATAACACCTAAAAATTCAAGGGGTGTTTCTTTGTGACATTCTAACAAATAAAGTTCATATAAACATGTGTCCTAACTTGCTCCGTTTTTGAGATACAGGATGTTGAAGTTGGAAGTATTAATTGTTTTTATTTATAACCCCCTGTATGAGCTATCATGGTACCAAAATTCAGTATGGATAGAGACTGAGAAAGCTCCCAGAATTTCAGAATGATTCTATTTGGGGTTATTAAGTAATCTCAATGGAAGTCTTGAAAACACTTACAATGAAATTTGGAGTCAAATCGAATTTTCATTGTTTCCTAGAAAAATCACACAAAGGATGAAAAAGTTGTTATTTCATTAGTTCAATCTAATAAAAATCGTCGTTGTTCGTGATTGTCATCATTGATCACTGTCTGTTCCTCCACTGTCAGTTCGTTAACTTCATAATTTTAAATTATCAAAATGTTATAAGTGAATCATAAATTTCTTCAAGAGCGAATATCGCAAAAACCGTTAGAGCTAGACATTTTAAAAAAGAGTACAATTTTTATGTAAATTTGAACGGGCTTCCAGATTTTTCACTTATTTTGATCATCATTCAATGGATAAAATATATATGATGTAATTTACCTAACTAACAGAGTGCCACTAGCGCCCTATATGAGCAATCACAAAATAAGTTTCTCATGCCAGAAAACCTGAAAAATTTCATGCTCATGCTGTTCAAACTTACAAAGTTATTGAGAAATCTAAAAATAAAATCTCCATCCACTGGCTTTCAAACTTGCTCGATGCTCGCTCAAGGTTCGAGTTTTCAGAACCGTGCTTGTGCGACAGTGTGATACACATAACCTTAAATATTCAAGTAGGAATATATTTGAAATTCAAATAATTCTTATCGAAGTTTATTTCATTAATTTCCGGAATGATGATTGAAATACAGAAGTACTTCGTTAAGAAATAGCATTCACCGAAAATTCAAAATTACCTGAGTTATAGAAACCTATTCAGATGTGCAGGTATTAAAAACATTCAATTGTTGATTCAGTAATGATGAAAAAAACTAACTTCGTAAACGACAATTCATTGCTGAATCACTACTTTCAATTGAATTCAATTGAACATCATTGACAATGACGAAGACCTCTTTATTCATAAGACTGTTGGTGGCAGTGCTCACAGAGAAACCACAAGAGGTGGATGAATCCATTCTATGTGGACCAGCGAAACCAAAATGAACTATCAATCTTCAATCAACAATTTAACTTTTTGATTGACAAAGCAATTCTGAGATATCTAACGACAAGAGAAAGATAGTCGCACCAATTCTCGATTTCTATTCCACTGCTCTGTGCTGCAACCGCACAATTTGGAATTTGGAAGTACCGAGCTAGTGCCACTCGTGCTTGCTCTGTGCTAGTGCGCTATGTAAATTGGCAAGTGGAAAACGCTTCAAATCAAAAATAGGCCATGTCATATCGACGAATCATATCAACGAATTTTTTTCAACTTGTACGTGTTCTATGTTCCATTATCAGGAAGCAACCGAAAGATAATCGTCGACCAGAGAATGGAGAACGTGATGGGCCTCAAAGCCATCAAGTCCGGCGATGCTGAAGGCTGGAACCCGTGCAAGGACGCGAACTTCAACTGTTCGCAACTGTGCTTCCACCGGCACGACGGGACGACGGTGTGCGCCTGTCAGATCGACTACGAGCTGGCCGAAGACGGCCGGACTTGCACGAAGCCGAGGGCGTTCCTGCTGTACGCGAAGAGGGGGAGTATCGGGCGGATGAGCATCGAGAACGAGAATAACGAGGCGACCATTCCGATCGCTGGTATCAAACAGGCGAGGTGAGTGTGGAAGTAAATATCGGTCACATCTTTGTGGAACTCTCAAGATAACTACATTTTTCAATGGCTTCCTGTGACGATAACACTGGTACACTTTTTGATTGGTCAGACCTTTAATATGGAGTTGCATCCACCTGTCTTGTTTTGTCCATTCAGTTCTACGCATTCTATTTCACTTTGTTAATGCTTTGTCTCTGTTTCTTGCTCTTTAGACACAAAACATCCAACAAGTACAGTACCTGGAATATTAACTTTAAGAATCCGTCTTTTAGGACTCGTAAGTGTCAGTTTATTGAGATGATGAAATGAAAATATCAAATATCTAAACCTAACATTAGGTGGGGACTTCGAAGGCGCAATATTATTACTGACTTGACCATGAATGACATTCCGGAAATCTGCTTTCTCTGGTCCATTCCAACTGAGAAGACAGCGTTGTAAACCATAGGGAAGCGTTGATCTTCGCTCCGATTGGTCTGCCTAATATTATGACTTATGATGTGACGTTTAGATTATAGTTTTCCAAAAATTCAAGAATGTAAAAAAATCAGGATATTCAATAATCTGCCAAATTGTTCGGTAATTTTGCAGACCATCAATTCTCCAAAAGTTTACTAAATATTCTAGAGCACTGAATATTCGCGAGCTACCAGTTACTAGCTTTTTAGTATAATGTAGATTATTACTAAAATAAATACATATGGAATAGAATTCTGCATTATTTAATTTAGGTTATCTCACGTCGTGTCTGAATTGGTAGATCACTTTATATTTCAAAATTATCGAAGTAGCCCAACTCATTGAATAGGTTGGCGACCACTGATCTAAAATATCCTCGAATATTCCGGAATCTATAAGAATGTTCATGGTTCAAAATGTAGAATACTTCAGAATGTTGAAGAATGCTTCTTGATATTTATCAATGTTAAAAAATAGAATCTTCCTGAAGTTTCGAGTGTTCAAAATGATTCATACTGTCCTAGAATCTTCAAGAATATAGAATTTCCCAGAATGTTATGAAATATTTCAGACATTTCGATACTGTGAGTGATAGATTGTTTCAGAACATTACAGAGTACTCTTTAATGCTCAGAATGTCCGAGATTGTAGTAGAAAGTTTCAGAATGATATTGAATCTTTCTGAAGTTTCTGGTTTTCTAAGTCTTTCATAATTTTATAGAATCCTCCAGAATCTTCAAAAATGTTCCAGATTATTCTAGACCGTTTGAAAATGTTCCAGGATATTATAAAATCTACCAGAAGTTTCAAAATTCTCATACTGTGGTATAATGTTTCCGAATGTGCTATAATCTTCCAGATGTGCTGAGGAACTTCTTAAAGTTTCCATAATGTTCTAGAATGCTCCGGATTGTACGGTACCGTTCCTGAAGATTGTTGTTCCAAAATGTTATAAATTCTTTCAGGAGGTTCGATTATTATTCCAGAGTTACAAGATCGTCCAGCGGGTTCCAGAAGGTACTTGAATGTTCAAGAAGGCTATAGAATATTCCAGAATATGTTTAAATTTTCCAGAGGGTTCGAAGATGTTCTTGAAGGTTCGGAAATGCTGCGTAATGTTCGAGAATGTTCCTGAATGTTCGAGAGTATTGAATATTATTGTTCAAAAATATTATAAATTCTTCCAGAGAGTTCAAGAATGTTACAAGATCTTCCAGCGAGTTCCAGGAGATACTAGAATGTTCTTCAATGCTCTAGAATGTTCCAGTACCTCCAACAATGTTCCAGTTTGGTCTAGAATCTCCGTCAAAGTTCCAGAATGTTCTAGAGTATACGAGAAACTTCCCTGCACTTCTTGACACCGAAAATGTTTCTTTTTTCAGTTCCATTGATTTCGACACGAACACGATGCGCGTCTACTGGACGGACAGTAAGGCGCGCGCCATCTCGCGCGCCTTCGTCAACGGCTCCGACGTGCAGAAAGTGATCGATCTGGGGCTAGCCGGGCCCGAGGGCCTGGCCGTCGATTGGCTGGCGCTCAACGTGTACTGGACGGATCCGGCGGCGCACCGCATCGAGGTGGCCAGGTTGACGGGTACAGGAAGGCGGACGCTGTTGTGGGACGAGACGTACCGGCCGCAGAGCATCGTCGTGGAGCCGGTGGCCGGGTGAGAGATTGTGTGATAAATGTCCCCCTCTAGCTCAGTTATTTTTGAACCGATTGCAAAATTTTAAATATATAAAATGATTTTCGATAGAGTTTTTTTCCGCTTCATCAGAAGATACAAGGTGCTCGGACAAGAACCCGTATCATTCATATTTGATATGAGACATGCAAGCAAAATCAAAAACGGAGAAAACATACGCTGGCGCCTTGAGATGTGTTATAATTATGACATTGTTTATGTCACCCTGGAATTACCCGAATGTACCATTTCGTGAGGGTACGAAATCTACCGTATTCTATAGAGGACATTAGGAATATGACAACTTCTTGTCCAATTTGTGCCGAGTTGAAGCCAAGCTTTCATAAGAATATTGGGAGCCACCTTATAAAAGCTACTTCACCATTCGAACGACTAAATATTGACTTCAAGGGACCCTTACCAAGTTGTACCAACAATAAGACAATTAATTTGGTTTTCAGAACTAGGCAACTGAGACCTATACATTGGGAAACTGTTTAACCTGATGCTCTGCATTCTCTTAGATCATTATTATGTACGTCAAGTAACTGCACTCCACATGAACGGTTATTTAGCTATCAAAGACATTTAATCAGTGGTAGGTACCTCTGTGCCTTCAGGGTTGAAGTCTTCTGACGTCATTCTTTTGCGAAATCAACATCGCCGTACTAAATATGACCCACTAGTAGAAGAGGTGGAGCTACTACAAGCAAATCTAGAGTACGCCCTTATAAGACACCGAAATGGACTAGAATCTACAGTATCTTTGAAACATCTAGCCCCAAGAGGAGACAGGAACCCACTCCTGAACGAAAATACAGAAAACATATTCAATGAATCATCAGACCAGACTACGAAAATGACAATTACTAATCAAGCAATTACCGAAAATAATGATCCAGCACCTATTGAAGCAACTTCGACTAGTCACCAGAAAAATGTCGTAAATAAAGAGACAAACAATTTACCTGGAAGTAGTACAACAAATCTATTGGAAACTCATTTGATTCGTTCATCTACAAGACCTCGGAAACCACCCCTTTATCTGGAAGATTACATACAAAAATAACTCAGGGAGAATGTTATATAATTCATAAACCTCCTGTACTTCACTATAACATTGTTTTCTATATCCATCAAAATTTGTTTATAATTTGTCATATACAGTTCTCAACACACTAAATGGACCACTCATAATTTGACTCTATTTCGAAGATCTGTATTTTTTTAAAAAATTGACCGATCTTCATGAGGTTTTCGATATCAGATGTCATGTTTCATCGGCTTCAGAAAGAGCTAGAACACTCTGAGAAAGTCCGCAGAACAAAACTTACACTGGGTGTAAAGTAGAACCATTACACTATAGTCTACATTTCCAATGCTGCCAGAACTCGAGAATTTGTTTTCTGATCGATAGTCAGTCATATTATGATACACTGGGAACTCATCTCGGGACGTTTTTCGTGATTTCTCCTTAATTGGCCATTGGAACAAAAATTCAATTTTTTTTTTCGAAAGTCTTGCATTTCTTGAATTATTTCTCTAGAACTCCACTTGTGCTGACTATTGGGAATAACTGTTCTCATGTTTTGTGGAGGACAACGAAAGACAAAAAAAGTACTATTGTGTTATTTACAGGATGATAAGAAAATAGGACAAAATCTCATTTCATTGAAAAAAAATCAAAAATGGTGACTAAAACCATGGCCCATTCGATTCAGTATATTCAGAAACGGCCTTCCCGATATCCATTATTTATAGTAGGCTATTGACTCGAGACGTTTTCGAAAATTCGCCTCTACTTGAAATACAGGATGAAAATTTCCAATTCAAACTTGTTTCCTGATATCGATGATTCTTATCTCTTATCAACTGGTTTACAATATTTACTGCCCAAGTATGAGACACAGAGTATTGTTGTTTAATGTACTGAGTGTTTCACAACTTATCTGATGAAGTACGAACTCTAAAAAACAATAATGTTAGAAGCATTATCTCTAAATATGAATTTGATTGAACTTGTGTGGAGCCGAATGAAACTTGGCCTATCGAGAAGGCGAGAGGCACCCCAAAATAATGACAACCTTATCCAAGCTGTATGAGAAGAATGGGAGGCGATGTTAATAGACTTCATCAACAACCTCATAGAATCTATGCCAAACCGATTTCATGAGGTTTTGTTAAATCGGGGAGGCCCTACCAAGTACTGAAATTTAGGATATAGGACTTTCTAGTTGGATCATCATAATGCAGAACAATTCACTGATGTCATATTTCGCCATTTCGAATTTCATTTTCCATCTCGTTTTACTTCTATAAAATTTTTATCTGATAGACTTTACATGTGATATCGTAGTTGTGGTTGAAATTTGTCAGATAAGTAGTGAAACACTCAGTATATTGAACAACAATACTCTGTGTCTCATATTTGGGCGATGAATATTGGAAATCAGTTGATAAGAATCATCGATATCAGGAAACAAGTTTGAATTGAAAATTTTCATCCTGTATTTCAATTAGAGGAGAATTTTCAAAAACGTCTCGAGTCAATAGCTTAATATAAATAATGGATATCGGGGAGGCCGTTTCTGAATATACTGAATCGAATGGGTCATGGTTTTAGTTACCATTTCTGATTTTTTTTACTAAAATGAGATTTTGTCCTATTGTCTTATCATCCTGTAAATAACACAATAGAACTTTTTTTGTCTTTCGTAGTCCTCCACAAAACATGAGAACAGTTATTCCCAATAGTCAGCTCAAGTTGAGTTCTAGAGAAAAAATTCAAGAAATGCAAGACTTTCGAAAAAAAATCGAATTTTCGTTCCAATGGCCAATTAAGGAGAAATCACGAAAACGTCCCGAGATGAGGTCCCAGTGTATCATAATATGACTGACTATTGATCAGAAAAAAAATTCTCGAGTTCTGGCAGCATTGGAAATGTAGACCATAGTGTAATGGTTCCACTTTACACCCTGTGTAAGTTTTGTTCTGCGGACTTTTTCAGAGTTTTCCAGCTCTCTTTGAAGCCGATGGAGTATCACATCTGATATCGAAAACCGCATGAAGATCGGTCAATTTTTTCAAAAAATACAGGTCTTCGAAATAGAGCCAAATTATGAGTGGTCTATTCAGTGTGTTGAGAACTGTATTTGAAATTAGTTATATGATCGCTGTAGTTTTTGCGTTTTTTTTTTCTATTTTTTTTTTATTACACTATTCAACAGATACAAGATCCAATTACAGAATAGGAATATACAAAATTATTTTCTTAATACATAAAATTACACATTGGAAAAAACAGAACAGTCCAGTTTTTTTGAGGATGCCAAACTGCAGCAAAAGATGTCAATGGTTTCATTCATCGTATTATATATCGAACACATCTTGTAAACAGGTGCATGGAATTAAACATTAGTGCGACAAAGTGGAAGGTAGAAACTATTATTTCTCCGGGTTGTGAGTCTGGGAACATGAAAGTGTATCATCTCCAAAATGCAGCTGCAGTCCAAATTGTTCCGGATAACATTGAAAAGGAATATAACATGCGACCTATTTCGACGATCTAGATGTGAAGCAACTGAAAATCTTGAAAGAAGTTGATCATGTGGATGACCTACATCTGGGTAGTTGCCATCAAGTTTAAAACATGAGTACTTCAAAAATTTTCGTTGGAAATTTTTCAAATTAGATATATGTACCTGATAATGAGGTGCCCAAACTATTGATGCATACTCTGAATTCGATCTAACAAATGTGAAATATAATTGCAGAAGCATTTTCTCATATCTTCCAAAATTTTTTGATACTCTAAAGATCATTCTCTAAAGCCTATAAATCGTAGAGCCCAACGAATCCACTGAAACCGTCCATTTCAGGTACATGTACTGGTCGGAGACCGGGTCCATCAAGAAGGCGACGATGGACGGCAAGAACCACATCCCGCTGGTGTCCACCGAGGAGCTGGCCACCAGCCTGACCCTCGACCACGACCAGCGGCGGCTGTACTGGACGGAGACGCGCTCCGGTCGCATCAGGTCGGCCGACCTGAACGGCCACGACGTCGCCGTGGTGGTGGAGGACGCCGCCTCGCAGCCGACGGGGCTCACCTTGTTCGAGGACTACGTGTTCTGGAGCGACAACAAGACCGGCGACATATTCAGGTATGCAGGGTCACAGTAGAAGGCTCGCTATTCGCGAGATTCAGGAAGTGGGCGACATCTAGGTTACATAATACGAACTTCAAACTGGGGGAAAACAAACTGTTGTCTATGGATAAAGTGCACAGACTACATTGCATTCAGCTTGCTGTAGCTGTAGTCAAACTTGTCAATGACATGAAGTGTTGGCACTGTTGGTAGTGGTGATGGTTGAGTTGGTTAATTTTTTTTACATGATTACATTTTTATTATTTGGAGAACAGTGAACGGGTGAAGAATTGGAGATAGTTCAAACAATTCAAACTAATTATGACGAGCAAATCAATTGACATATAAAAGAACAGCTACAACATGTTTACAATACCCAGATAGTCCTGCTTTGCATAAACAAATACAAATCCATTATTCTACAGGAGTTCCTCTGGACCCCAACTTCCATTTTACTTCATGTGGGGAAGATTTCATCGCCGAAGTTTGTAGACAAAGTGCAAAAATGTGCCTTTTGTTGAAGTCTTCTGCCTCTCACAATAGAGCAAAATATCTGCCAAAAGAACATCTACAACAGGCATTATTAGCGTTTTCGATCGAATATTGACAATTCATGTCAATAAATTTAAAAAAATCACTCTTATCAGTACACAGTCCACAAGCTAATGACACTTATCGGATTGAGTGAGGATTGAGTTTGTTTTCCCCCAGTTCTGACGTGGCTTTGACATGGAACGATAAAAACCGAGTGCCACCTGGTAACATTGATTCCCGCGAATACAGTGCTGCCAACTCAGTCATTTTATGGCTAGTTCTAGTAAGAGTTCCTGAATGTACTTGAAACTGCTGTTTTGACGTTTTTTGTATATTAGAGTACGGACACTATAGTCGTGGAAATACACCAAGGCAAAATCTGTTTCTTTTTATTCATCGCAAGTTGAATGAGACAGAAAATCACTAGAAAAAGGAACGTCGGAACTTGATTCATATATTTTGATCATTGAATTGTCACTGTGACTTAATGTCAAACAATTAGAGTACTGGTTATACATCAATAATATTTCGAATTCCTTATATCATAATGGTGAAACGATTCAATGATCAATCTAAAACATTGATTCTGAGTGTGATCGCGTATTTTGTAAAACACGATGATTTCTGCCAAAGAAAAAATGTTGTCAGCATTGCCGCGGAAGCTCTGAATATTTCAGAAAGGAGTATTTATCGGATCAAGAATCCGCAAACAAACTCTGATGCTGTTTATGCAGTAACAGTTTCGAAAAAGGCCGAAGAAAAAAAAAGGTAAACCCCACAATTTTACAGGCTCTTAGAGTCATGTTACAATAAAATCGCTCCATAGGCGTTTCACTGAAGAATGGCCTGATTTTCCTTGTTCACCGAGATCCGTGAATACCTGAATTCGCAAAATTGGATTCAAATTCAAGAGGAGCAACAATAGGCAGTTTCTTGTAGAACAACCAACAATCAATTGCAGGCAAGCGTACGTCATTCAAAAAAAAAATATCATCTAGATATTTACGTGATATTTACGCATCAGAACATGGTCACAATATTTTGAGATTACCACCTCACCATTGCCAATAAAATGCCATACAAATGGTGTGGTCAGAGGCTGAAAGGATTTATGACGCCGAAATCATCTAAACTAAATCATCCCCGGGAGATGTGATGATGGTCTGGTCAAAGGCGTTAGAAGCTGTGGGTGTGGAGCATTGGAGAAATTATGTACGACATACAGAAAAAGTGATATTTTCGGCATTGGAGACGGAGAAATACATAGGTGCTTCCAATATTGAACCTGTCGTGATAACTTTCGATTCAGATGAGAGCGATACGTCATCGGAGGAAGGATCAAATGAAAATATTTGTTTTGGAAAAATGTAACTTCCTGAATAATTCATATTAAATTAAGTTGATGTTGACGAGGAATTATTATTCGAAATATAATTCATGTGAGTTATACTACTCACTTACTTTCTTGCAGAAAGCCAAAGACAAATCATTTGTTCGAAAGAATTTCATGTTGATAATGGATACAGAGTGTTTTCCGAAACATCTAGTTGATATGGAGAGTAATACATCTTCACATATTTTCTTTATAATTTTTTCCTCAAATACCTTTCAACATCTTATTTCCCGAAGTGTCACTGACTATCAGCTGAAAAAATTCTTTCGGGTCTGAAAATGAATTTTCAAACACTTCGGGGCAAAGAAAAATCTCCACGCCCAGTCATCCACAGATACTTTTATATCTCTATAATTTTTTTAGAAATGAGGGGAGAAAACTAATCAATTTTTTTGATATTTTTTTTTGCCAAAGCATCAATCGCTTGAAAATATATTTGCGAAAAACAGATGATGTTGAACAGCTTGAGGAATCGTATAGTTCATTTATTCCAAAATCCGATAGGATTGAAGTCATATTTTGGATTGCAGCTAATATTTTTAATTTTTATTATCGCTTAAGACGAACGAGAGAGAATGACTATTTTATGTTCGTAGAACATCGTCCATCCCTGGGGTGGAAAGGGATAAATGGTAGGTATTGAAATATTAAGAGTTACCCTTTGTTCATGGTGCAAGAGATCTCATATCCGAATTTCTTTTTAAAAACAACAATTTAGTGTTCAACTATAGTTATTCGTTTTTTCAGGTAAATATATATTATGAATCTTTGAAAAAAAAAACATGGGAACTTGTAATGGTACGCACATACACTCCTATATCCGTTCTCGTGGACTTCGATGAACTGCCATATTCGTTACCATGATTATCATGATTGTCAAAATCTGGAATAATTAAGAATACACATGCGAATGGTAACCAGAAATTCTATAGGCTTTTGTTTTGTGACTTGGTGTATTTCCACGACTTTAGACAAGCAGTGACAATCAAACATAACCACAAACGATTTTGAATCAAATCATATATTTCGCCAGACAAGGACAAGAATATGTTTTTCGCTTAGATAAAGGATCCTCGCATCTTCCTTCCTCCACAAGTCCTGGGAAGAGTACATCCATATATCTTTCTCTTTCTTTGATTTTTGTATGAGAGTGCATAGCGTCTCCTCGAGTGGGTAAAAGGGTAGAATAAATTGATTTGAACATTATTCCTTCTCTAAATATTGAATGATAAGACTGAAGGACCTCAATGGAGGTCAATATCAAGTTGGTATGTACATATATACCAACAAAATACATATACTGTTCCTATGAAATAAGTCTCTTATATGTGGGTATTTACAGGGTGTTGCGAAATTCGACCGGCAACGCTTGACAGGTGATAGCCCTCGTGAAGTTAATAAGTGAAATTAGTTGTTTCGCAATATCTCAAGAAAAATTGAATGTAATGCATTCAACTTCGGTATATGGTTTCATCTTTGAATGGGTCATTTTTTGACCAGGAAGCCATTCCGGATATTTTATCCAGTGGTGCCCTACAGGGGGATGTGGCAACTTTTCCTCCTATATTTTCTACGCCACTGATTAAATTTCAATTATTTCCAATACCTCGAATTCATTGTTCAATTTTGTTCAAAAAATGCATCACCTTCATCTGAGCTGAAATGAACAGTTTTCGAGATATTCGTCTCAAAATAGAAGATTGCATAGTAATATTTCATCATTTTCAGTAGTAAAAAATTGCAAGAATATTTTTCTGGTGTTGAGTAGATTAGATACTATTCAGATCTCATTCTGTAGCTGAACAGAAATAGTTATTCCACGCATAAAGAGAAAACAATAATTTTTGGGTCAAATATCTCGATAACTGTTCATTTTAGCTCAGTTAAAAGTGATGCATTTTTTCAACATAATTGAACAATCAATTCGAGAAATTAGAGATAATTGAAATTTCATCAGTGGCGTAGAAAATATGGGAAGAAAAGTTATTACAACAATCTGTAGCGCACCTCTGCATAAAATTCTCGGAATGTCTTTCTGATAAAAAAATTAACCATTGAAAGATGAAACCATTTACCGAATTTGAATGCATTATATTCAATTTGTTTCGAGATATCGCGAAAAAACTATTTTAATTTCTCAATTTCTCTTCAAGGCCCTGTATCTCGAGAACTGAACACTTGAAGACTGTATGTCCCTATCTCAGTGATTATGAAATCACGAGGGCTGTCAGGCGTTATCGGTCGAATTTCGCAACACCCTGTATATTCCTATTATAAACAAATATGTTTCTTGGGGTAATAAGGAACAACAACAACAATAACATAAAATAACTATTATGCAGGGCGAACAAGTCGAACGCGGCAGCCACCAAAACGCGAGTGCACCGCGCGGAAGGCGTGGCCGACCTGTCGGCCTATCACGATCGCAGCAGGCGGCGGCGGCACGCCAACCAGTGCGCCATCAGCAACGGCGGCTGCTCGCATCTGTGCCTCGCGCTGCCGCCCGGCGGGCAGGCGGCCGGCGGGCAGGCGGCCGACGGGCCGGGGTACGCGTGCGCCTGCCCCAATCACTACCGGCTGGTCGACAACGGGTGTATACGTGAGTATGGGGAAGGGGGCCTGAGATCAGTCAATTATAGCGATTATTTCATTCACACCCGGCTGGACCTATGAAATGTCATGATTGAAGTCACATGATATGCGATATCAGCGACTATTTAGGTAAACAAACAATATGAGCGGCTATTCTGTTCGTCAGCATAAGAGTGCTATGGTTGTCAAACTTTGACATACCTATCAGTCACTCACAAATTGAAATGTCTCGTTTTGGGTCAACTTCCACTACGGAAATTCGTAATTATGTAAGCGAATCGATATCAGAAAATATCGAGAACATAAAAGAGTCTGTCTGGAACAATTAATGTTTCTTTGCCTATATAACTATAAACTATATATTTTGTGCGACTACCCCATCTCTCGTGATTGCCCAAATCCTAAAAGATTGGGTGAGGAGAATGGTGAGGAATATTAGGAATACACAATTGAAATTGATATAAACTAAATACAGGAAGGTTAGTTCAATGAACATAAACGTAAGACGAATCCATTTAAATACAGAGTGAGCCATTGAAAACGAAACAGCGGCTCTGTAGGTCGGCAAAACCGGATCATAAAAAACATCTGAAACACTTCAACTACATTTTCGAGAGGGACATCGTTCTAAAATATTTTCAGCCGTGCGGCGTTGCCGCTTCTAACGAAAATAAGCAACAACTTTGCTATTTTAAATGGAACACCTTGTATTTCATTGCATATTTAGATTCTCCCCGAAGAGCTGATTCCATCAATGCATCACCTTTGGGGTCTAGCTGGAATGATTTCAGGGATATATAGGGTTTTCAAAATCGAGATTTTTCAACTTTAGGATTTTTTGTGACGAAACTATTCATTATTGGTCAAAACGGCTTACATATCCCTATCTCAACTTCTGATTTACTAGCTACTGACATTTAATTGAAACAGATACAGGGTGATTAGAAGTCTGAATCTTGAACCACCGTGTATTCGTTTCAAATAAATGTCAGTAGATAGTTCATCAAAAGTTGGGATAGGGACATGTGAGCTGTTTTGACCAATAATGAATAGTTTCGACACAAAAAAATCCTAAACTTGAAAAATCTCGATTTTAAACACCCTATATCCCTGAAATCATCCAGCTAGACCCCAAGTGTGATGCATTGATGAAATCAGCTCTTCGGAGAGAATCTAAAAATGCAATGAAATACAAGGTGTTCCATTTGAAATAGCAAAGTTGTTGCTTATTCTCGTTAGAAGCGGCAACGCCGCAGGGCTGAAAATATAGTTGGCGTGTTTCAGATGTTTTTCATAATCCGGTTTTGCCGACCTACACAGCCGCTGTTTCGTTTTCAATGGCCCACTCTGTATATCAAATTCAAAGGTGCCAGGGTTGCGCATAATGCAAAAAGGCGAAGCCTACAGTATTTTTGTGAAACAAGAAAGGAAAGTACAGAAGCTCTAATCAAAAAATATTAACGCTATCAATAGCGTTAATATTCTTTCTTTGCTCTAACTTTAGATGAATTGATTGCAATTGTACGTAGATATGATGAGAATACCCCAGACGGTCTTCAGAAGAATTTTTATTCAAATAGTTTCTGCAGAATTGTGAAATTCAACTTGAATAAAATGTTGAAACTCATATAAACCAGTATTTTTACACTGTTCATGAAAAAATCTTCATGAATATCACTCAACCATGACAAATGGAGACTATTATTTTCTTTAATTCATCTCGAGTAACTTGTATTTTGGGACAATTCAATTCGACCATATGAACATAAATAATCAGGGGACCCCGAGATCAGTCAATTATAGCGAATAAATACACGAAGCTCAGTCATTTCCACAAATGTTTATGAATGAACGAAACTGGTAGTTAACGAGAGAAAAACAACTACTTTCCTGGCTATGTGCCAAGCAGAACAATGATTCGTATAGACGATTAAAGTCGCAGGTGTTTCCTTCCTAAATGCTGAAATACGCTTAAATTGTTCAGAGCTGCGTTTCAAAAATGTGTCCAACGTCCGACAAAGGGTTAAAAGATGACGTCAGGAGTATTCAGCAGGATCACGTCTGTTGATATCAATTTTGAAACGTCTATGCAAGAGGAGAGAATATTATGTCTAACCTATATTTATTCGGAGCAGAAGCAGAGTTCTGATATATTTTAGTTTTCATTGAAATGAAGCAATAATGGAGATGATTATATTTGGGTCCTGCAGTTTCCTCTATGATTCACGATGGCAGTAGTTTTTCTTTCTCGGACGAGGAAAATTAATGATATACAAGAGTGCCAGGATCTTTCAAAAATTCCAAATTGTTTTGAAAGCATAATCCCAGGAAAACAATTTCAGTCAAATTTTTTATGACTAGAACTTACTCGATTGACTAATGGAAGTGGTAGGATCAAAACTGAGTGAAAAACAATGCAAAAGAGGAAGATAATAAATTAATGCTGAGAAACAAGTATTATCCGCTATTTGGTTACAGCCAGGTACAATATTAATGTAACTTGATCAGCGAATTACATTTTTAATTTTGAGAAGGAAAACTTCTTCATTATATTCTATTATTTATTTATTTATTCATAATTATTTCAAAATCGAAATAAATAACTCCACAATTTTTTACTGTGTTCAGTCACTGGTTTTTGTTATGAAGTCCTAAAACCTAACCTCAATTCGCAAAGCTTGCAAAACCAAAACGCTCGTCCGGCTTTCCAAACGTAGATTGGGTAAAATTCACCTATCTCTCGGAGCAGGATGAATAGTTGGAAGCCGAATGTTCTTCCTATGGAAATTTCATTTCATTTCATTTATTATCAGTTCACTAGGTATACATTTCTTATTATTTATAAATCGATTTTATTTCAGAGTAGGAATAGGCAGCAATCACTCTAAGTAACCAAATACTTGTTTGAAACGATATTTGGCATCTGTCGAGTAACTTCTACTGTAAATCGAAACGACCTCTTCTAAACGGTTGTAGGTTGGGTACAATTTTGAAACGTACCTCAGGAAGGCTTGACTAGTCAACAAATTTCATTCGTCTATACGAATCATTGCATAGATTATTCATTTTGGTCAACAATTCTTAGCTGTTGATATATTTTGAATGATAAAATGTTTACCTATAGATATATAATTATGTACTTCCTTATACCAGAGCCTATTCTCTCTCGAAGTTTGGTCACATGCTTAAATAACAACCTGTATAAAAGAAAGTCCAAAATCGTGTTAGTTACACTGTTTATAATTCAAGAACGGCTGGACCGATTTTTATATTTGATTTTTTGGATTTCTCTTAGTCTGGAATGGGATAATAAGTATTAATATTCATGAAAGTCAGGAAAGTCAAGATGGTGGAACCAATATGACGAATCTTGTAATCATGATCCGATTCTATACAAATCGATATCTGAGGGTTTTCGAGGCCGGAGATTATGATTCCTTCGAAAAAATTGAGAAATTCTAGATGGCGGATCCAGTATGGCGGACGAGTTTTGTAATTATGATCCGATTCTATTCAAAACTTGTATCTGGGGGTTTTCGTGGTGGATGTTTATAATTCTTTCGTCAAAATATGGAAATTCCAGATGGCGGACGGATTTTGTAATTATGATCCGATTCAATTCATAATTTGTATCTGCGGGTTTCGGGGTCGTAGATTATGATTTTTCGTCACAATTTAAAAAATTCAATATGGCGGATCCAATATGGCGGACGAGTTTTGTAATTATGATCCGATTCTATTCAAAATTTGTATCTGGGGGTTTTCGGAGTCGGAGATTATGATTCTTTCGTCAAAATTGGGAAATTCAAGGGAACTAAAAAGGAGTAGAAAATGAATACTAGTTTGAAAAACTATAGAAACGATTTTATAGATAGCCGAACTGAACAGAAGTAGAAATTAAAATGATAGTAGTGTGTTGATGAATATTCAACTAAAAAATATCTTCTTAAAATAATGTACTAGCAAAACAACGTTTGCCGGGTCAGCTGGTCTGATATAATCTGTTCAATATTTGTGTGTGACTGACACGGTCAGAACCTCAATTGAGGCCACAAAAGACTCCTAGTAGACTTTCACCTGCTTCAACAGCTTCAATATCTTTAAGAATTTTGAATGACTTTTGAGTAAATAGTGCTAGACATTCACAAATTATATTCCAAACTAGAGAGGAAATTGATATAATACTCGAAACTGTAGACATTTTCCAAGTCCCAAGAGTAATGACGAACTATGGAATCAGTTCAATATTTTATAAAGGACTTCCAGAGTACAGCAAAATACCATTAAATATAAAAAGAGGAGGTGTAACAAAATTCAAAGCTTTGTCGAAGAATCACATTCCACTGAATTTATGATTTGTACAGTTAGCATCAGGAGATTAGGAGGTTGGATTTAAAAAGAAAACAATTAGATACTTGTATATAGCATATATTATAGTTCAGTGAAAATGGTTACCCATATATTACTATTATAGAAACTAGGGTATATTCACTAAATTGATATAGGTTTGAATCATAATCTAATTATTATGTCCGATATTATGTAATTTGTAAAACTATAATGACTTGTAACTAGTAAGAGAGGTGTTCCTAGATGACATTTTTATGTTTTTTGGAACGTAATAAATTGATTCATTCATTCAATGACGCATTCATGTAATGTTTTATGCACATCAAAATGAATTCAAGCTTTTTTGTTTTTACATATTTCATTTGTGAATCATTTGTTTTTCAGCTCCAAGTAGTTTTATGATATATAGCCTTAGAAATATGGTAGTGAGACTAGTACCTGATACTTCTGATTGTCCAGAAGCTGTTTTACCTATACACGGATTGAAAGCCATAAAAGCGATCGATTTTGATCCGAAATCAAATTTTTTATATTGGGTGAGTGACTCAAGGAGGGTTCACAAGAACAAGTTTTAATCCCAATTATTTTCTCAGATTGACGGGAAATCGCATTCAGTCAAACGATCCGAAGCTAGCGAACGAAAATACGAGGTGGAAAGACAGAAATTCGACAATATCGTCGTTAACAATAAGGAATCCTTGCCGTACGATCTAGCGGTCGATAGCATAGGAAGGACGCTGTTTTGGACTTGTGCCTTGAAAGATGTCATCAATGTCACCAGATTGGACAATTCGAATCCGTTCGGAATAATCGAAAAAAAGGATGGAGAAAAGCCGCGTCTTATAGCTTTACATGTTGCCAAAAGGTAATATACAATTTATTTTCTATATATATTGTATATTTACTTCCTATCTCTGTATTGCGAATTTTCTTTTTTATGTAATCATCGATTTCATATAGTAACTTCAAGGAAATTATTTATTTTATCAGATACCAAAGCAAAGTGAGTTATACATATTAAAGTTTCATTATTCCAGATTTTTTTGGGATTTTCTATCCTCGTCTCTATAAAATAAAAATATGAATACTATTTCAATATACGTGTAGTGAGGACAAATCAGATGATTTGCCCCATAATGTCACTGCGTTTTAAAAATTTGCTTATCAGAGAGCTTAAAAGATACATTCACTAGCTTGTCAGTGACAATTTGTATTGAAAAAGATTTGGAGAAGAGAAATAAAGGTATATAGAAAAAATATCAATTTTTTACTTATCTTTGGACGTTTCGGGAACGAATCTGCTCCCATTTTCAACATAAAAAAATGGATTTTTTGTATGGCAAATTCGTATTTGTCTTGACACTTCTCATTTGTGACAATTGGTGACGTTGAATTTACCATTTTCATCTTCAGATTTCAGTAGTGAATACCATGTTCTATCTATATCAACTGAACAGGAAGCAATGCTATTGTCTCCGTTCAGAAGAATGCGAGCAGATTCCTTGATTTTTCTCTTCTGGTTGTTATCTTCTTTCCCAATGATTTCAATATTATTCCACTCTGCCATATGTTGTCCATCTTCAGTAAGGATATGTTCAGCTAGTTTCGATTTGTCGATGTGTCTTTTCTTCATATTGTATTTATGTTCCTTCGTCCTTACTGAAAGAGGTCTCTTGGTTTCACCTGTATAAAACTTGACACAAACAGAAGGTATACTGTAAATAAAATTTTTTGACGATTGTTTTTCATTTTTCGATATTGTTTGAGTTAAAATTGATCTCATTGTATTTTCAGTTTTGAACACAGTTTTCACTTGAAATTTATCACCAACACGTTTCAATTTGTCCATACCTTTCATGGACACCCTGTATAAACGTAGCAGCTTCTCTTATTCTCATTGCATCTCGTAGTTACCAACCGTTATTCACCGAATGTTTTAATTTTCATTCAACTCGTAATTTCAGGTTGTTGTTTTTTACTGACGTGGGCAAAATGCCGGAATTCACGCAATTGATAAGGACAAGATTGGACGGTTCCCATCGAATGATTATAAAACGAGCCAGCAACATAACCGCCATCGCAGTCGACACGGAAAACGATCTGCTCATCTGGGCTCAAGGTCATAGCATTTATGTCAGCAACATCGACGGCGAAAATCAGTAAGTAGAATAATAGTAATTTATACACTAAGGTTGGTAAAGAATATCATTATTACCCACGGACCAAGATTATATCCTGAGGCTTCAGGTAATAATATTCTTCACTAGCAAGGTGTATATTAGATTTTTTGACCACTAGCAATCAGCAATTTCAATCATTATTGTTCTGTGAGATTGAAATATGGACCTATCGTCACTATGAAAGCAGTTATTTTCAATTCTAATCGAAATTTAGTAGCCATGACAAGTCGTTATTGATAAATAATTCGAGTGCCATTGCTGCAAATCTCGCATCAGAACAGTGAATTCGGGTTAATTATAACAGTGCTGGCTATGTCTTTATTGGCTAGTAGTTCATGAAATGACGAAAACTACCTTGGTAGAAGCAATGTCGATGTAAATGGAGAAGCTACTTTGCTAGTTAGTAGGGGAGAGGTATAATATTGGCTGTTGATTGACCCAAAATTCGCCTGCGTGTCAATGGCGCTACTATATAGGAAATTGTCAATTGCTAATTTCTTTCAATGTCAGTGATACTATTTTAGGTTGAAGTTGTCTTCTTCTATTTTTCTCCAAACAGTACTCAACCAGTCAACCACAGTTATTGATAGCATAATAGAATATCTGTGACGATTGCTACATGACAGTTTTTACTTCTGATCTGGTTGACTAGTAACATACTTTCTCACAATTAATGTTGTGATTGTACGTGGATTTGTATTCTTCCCTGTCTAGGAAGGTACTTTCAAGTAAAAATAAAATTACATTGAAATAGTTGTACTTCTTTGAATAAAAGTGGGAATGATATATGTACAGTGTGGAGAGAATAAATTCATTAGCGGGAAGGTGAATATTTTTTCTAAAAATTTCCGGCATACGTCAACGATTTGATGTATTTACTTACCTTAACCTTCGACAACTGTCATCATCGCTTCGACAGGAGGCATTATATTGGGTGTTGCAGTGGTATTAATTGCGTAAATGAGTGTTGATTACAAGAAATCGACTTTTTCGATTGATTTCCTATTACGCGATGAAAAACCTTGCGTAAATGAGTTTCTTGACTTCATGTCAGCTCAGGAATATCTTGAAACTATTGTAGCATCGTCATTGTATGAATTGGTTAGAAAAATCCAGAAGGGCCTTGTTGCGCCCCATTGGATTGCCTTATCTGAAAAATCACTAAATCAATTCGAGATATTGAGCAGAGCAATCGATCCAAATGAAGGATTTGTGTTTAGCATAGCATATGGTTATTGCAGCATCAAACTGAACAGACGATTTCACCAAATTCTGAATATTTCTCAAAATAAATTTATTCTTCTCTTGTTAAAGTTGTCGATGATTTCAACGCAATATAAATCCATTTTGTGGGATGTGCTCCATCGTACAGAGTGGCAAAATACGTTGAATGTGGCTTGCATAATTTTAAAATCGAAAATTATGTGATAAAAACCTAAAAATGGAAAATCATCGATTTTCAACATCCTGTATGAGGAATATGGAAAATTACAAAACCGTTTCGAGATATTGGCTTGAACGTTCGGGAAAAACGCTCGATAGAGAAATTTAAAAAAATCCCTGGAATACGGAAGCGTTTGAATTTTTTTATTTTTGTAATACTTTTTTCGAACACTTGGTGTATAATGACAAAAAAACTCCCGACGAGTTTTGAACAAGGAATCTTGAACAGGAAGATCGCATCTTCCAAACACTGCATTCCGATTGAAAATCCATTCATTTTTCAAAAAGTTATCACAGTTTGAAAATTGTCGAAAATTTCAGTGGTCCACTTGTTTCTTTGAGCACTTAAGATATATGAGCCATTTCTATATTTCGTTATTGCTCTGAGGCTTCTCCATGTAGATCGACAATGGTTGAACCACGGTCGATCTAAATGTTCATTGATTCTCTCTCTCTCAGACACGTGTTGCTGAACGAGAGCAACTCGAAAATCGTCCAGCTCACCGTCCACACCGGCTGGCTGTACTGGATCGACAAGGAGATCGACCAGCTGCAGCGACTCGAGATCCTGTCGGGCAAGTCGCGTTCCGTACTGCCCGTCCAGGCGTCGCACATCCTCGACCTGATCTCGGTGCAGGCACCTGCCGACCACCTCTGCAACCTGACGCACCAGAAGAAGTGCTCGCACTTTTGCTTGCACGAGGGCAGCTCGTACGTCTGCGCTTGCCCGCAAGGTTTGACAACGATTCGTTATTATTTGTTAATTTGCGGGAATCAATGTTACCAGGTGGCGCTCGGTTTTCATCGTTCCATGTCAAAGCCACGTCAAAACTGGGGGAAAACAAACTCAATTCCATTAGTGTCATTAGCTTGTGTACTGTGTACTGATAAGAGTGATACCGTTTTTAAATTTCTTTACATTAATTGTCAATATTCGATCGAAAACGCTAATAATGCCTGTTGTAGATGTTCTTTTGGCAGATATTTTGCTCTATTTAGATGGAAAAAGCCGACCAGTAGTGGAAGGAGAAGCAGTTCTCCGTGCTAATCATTTGATTTTGTGTGAGGCAGAAGACTTCAACAAAAAGTCCATTTTTGCACTTTGTCTACAAACTTCGGCGATAAAATCCTCCCCACGTGAAGTAAAATAGAAGTTGGGGTCCAGAGGAACTCCTGTAGAACAATGGATTTGTATTTGTTCATGCAAAGCAGGACAATCTTGGTATTGTAAACATGTTGTAGCTGTTCTTTTATATGTCAATTGATTTGCTAATTAGTTTGAATTGTTTGAATCTCCAATTCTTCAACCGTTCACTGTTCACTAAACTAATAAAAATGTAATAATTTAAAAAAATTAACCAACTCAACCATCATCACTACCAACAGTGCCAACACTTTATGTCATTGACAAGTTTGACTACAGCTACAGCAAGCTAAATGCTGTACTTAGTCTATGCACTTTATCCATAGACAAAAGTTTGTTTTCCCCCAGTTTGAAGTTCTTATTATGTAACCTAGATTTCGCCCACTTCGTGAATCTCGCGAATAGATAGTTATTCATCCTTCAGACCAAGGTGGATAGAACGGTGTAATCACAGACAGTGTTTTGTTTCTCCCAAACGCTTGACCGCAGATTCCGCAATAATGGCATATTAGTTCTCAGTTGTCCGCAAGATGGCGACCCTTTTCACAGGTTTTTTCATAGCAGAAAACACGCATTCACTATGTGATATGATATAAAAATATAACTCACCAATATGTTCAGTATTGAACTGAAAATTGAAATATATATGAGAAGTGTACTTCTATAAACTCTTATCTTGATGAGCTTGAAACTTGAAAAAAAAATCATTCGTATCAGTGATATGGGAATTATATCTCTCACAAACAGGTTATATAACTCTACTGAAATAAATTCATTTCGGATATCAAATCCTCATCAGTGACCTGAAGTCCAGTTATTCTTTCAGCCATTCTTTATCATACACAATTTTCTTCTCCCTATAATATAACTAAAACTACAACGAACTGACATCTGAGAATTATGATTTGTTGACATTCTCCTGTCATTGAAAGTACGAAACTGTAATTATGGGGAATTTTAATTATCATCAGTTCTACCAATCTTGAATATTGGTTGAGATTTCGCCATCTAACGGGTAAAATGCGACCTTTATTCCGCGATATTGAAAATAATCCTTCTCTCAAGTAGGTCGTAGGTCAAGACCTTTGACCGAAAAACAAGAGATGGGATTTGATAGGAGTTTCTACACCATCTTCTGTTCATCCTGCTTTAGACACAGCATAAGGCCGTTTCCAAACACACCGGTTGCGACTGGCCGGACGCTCTCCGGTCGGTTTTTGGAAAATCGTATAGTCTTTTCACTGGTCAATCAGTATATCACCGTCATTTATTGACAATGTACCGTAACAAAACTATCGCATTGTGGTTCTTGCGACGACCTTTACAGTAAAAAGACGCAATAGATGTCGCTGATGGATTCATCTCATTAATACTCGCATTAACCCTTTTCCGGAATTTATTTACTTGCCATATTAGGCAATGGAGGTCGATGGCCAGTTGGCATGTACAAACATACCAACAAAGTACATATACTACTATCTCAGTTACTGAAATAATCACAAATATACATTTGGAATGGAATTCAAAAGAACAATTCTTGTCGCTGAGGCATAATCTCACAACACAAGTAGAGCGAAATAAGAACGTTTCATTATCCGAAAGAAAAAACTACATAGTTACTTTTTTCCCAGATATATGTATATCACATATATAATACACTGTTGATGGCTTTTGTTGTGCTATAGTTCCGAAAAATAAGCCAATAACACCGTCTGCGAGAAAGAACTGCAAGTCCTTTTATCTTCCATTCGACTTCGCGGTTATGTAAATTAATTAGACTGACATCGATCACTTCAAAAGAATAATAAAGACGCCTGCAACGCAGGTTTCATTCCTGTTAAACACTTCAAATTTCACGTCGGTAGTTTTCTGATTTTAATATAATTTACTGTAATATCTTCTCAATATTGATTCTCCCTCTTTCCTGCCACAGAAAAAAATGGTGTATTATACACGGGAAAAATATTAGATTTCAGCTCACGGTTTTCTGTCTCCCTCCGTTACGCGTCAGGAGACAACACAACACACCAATGTTCAGAAGAAAGTACAGTCGTATTCAATAAAAAAGGATATAAGTATTGGACATAGAAGATTTCGGCATTCTAGTCATCGTTGTGTAAAATTGGCTCAGCCAATGCTTTGTGTTTTTGAGAACCTATGATTACTCTACTGTCAACATTTGGTGAACATTCATTCCCCATAGCCCCAAATCGGACAAGTAGTTTTGACGAAAATATTTCCCTAACTTTCGGCTATTTTTTGTGGTATGTTAATTTCTTGAAGAAGTGTATTTTCTCATTCGCGAAAGAATCTGTGGGGGAAAATGTTGCGTCATCTCGGCCTATTACTACTTCCAACGCTAACCACCGATCCGACTTTGATCGCGCGCAGGTCTGATACTCGACGTCGATAACAAGACCTGCCAGCCGCCGCCCGACTGCGGCGCCCATCGCTTCACCTGCACCGCCGCCGCCGCCCAGAAGCGCGACTGCATCCCCATCTATTGGCGGTGCGACCAGCAGCGCGACTGCGCCGACGGCTCCGACGAGCTCGGGTGCCACGCGTGCACCGCGGAGCAGTTCCGCTGCCAGGACGGGCAGTGCATCGACCGGCTGTTCTACTGCGACCATACGGTGCACTGCAACGACTCGTCGGACGAGAAGAGTTGCTGCGAGGAGGGATACCAGTGTCCGCAAACTGAGGTAATTTCAAGTTTTTCGAGTTTTGATTCCTTAGAAAAAAATTCGGTGCGCCTCTGAAGTCGAAATTTCCATTTTCTTTTGAATTTTGATCCTTTTTCATTTATTAATTTCATCCATACCTAACATATTGGTCCTTCGAGCCGGATTTATTCAAATCAAACCTCCAAGACTGCCAAGTTCTTCACAGAGGATAGAGAGCAGCACTCAAGACTACCTGGAAAAACAGTGAATGCCAAGCAGCTGGAGGTTTTACAAGTAGCAACAAGCAGTTCAAGCGAACATATTGTTCGTTCGGGCCGGATCAATTTGTACGCCATTTTGATTTTTATTCCGGAAATAATTGGGAGAAAATTTCTTTGAATTGTTCAGGTTTAGATGCGATTCCATTATCAAATTCTTGATTTTGACAAAAATGCGCAAGTACCAATAAAAAATTTCGAAAAAAAAACATCGCATGATGAGTGCAGTTTTAAAAAGTTACGCCTGTCAAACTATATAAACGTATATTTTTTAATTATTAATGCTCGCTTAAATTGTCACTGTCACTCCAGGTAGTCTCGAGTGCTGTACTGTATTATTTGTGAAGAACTTGTTAATCTTGGTTTGATTTGAATAGATCCGGCTCGAGGGACCATTTGTGATAGATAGTGGACTGTATTTGTATTGCAATTGCAATTCTTATTGCAATAATGTTGACAACAAATGAAATTCTCCTATTCTACAGGGTGTTTCATAAAAACCTGACCCCCTTACTAGGGTAGGTAGAACACTGCAAAATAAGTTGGGTTTACTCAGTAAACAAATTTAGTTACGGCATCCGTTATCAAGATACAAGGTGTTGAAAAAATGATTTTTTCACACATTTTTCAAGATTATGTCGAAACTACTGGCAACATTGTGATGAAATTGTGTATGGATGTTTCTTGTAATCTGACACATCGCGTGCATTTGCATTTATATCTGATTTTATAGAGGGCGCTAGTTACATGGTTCGTATCGAATAGTTTTGAACATAACTTTTTTGAGGTTAGATTTTTCAATCCATATTTGATGTGAACTTGAACATCAATTCAATTTCACACCAAAAAGGTACTCTTGGTAAAACTCGATACTGTGTTCCGTTTTCGGAATATTTCGATTTGAAAATGATGAAGTGATAACTGTTGCTGGTATAAAGCTATGTAATAGAGCGAGTATTATGAAGAATTATCACCTATTTATTGAAAACCGAAAACAACAATTTATTTCTGATGCTAAACTTATTGATTTAACAATGAATCACAAGAATAACATCAAAACAGATTTGACTAAGAACATGGATTACATAGTTTTGTTGTATCTTGAGCAGAAAGTCTAAGCTACATAGGTAAATTCACATCAAGAGTTGTGAGACATAATTGAACATCACTTAAATGACCTAACAGCTGATCCTCAACTGTTTAGAAGAATAATACATTCTTAAGAAAAGAATATGGAATCGTGTATTCGTCGAAACGTAGGACATTTTGAACACTTACTCTAACTGATTCAATATTTCATGTTTCTAGTCAAATATCTCTTAATTTTCTACTTATGATTCTTTGTTCCATCAATAACTTCAGCACAAGAATGATTTTATTGTTTTTGAAACTGAATAAATAGGTAATTGAACTCAATAAAATTCAATTTATACCAGCATCAATACTACCCCAATATTTTCAAATCGAAATATTCCGAAAACGGAACATAGTATCGAGTTTTACCAAGAGTTTCTTTTTGGTGTAAAATTGAATGAGGTTCGAGTTCATATCATATTTGGATTGAAAAATCTAACCTCAAAAAAAGTTATGTTCTAAACTACTCGGAACGAACCGTGTAACTACCGCCCTCTATGAGAGTCAGATATAAAAACAAATTCATGCGATGTGTCAGATTTCAAGAAACATCCGTACAAAATTGCATCACAATGTTGCCAGTAGTATCGATATAATCGTGAAAAATGTGTAAAAAAATAATTTTTTCAACACCTTGTATCATGAGAACGGATACCATTACGACATTTTTTCACTGAACAAACCCAACTTATTTTGCAGTGTTCTACCTACCCTAGCAAGGGGGTAAGGTTTTTTCGAAATACCCTGTATATAGGGTAATACAAGTGTACCAAACTATTAAACAGGGTGTCCCATAATTAGCATGCAATACTTCACCAGCAGAGTTAACGTTCAAAAACAAGAAAAAAAGTTCCTATGAACATAGATCGAATAATGTTTCATAAGCGAGCTACACCCCCCTAAAGGTGGTACCCTGAAGATGGTTTTTATTTTATATCTTCGAAACTGTTGATAGCAGAATTTTGAAATTTTGCAAGTCAGCCAAACTTTTTATGTCTAATAATATGCGATGATAATAATTTCAAAATTCCATCCAGAAATGGGTCAAACTGTGGGGGTGGGGGGTAAAATCACCCCAACTTTTTTGAGTGCGTTTTTTTGCAACTTCAGCAAGAAATTATGAAACTTTGAAGCCTTCTGTACCAAAAGGTTCCTCTCGTTTAACTTCGATAGTAAAATCCATTCGAAAATTACCTCACATGTCATGAAAATTCATTATAAAATTACAAAAATTTTAATGTTTGGGAAAAAATAATCAAGACAGGTGACAGATTACCTGTCTCCACTGTTGCTACCTAGGTCTTCTGATAAACTGAGTTTATAGAAGCAGGTGAAGTAAATCACAACCCAGACAGGTCCCAGAAGTCTGTCCGAACAGCGCCAAAATTAAGGGCCTCTGACTGAAGTAGACACGCGGGAGGAGCTCCTGTAGAGATTAAATGAGGCTGCAAAAGAAATTAGATTGAACTAATTTCAAAAATTCTGCGTGCTTCCCAAGCTATAAGTCGTCGGACCCGACTATGAGTTTAACAAACAAACAAAGCCAATTTGAACAATATTACATAGGTAAAAAAAAATTCGCTTGGATAAATAACTTAGTATTTTTTCATAAAATAAATAAATTTACAAACCTTCTGTCACTTATTTCATGAATTTTTCACCTGTCTTGATTATTTTTGCACGAACCTAGTGGTCGTGTTTCATGGCCTACGCAAAAATGTTTAATTTTTCTGATTTCTTCATGAATTTTAATTTTTTTATGACATGTGAAGTAATTTTCAAATCGATATTAATCGAGAACGGTGCTTCCCACCGAAGTTAAACTTTTTCATAACTTTTTGCTAAAATTACAAAAAACCGCACCCAAAAAAGTTGGGGTGATTTAACCCCACACCCCCCCACAGTTTGACCCACTTCTTGATGACATTTTGAAATAATCATTATCGCATATTATTAGTCTTTAGAAAGATTGGTTGACTCGCGAAATTTCATAATCCTGCTATCAACAGTTTCGAAGATATTAAATAAAAACCATCTTCAGGGTACCACCTTTGTGAAGTATTGCACGCTAATTATGGGACACCCTGTATAGTGTCATATATATTGGATCTTTCTTTTATTTTATTCAGACCAGGGAAGAGTCCCTCTTATCCTGATATCTATTATGGAACAAAATAAAAACGGTATTGAAGTTTGATGCGAACAGCCCTTCTGCCCCAAATAAGTTTCAGAAATACATTCTGAGAATTGAAAGAGATCGAACGGAAAAAATAAATATCAAAAACTTGAGAATAGTAAATTTGGTCATAATGTCGATATTTTCTTTAGTTTATGGACAGTCTCGGTCTTTTGAACTTTGATTGATCACCTGGGTCATAATCAACTGCATTTCGAAGAAGCTGATTCTCATGAGTCTCAGTTTTTTCGAAAGTCTTGTGTTTCGTTCTTCAATGACTGACACGATTGAAGAGAGTTTCAGATCCCTGCCGATCTGGTTATTCCGAACATACCAAGGAGATCCTGTCACCATTCTCGCGACTTTGTTTTGTAATGTTTGTAATCTGGTGATATGATATTTAGCTGTGTGGCCCCAGACTACTGAGGCATATAGTAAAATTGGCCTGATAGCCATGATATAAATATTCAATTTTTGTCTCAAACCCAATTTACCTCGTCTGTTTAGAAATGGATACAGGGCTCCAATGGCTCGTTTAGATTTAGAAACTTGCTGTTCAATGTGCTGGGCCCAGGTGAGCTTTTTGTCAATGCATACACCTAAGTATTTAACTTGTGAAGACCACTCTAACTCATGACCATCCAGGACTATTCTGGTTCTGGGAGGCCTCCGCTCCCTTCCGAGTGCGACCAATTGTGTTTTTGTAGGATTCAATTTGATATTCCATCTTAGGAAGTACTCCTGAAGAGAATTCAGTGCGCTTTGGAGGTTCATAGCTGCTTGCTCGAAATTTGTCGAATATGCAAGAACTGCCGTATCATCAGCAAAAAGCATTTTGCACATCACTGGTCTTGGCAAATCGCTAGTATATAAACTGTACAACAGCAGAGATAAACTGCACCCTGAGGAACACCAGCTTCAATGGGCTTGATACCAGATCGTTGATCATCAAGTTTTACTTGAAAAGTTCGATTTTTCAGAAATGAACACATCAACTGAATCAAATCGGCAGGAAAGCCCATATCGATCATTTTGTATAAGATACCATCATGCCACACCTTGTCAAATGCTTTCGCTATGTCATGTATGAGAATTCGTCGAAAATTCGCAGGTGTGCCTGCCCCTCTCCCTAGTTTGCGACGGCAACGAGAACTGCGCCGACGGGTCGGACGAGAAGGACTGCGCCGCCGCCAAGCAGCCGGTCGTGCACATCGTGCTCGCCGCCGTCGGCGCGGCGTTCGCGTTCGCGCTCGTCGCCATGCTGGCGGTGCGGTGGCGTCGGCTGTTCGGCAAGCCGGACGGCGGCGATCGGCCGGACGACGACGATGCGCTGAACCCGATGCAGCCGAGCGGCTGGAAGAACTCCAAGTACCGCAAAGGTGGGTAACGCGGGTCGATGTTATTTATCTAATTTTTCTACATTCATGCAAAAAGCAGAACTTTATTGAACTATATTTAGTGGAAAAAGAAGTTCTTTATTGCACTTAGTGCAATAAAGTTTTTATTGCACTCATCTGTCATTCTACTTCAACGTGCTGCCATCATGACAAACATTTTTTATATTGCAACTGTGGTTATAGAAACGTCATATATTCATATTGAAAATTGCACCAATTGTTCATTCACTTTCAACATTGAGGGGAAAAATAAAGTTTGAGTTAAATTATTGTTCGTAACGTATTAGTTCCTGTTTCAATGCAAATCGATATTAATAATGAAGTACTCAAGTTGCGTTTTTCATTTTCCTACACCTAGTGCCGCACCTCAATAAATCATTTTTTGCTTTTTGCATGAACGTGGAAAAAATGTTGTATGCAACTCGTGCAAAAATTGTTTAAACATTCACTTTTTGCACTTGTTGCATGAATAACTATTATATATTTATTTATTTATTGAACAAAACTTCCAGACAGAATAGGCTCTGGTATAGGGAAGTACATAATTATACAGGGTGTTTCTTAAGTACGTGTAGAAAATTCAGGAGCATGTTGCTGAGGTCTAAATAGGAAGAAAAGTTCGTATAAACATATGTCCGAATATTGAAAAGGAATATTCTCAGATATATTATAAACATGAAAAAATGGATACATTTGAATAAATACATTGAGAATTCGCATTCTCTATGTGATGAAATTATTAATCCTTTCTCGGCATATTCAACAGAAAACAACTACTTTCCTGGCTATATGCCACGACGAACATTGAATTATATCAATTGAACATACACGATAAGAATTTGAGCATAAAATGAATATCGTCTGAAATTGAGAATTGACATTCTCTTCCAGAATCGGATGAATACTATGATGAATATAACGATATAAAAAATATATTACTTACCAAATTGGTATGAAAATTGGAATGTATGGGAGAAATATACTAGTATACATACTCTGTTCTTGTTGAGTCGTGAATTTATCAAAAATCATCCGTATCCATGATGTTTGGGATATATGCACATCTCTTTCACATAGGTTAGATGATTTTGATTCGAATAAAATTCATTTCGAGTTTCAAACTCTCCTCAGTAACCTGAAGTCCAGTCATTCCTTCAGCCATTCTAGTTGTTTTCTGTTGAATATGCCGAGAAAGGATTAATAATTTCATCACATAGAGAATGCGAATTCTCAATGTATTTATTCAAATGTATCCATTTTTTCATGTTTATAATATATCTGAGAATATTCCTTTTCAATACTTTCATACCCAATCAAGGGGTTCAAACTTGAACGATGGAAACTTGTTATTTTTATAGACCTTCAATCGCAGATTCGTGATTGGGTTTTTCTCAATTCAGAATTTCTTTCCACGCCCTGTATGATAAATGTCAGTTTGTCATACATCTAAAACAATATGTCCGAATGTTATCCGTTTCTGAGATACAGAGTGTCAAAGTTGAATTCTTATTGGAATAGTTCAAAATAGCAGGTACAAATGAATAAGAATCATATTCTGCCTATTTCCAATGTTAAATGAAGAAGAATATTGAATGAAAGAAGAAAAATGCGATTATTTAAAATCCGAATAACTCGAAAACAGTTGCTCTCAGCGACCTCTACCAGGAATGTATTTTTTACACAAAAGTGTTCTAGAAATCAATTTTTTTACTATGAAACGTTATACAGGTACGCACAAAAAAGTTATAACTTTTCAAAAGACTCAAAAGACATGTAGGTGGCGCCACCCCCACGAAAGAGACAAACTAACATAACATTTGATATTGTCATTGAAAAATACCCCTAGATACCAAATTTCATTCCGATATCACAATTATTTCGAAATTTATTAACAAAAAACAAAAATAAGAATTCAACTTTTACACTCTGTATCTCAGTATATCAGTTTTTTTACTTCATTTTTGAATGCAATTTCTTTTATTGCCAGGTAGTTTATTAAAATCAGTTAAGGCTGAATGGGGGGTCCTTTTTTGTCCGATTATGGAGCTAGCGGCGTCAAGATGAAACAAGTTATATTGTCTAGTTTCATTATTATGAATTTCAGAATTCCGTATCAAAATAATATTCCACTTCAATTTTTCATTTATGATATTATATGGTATTTTAAGAGTTTCAATTCTATATTTCATCTAGAGAATACGTATTTGATATTTCATACAATTGATTGGTTGGTGCATCAAATGGGAGACGATACAATACTTTCAACGATTTTCTATAATAATGTTCATATTTTATTGAAATTATTTTTTGAACAAGATCCCCAATCATCTATTAAATAGTTGATACGACTCAGTATATGAGAGTAGAGAATCATGTTTGCAATTTTAATATCAAGTTTGGGACATCTTCTCAATGCACCAATAATTGGAGATATTTTTTTTGTCAGAACGTCAATATGTTTGTCCCACTTCAACCTGTCATCAAACCAAATTCCAAGATATTTTATCTGGTCAGTTTGTTTTAAGAGTTCATTTTTCATTTTAAGGTTGAGGTAAATTTGTTGTTTATTTTTTTGGTGAAAAATCATATATTCTGTTTTGTTAGTATTTATCGATAAAAGGTTGTGTCATTGTGTATGTCATTTATCATATTTTCTAAATTTGAAGGATTCTTGCCTTCATATAAAAGTACTGTATCATCTGCATACATGGTATATTTACTCGTGAGACCAATTTCACTGATACTTTGAACATAAAGTAAATATAGTATAGGTCCTAGAACAGAGCCCTGTGGGACACCCTTATTGATTAATAGTTTATTTGACACAGAGTTGGTTGATTTTGTATTGATTGTCCTATTTTCAAGATATGAATTCAAAATATTTCTCACAGTGCCTCTGAGTCCCATTGTTTCTAAGTTATCTAAAAGTGTTGTATGACCAACTGTGTCAAAAGCACGTGCGAATTAATCGCCATCTGCATATTAGTAGACACACTACACGTTTGTTTACCATTAGAAGATAAATTAATCATGTGGTGAACATGAATGAATTAGGATAGCCAATGAAGACATTTTCAACTTCATTGATAAATAGTAGACAGGGGCGTGCTGTATCGACTCGCGAAAATCGCACAGGACAGTAGCGTGTCAGGGGTAGCTGAAATAAGCCCCAACATGTGTATTTCAAATGTAACCCTATGGCTTGTGACCCCTCATTGGAAATCTGGTTGAAAGAGCAACCCAGGGTACTGATCAAATTCAAGTTTGCAGTACGTTCGGGAGTTGAATAAAATGAAAATATATTATAGGTATATCAACATGTGGATTTGAATATTTGTAGTGCGAGCACCGCATAAGTTACACTGGTCCATCGGATATTATCTTTTGACAGGGGTGAAATATTCTTGGAAATATTGACGCTCTGCCACTAACTTCGATCATTTTGAATCGCGGCACGTTTGGATATTACCATTCAATGAGGGACTTCGTTCCAAGTTGCCAACCTGAAAACCTCTACCAATGTAGAAGCAACATTATGGAAGTTTTATTACTCAAATAGCTTCATTTCATTCATATTCAGAAGAAAAATTAATTTTTGTGAACTCCAGTTCTGATTAGTTGAAAATTATATTGATATACTTGTCACATTTTTGTTATGTATTTAAGATTATTTATTTATGGACAATACTATTATTTATCATTATTACGTAAAGAAGTTTGAATCGTGCAGTAGGAAGTAGGAATATATTTGATTGCTAAAAATCGATCCGGACATGAAAAATCGATCCGGACATGACTTAGTAAGAATAAAATAATGAAGTTTCAACCTTCTGAAATGGAAAATAACCCAAGGAAGTGTCTTTAAGTGGATGAAACCATAACTGTTTGGAAATGAAGAAATCACAGTCGATATCATAAATAAAAATACTAACATACTTATGTAATAATAAGCGTTTTCTTAGTAAAAAATAACAATAGGGAAAAGAAATCGTTCAATAAATACTTTTGAAGGTTACTTGACTCTTGATTGATTGTCTTTGTCACCCCAAGAAACATTATTGTTTATAATAGGGATATATAGATCTTATATCCCAGTTGCAATTAAATAATGTTGATAGCCGCTTATCCACAACATAACCTCAGTCTCAATTTCTGAAGATTTCATGATGTTTTTTAACATTGAAATTTAATGTTAAGAAGTACTTACCAAGTCTGAATGCGTTGTAGATATAAAAATAATCATAAGCTGAGTTTCAAATGGACCTAACCTAATTTGAAACAAGCAAAACTTCTTCATCCTTGTGCGCCCTGTAATAACTTTGTCAAATCTGTGGAGTAAAATTTACCCACTTATTTCGTGGAGTTACAAGAGCTAACCTGACGCCAAAAACACAAAGTAAACTCTACTACACAGATTTCCAATGACCACCCGATATCTGTCCAGGCATCCCCGACGTGGTCCGCATGTCGATGCTGAACGACAGCGGCTGCCCCTCCACGACCGACCGCCGCCACATCACCGGCGCCTCGAGCAGCTCGAACACGAACGGCTCCAGCTGCGCCCAGGGCGGCAGCTACCCGCGCGAGACCCTAAACCCGCCCCCCAGCCCCGCCACTACGGCCGTCTCGACGCGGGGCAGCAGCCCGTCGACGCGCTACCGCCCCTATCGGCACTACCGGTCCATCAACCAGCCGCCCCCGCCCACGCCCTGCTCGACGGACGTGTGCGACGAGAGCGACTACAACTACCCGGCCAGGGGGCGGGACGACTTCGGGCCTGAGCCGCCCCCGCCTACGCCGCGGTCGCACCAGCAGGAGAGTTGCCCGCCGTCGCCCAGTTCGAGGTCGTCGACGTACTTTAGCCCGCTGCCGCCGCCGCCCTCGCCTGTCGCTTCGCCCAGGGGCAGCTATCATTGACTGTTTATATTGAGATTTTCTAGTTTTATTGGAGAAATAGATATTATCAAATATATGTTTTTGATTAAAGCGGGGGTTTGTTTGCTGCCGATTCCTTTTCTCAGGTCATTTAACGATCTTTGTTCAATTATAAGAACAGCTTTACAGTTTGCAATTTTCTAGAAAATTGCAGCAATTTTCATTGCGCATATCAACGTCTTTTTGAACAGATGTCGCAATATTTCGTTGCATTGCAGGAGTCGGGTCCGGACCTATTTTTATTGTGGCAATTCATATTCGCGATAGAAAACAACACGTCGCCCCATCTGACGGCAACAACTGGAACACTTCTGAGCGGTTTGTTTTGATGCGATGACCAATAAGCACAAACAAAAAACAAATGTGAACCAATGAAATTAAAGTAAACAGGCCTCTTTGACAGCTTTCAAGAGCTTCGATAGGTGGCTTAGGCTTATTTTCTATCGCGAATTGCTACTGCAATTCTAATGACAAAATGGTAGAGAATCAAAAATGCTATGAAATACAGGATATTCCATTTGAAACAACAAAGTTGTTGCTACTTTTCATTAGAAGGGACAACGCCGCAACGCGTGCTGTTGCAAGGTTCAATCTGCAACTTTTTCAGAAAATAGATCTGTTTTATAAAGAAACGAATTCATTTGCAAAATCAAAGATTAACTCAGATTATTATTCAGATCACTATAATGTCCATATGGTCTCATAAAGGTGTCATCACATAGTCAAAATACATGGTACTTTTGATGGAATTATGAAGAAAATAATAGTCAGCTTTTTATTAGGCAACAAGCTGTCCTAACAATCGCTGAATATTTCCGGCAAAATAGTATCACTTGTGGTATTACATATGAAAAAGCATACCACTGCAAAATGATCTGCAATCATAGTGGAAGGAGAAGATGGTGTGCCTACGCGCATATTATGTGACGTCATCTGGGATACCAATCAGCTGCTAGTCACAGGCAGATACCGTTGCCATGGGCTTGTGCAATGAATTCAATCATGTTTATTGAAATTCTATGAGTTTCTCGATCTGTTTAGAAATAGGTCAATTTATATTATATAAACAGGTACCTATTCCTTCGATTTTACTATTTCATTGATTCTGGAAATTGTGATCTTGAGGTAATTTGCAATCGCAAATAGCAAATACATACGAATTATCATGCATTGCCAATCCCATCTGAATAATCCACTACTGGTTCGATTCTGACAGATTCAAATTCAGCAGTTAACGACGTTGACGTTGCTTCTGCTCTGACATCGACAACAGGAGTATCAATTTTTGCTGTTTAGTTATTCACATCTTTGCTGCAATTTATATTATGTGGGAAATTAAGAGTTTTGAATTCATTTTCAGATATTTCTTACTTGATATTCGACGGAAGATGTTCTGTAGAAATGGCATCTTGTTTCAAATATTTGTGATTTTTTGTCAAGAACCGTACTTTCGCAGTTGTTTGGGAACATTTTGCATGGAAATGTTTCGAAAAAATACGTGCTGTAATATAAATGTGATAATATGATAGGAGAATACTTTGGAATGAGGATATGAGGAATATAAGGTAGGTACCATTATTTGAGTTTATATTCTGTGGGCAGCAAGCTTCCATTGTTTCATTAGGTCTCCATTCTTGGAAAAGCAGAAAAATTCAAAATCTGTGCCTTTTGTATGTTAGTTGGAATTTCCATAACCAGAAACGGAACAAGTGGGCATTTCGAAATTATTTCATACAATTTTAGTACTTATATAATATCTGAAGTTCCAGACATCAATCAGGAAGACAAATAATACCAATGACAGTTATATCCCTGACCTTGATCCCAGTTGACGTCATGCAAGACGAGTTTGAGCTTTCTGTTGAGCACACCATCTTCTCCTTCCACTATGTATGCAATCAAAGATTTCCAATAATACAGGGTGTTTTGAATTAATTGCATGAAGGAAATTTTATCCACAACTGGAAGTGACTTAATAAACAAAGTGGCATCAACAATATTAACATTCAATTATTTTAGTATCAAAATATTTCCTTGAACCACTTTTTTATCTCTAAGAGCGCACTAAAGGGAATCCCTATGATGGTATTCGGTTGTGCATACCTAAGGGAGAATAGGGAAAGGAGGTTGGTAATGGATTTTTTCAAAACTTCTTGGAAATACTTCCTTTAGAAAATATGTTATGTTTCAATAGGAACAATCTAAGATTTTGTTTTGAATATCAAAATACACATCTTGTTTGTTAACCCTTAAAAATAGAATATCTCACATGACAGTGTAGGAAATTATCCTGGAGGCCAACCCATTTGTCTTCCACCCAAAATGTGAATATGTAAGTGGTAGACAGATTGACAGCCATCTGGACCATTATTGATGACTAGCCGATATCCATTGGGTAAACGTTCCTGGGCAAGAGTTTTGGCAGTCAAAAGTACATGGGCAAGCACCTGATGCAGATAATAATAATGCTCAAAAATCAATAAAATACAGGGTGTAATTCAAGTATATGTGATCAAACTTCAAGGGGTGATTATTTGGGTGATTCTAAGATGAAAAGTTTATATAAAATGGTCCAGAGATGCTTCATTTTCAATAAAAAATCGTTTTTTTATCAATAATTCAAAATCCTGTTTCCCAATTTCAATGAAATTTGGTGATTTTGTTGACAGTACAGAATAAGCTTATTTCAGTGTAATTAGATTCCAAATACTGATTCCAGTGGCGTCCCAGTGGGTTACCTTTTTGATATTTATGGTAAATAAAAGGTACCTATATACATCTTAGTTTTTTTTTTCAAATTCTATATTTTCATCAGATTAAACAATTGAAAATACATCTTTCTTGTCCCCTATTGAATTTTTGTATATCACCTAGTTTCTATAAGGAAATAATGAAAAATTGATTGCATTCCAAATTTTAATGCAGGTGCCCCATAGGTGCCCTCATTAATGAGTATCATTCTGAAATTCTAAGACTTTTTCAGACACCAACCAGACTAAATTTTGCCATTATGAAAGCTTTATACAGGGTAATCATGAAAAACAACAGTAATTTTGCACTTATCATGTGATGGTTTTTTTTTCAAAATTTTTTTTGGTACTTATGTATTTTTGTCTGAAAAACACGAATTTGATAATGAAAATGTGAACAAACCACTATGTATCGAGATATTTCAAGAAAAAGTTCGAAATTTTGCCTTACTTTCCCCTAAGTGTTGGATGCATTTACAGATACTTGCTCTTTTTATTTTGTCATTGGACACTTTATATACTCATGATGTACTTCCATGACACATTTTAAGCTAGAAAATTCAACAGGAAATATGTTTTTTATGGCCAGTTTTTCCTATTTAGTGAGCAAGCATACCAGATGACAGCCATTTATTAATCCATAGGCAATCCAAATACCAGATGTCAAATGTCAATAGATTGCTTTGGGATGACATTACACATGCCATTATTTCAAATGATATTCTTCCTTCTTTCCACTAAACATGGATAAATTCACAAGAAAATCATATTTCTAGTTGACTCATATAATAAAAAAATGTGTCCAACATTGTGTGATATATATAAATTGTCCAATGATGGAAAAAGAAGGGCAAATTGTTCTAAATGCCATCCAAAGACAGGCGGAAAAGAAGGAGAAATTTGTAACTTTATAGTGAAATATCTTGATAAATAATGGTTTGTTCACATTTTCATTATCAAATTCGCTTTACAAAAAATTACTTAAGTACAAAAAAAAAATTCAGAAAAAACCCATCACATGATAAGTGCAAAATTACCAAAACAACAATTAACACTTCCAACTTCAACACCCTCTGTATCTTGAAAACTAGGGTCCCTTGATGGAAATTGACATTAAAGTATGACAAATACATCAGTTTACATCAAGGGACCCTATTGGAAACAAACCAAATAATCGGCCCTTGAAGTTTGGCCACATACTTATAACACCCTGATGGTATATCTGAATTATCTGATGAGGTGAGATAACCCTGAGATCAGGGTGATGAATAGTGAGATAATATTTCTTATTACCTGTTTATCATTATCAGTAGCATCATCTAATCTAGGAATTTGTTTCTTTGGAATCACAAGAAAATGCGTTGGGGCCTGTGGATTAACATCATTGAATGCAAGACACTGATTATCCTCGAATATAATGTCCGCAGGAATCTTTTTGGAAATGATTTTGTCAAATATAGTTTCTTGATTTTTTGCATATTTTGCTTGTGTAGCCTTATCCACCTCGGAGCTTAGCTGAAATAATACGAAGATGAATATTATTTTCTCCATTATAATGCATAAAATATAAGATTACCTACTTTTCTAGTTCCCGAGTAGAATTTTTGAAAATTAAATTTCTTCAAAAACATTGTTTTTGACACCTATTCAATCTATTCAATTAGTCAGCTGACTGCTTGCCTCTCCGTCTCAGTGGTGGCCTGTGGATACAATATAAGATAAGAATAAACTGGCTAAGTACCCTGAAAGCAAAGGAAACTAACTGAGAAAGCCCAAAAAGATGAGATATAAAATAAGAAGAAACGAGTTTTTGAGGTTATTTCATGTCACTTTTGAAATGAAAAACTATGAAAACTGATGAGAACCCAAATTATTTGAAAAATATTCACAAGATCTGTTTAATGCGTTGAATATATAATGAGATAGTTATAGATTTAAAAGTGAGTATTGTGTTGTATCAATATGTAAAAAACTAAAAACTGATATTCTATGTACCATAATGAACATAATTTATTTTTACAGAATGCCAGCAGAGAATATCCAATATTCTGAAAAATATTGTGATGAACACTATGAATATCGTCATGTAATTCTACCATTAGATGTAGCCAAATTGGTACCTAGACCACATTTGATGACAGAAACTGAATGGAGAAATTTAGGAGTTCAGCAAAGCCCTAATTGGGTACATTATATGTTGCACACTCCTGAACCACATGTCCTGTTGTTCAGGAGACCCCTGAACGGTACTGTACATCTGGAATATTAACTGGTTAATAGATGGAGTATCTTCAATTTCAAACAGTATAAATATGGCTGTCTATCATGAATTTTGGAATTATTACTTTTTTCCAAATAATATTGAGATACCATAGAGGATGATTCAATTACACTGACTGATCCACTGACTTGGAAAGTTTTTTTGTTATTAGATGATTCTAGTTTACTTTTTGTAATATGCCAATGACATTGTGATTTTTCTTAACATTGAATGAAATAAAATAATAAACATGATGACCTGATGATTTATTGTATATCAAAAATTGGTAACTGATATAAAACTAAGATTCACTTACAGGAAGCTTCTTTTTCTCTAATAGGGTATAGTTCAATTTTTCTGTGAAGAATGAGACATTTTTGTTCAGAGCATTGTCAGTGACGTCATATGTCGGCCATTGAACAGCTGATGGGGGGACAAGCATACACATTTTCCATTAGGGTACATGTAACTTTCTTGCACATTTACCACTAAAATATAATACCTGCAGCATCAATTTATTGACATGTTCCTTAATTCATTCATGATGAATCCTGTGAGAGAAGTGAATGAGTCCAAAGAAGAGTTCAAATTGGTTCATTTGCCAATTTTAAATTACTAGATTTACTTGAGTTCAGCTCTAATATACCTAATGGTAATATACCTCAATAGATACCCATTTTTGAAGAAATGTACACATTCTTCTTGTATAATATCTACAAGTTCAACAAAATCACCAATGGGTCAGAAATAATAAAATCAAAATTCACACACAGCTCTGTTTGCCCCCCGATAAGCTGATGAAAACGACGAGTGCGCCATGTTGTGACTTGTGACGTCAGCAGACATTGCTCTTATAGAAAAAAACTATGAGATAAATAAATTGAAACCTATATTGTAAATTTCATATTCCAAAGACTTCTTGATAGTTTTTATTTCATCAATAGGCCTTTTCATCTAGATATATTTTTAAGACGCATGCGCTCGTTTTTAGATCCAACAATTCATTGGGTAATGCAAAGGTGAAGTCTCATTGGCTATAGTTCCAACACAAAATCCTGATTGGCCATTTCGAATATGGCGGGTATTATTGACGTTCTGTCAAATGTCAACAGTGTCAACCACCATGGGCATTCCTCATTGAGAAACAACAATAACAACATAGTATTCTTGTTCTTATATTCCTGGTGTGTATTAATTGTATTATAATAATTTAATTCCAAAAAACGTTACTTATTCGTTACTGAGGAGTGTGGTACTGTGGTGTAAGTGTTTCAGTGAAAATGGCCGCCACTGTCGTTGGATGCGATATGTTAACAGAGATAGTCATTTGTCATCTAAATGAAAAGGCCTTTTGAATTGAATTATATTCCAGTTAATACAATTCACACTCATTGATGTTTCCAAAATATGGTAAGCCTTTGGTTGTAATAATAAATTATTATGAATAATAACAACTTCACTAAATTAGTGAAAAAGTAATAAAAAATTAGATAAAAAAGTTTGCTAGTGCTATATGACCTGATTCCAAATTAAGTTGCCCCAGTTTGACAAACTGGTGCAAGCTGCTTTCTGATTTCATCAGCTAAAGAGGCTCTTGCTACTTCTATCTCTTCTCGAGTTGATACTACCCTCAATTTCACAACACCATTTTTCAGCTCAGATTCACCTAGTATAACAGCCAAAGGGATACTATTTTCTTCACAGTGCTGCAGTTGCACTAGAAGTTTGGGATTTTTCTTGTAGGAATGCTCCACCTAGAATAAAAACCAGCATGATCATTACATAAATAACTACACACAGAACTGAAATAAACATTCCTAAGATCAAATTTTCTCACCTTCAAACCCACTTCCCACAATTCATTGCAAAGTTTCATTCGCTCCTCCAAAAGGTTTTTCTGTGCAGTGGCCACATAGACCTCAACTTCCGTGGTCCTCTGTTTAACCTGCAAGGCAGCCTGTCGGGCCTCCATGACTGCGAATAACCTTTCCACGCCTATAGACACGCCCACACAAGGTACTTGTTTGTGTTTGGATTCGAACATTCCCACCAAATTGTCGTATCGCCCTCCTCCAGCCACTGATCCCACCGAAACGTCATCTTGTGATTCATCTGAAATAGTGGTTTGAATAGAATAGTTCAGCTAGCGTTGAGAGAGAAAAAATATCTTCCCCATCTGTCCTTGTCTTGTTTCAACATAAATTGATGAAAATCGTATGTTGGCAACACTGGAAATGAGAAGAAATGGAGAAGAAATGGAGAAGAAGAACATGCTAACGAGTTTTATATTGACCTTGGAACCTGAAGACAAAGACAGATAGGGAAGAATTGTTTTTTCTTTCTCAACTCTAGCTGCATACCCAGTGAGGCAGTGATTTTCTTCAAGTCAAATCACTGACCTGAATGTTAATCAATCTATGCAAAGACCCGCCCTCCTGTCAATCAATAGGTTTGTTCTCGTTCGAAAAATAAACCGTCCAAAACCATTGAACGCATGCTCAGTTCCACGAAACATAAAAAATACTAACATTTTTGTGAAACTGCGCACGCTCCTGATGGTTTCGGACTGTTTATTTTTCGAACAAGAACAAACCTATCGAGTTTGGATGGCAAACAGAAACAATGGATTGTGGATTGTTTTCGTTCGTGAATTTCTGTTCCTATTGATCAAATTAGGAAGGGTCAAACATTTTGTGTTATTTGTTGGCAACAATGTAGGTCAAACCCTGGTCAAACTAAGTTAAATTTGTGGAATGTATTGAATTCTGTTGAGTACAACTCCAATAGAGACAGAAAGTCACAAAGGGAAACAACTCTACAAGGATAGGTAAATTTTGAATATGGCCGCATGTAGAAACCAATACTGTTTGTTCTATTTACATATTTGGTATACATAAATACAAAAGTTCAACCATTGTCTGCTAAATATGGGAAAAAATCTAGTGATCTGTAGTATCTGGTCTGCTCAAACGAGGGAAATCACCTACAGGTTCCTGTGGCCGATACAGTAGTGCCGCCATACGGTCAACTCGAGGAAACACTTATTTCAATTGTTTTCCTGTCGAACCTACATAACCTTGAAAATCGTAAATGAGTTGAGCGGTGCTCTCGGCAGTGAGTTTGAGTTCAGTCACGGTCACTCAGTCACTCAAAAATTCAAAAAATCATTCCATCCCAAAAGGGTTGCTACAGACACTACCATAGTCCCCAATTTTGCAACGTTCAACACCTAATTTAAATGAGAGGTAGAATCAGTAGTATCGATTATCAGTTTTTGATCAGGGCTCTGATATTATCTTACTTGTAACGAGTCTGTAACACTCAAAATCAAATGTATCCACTTATGTCACAAAGAAATATCACTTGGAAATCCATGAATGGAGACGGTTTCACAAGTTCTGGTAGGCAAAATAATTGAGAGACAGAGTTTGTGACAAATTATCAATCAGAATAAACTACTATAACACTGGGAGCACAATAACAGAAAACAATAAACGAAAGGAATATTAGAACATCGAAAATTGAAAGAGAAAGATTTTTTTAGGGGAAAATACAATACAAGTCACGATGGCACGACAGCTCTTGACACTGACAACTTGCATAACCACAAATTTCGAACATTTTCTAGAAAAAAGTGAAGATCATTTCGTCCGATACGGTAACATCCTCTGGTGGTCATACACCCAAGTGAGCTATAGAGCAGACCAGTAGTTTCAGCTCACTAGATTCTGTCTCCGTATTTAGCACACAATGGTTCAACGACAATAAGTTTCATGTAAATAGTAGATCAGTTATTTACCCCATAAGGAAGCACTGTGTATATACAGCTAACAGCATATCGAATATCTCTGTTGATGCCACAGACTTATACTGAGGAAAATTTATGGTTATCCCATTGTTATTGTTATCCTTTCATGAGACATGATAATGGCACTGAATTAAACTAATCAACGATGAACATTGAGAAAATTAATGTGAACTACCTTCAACTTCAAAACTAACGCAATGATGACGAAAAATGACGAGGCTGTCAAATTGCGTATTGACAATGATGAATCGACATACCGGGTGGCTACGGAAGTATTGCCTACGGAATATCTCAGTTATTGTATAAAGTAGGTTTGTGAAATTTGGAGCGTCGATATAATGACATAAGAGCTAGAATTTGAGCATATTGACATGTCGAAGTTAACTTCCGGTCTGACCGGAAGTAACATCAACTTTCTTATTTTAAATGGAAACCCCTTTTTTTTTTCTTTTAGCTTCATTCAGCATTCAATTCCCTTTCTAATGACATATCACAAGTTGGTATCTAACCAGAAACTAGATCAGAAAAAAATTATTATTGAAATTCGCCGAGTAGGCCGTGGAAGCAAAATGAAAGCCAAAAATTGAAAAGTTGGCTATGGAAACCATACGTCACTTGATAACAGTTGCTACTACTGTGATATTTTATTTTCATTCGTCGGCGTTATGAAAAGCCGCCAAAAAAAATATTGGAAAAATTGGTAAAAAAACAATACTCTGTAGGTCCATAACTTGAATAGGAACATACAACTTTTTCTTGCCTGTACTATTCAGCATAACCATTCCTTTTTAATGATATAATAGAAAGTCATTTTTTGAAATGAAATACCAAAAAATCCAATTATTATTCTTCAAATAACAAAAAAACAGATTTATCGAAAAAAAAAATTGGATTTTTTGGTATTTCATTTCAAAAAATGACTTTCTATTATATCATTAGAAAGGAATGGTTATGCTGAATAGTACAGGCAAGAAAAAGTTGTATGTTCCTATTTAAGTTATGGACCTACAGAGTATTGTTTTTTTCACAATTTTTCCAATATTTTTTTTGGCGGCTTTTCATAACGCCGACGAATGAAAATAAAATATCACAGTAGTAGCAACTGTTATCAAGTGACGTATGGTTTCCATAGCCAACTTTTCAATTTTTGGCTTTCATTTAGCTTCCACAGCCTACTCGGTGAATTTCAATAATAATTTTTTTCTGATTCAGTTTCTGGTTAGATACCAACTTGTGATATGTCATTAGGAAGGGAATTGAATGCTGAATAAAGCGAAAAGAGAAAAAAATAGGGTTTCCATTTGAAATAATAAAGTTGATGTTACTTCCGGTCAGACCGGAAGTTGACTTCGACATGTCAATATGCTTAAATTCTAGCTCCTATGTCATTATATCGACGCTCCAAATTTCACAAACCTACTTCATACAATAACTGAGATATTCCGTAGGCAATACTTCCGTAGCCACCCGGTATAAGAAACGCGGCGTTGTCACGTTTCAAGCAAGAAATCTCATTATGGAAATAGCAAAAATGGTGCAGTCCACTAATATAACAACAAATTCATCATACTGAAGTAATGATCCCAAGATGAAATGCCCCATTCCATAGTAATGTGGGTGAGCTGACCTAATCTGTGGTTATCCCAACAAAAACCCAGAAAAAAATGTAGGACAATATAATAATTACATCGTTAGTGGCGTCAAGGGTATCTCAAAGTTGACAACATTGACAAGAAATAAAAAAAAAATGGTTGTTGGTGCAATGACTTGAAGTTTTTTATTCATAATACCAATTAGTGTTTCTCTAAACATGAGCTTCTTCTAGGTGAATATCGCCACTATGCTATGATGCAACATCCGAAAGACAATAAAAATTGCGAAAAATACACTGGGTGAACGAATTGACATAAAAAATTGAAATAGCAAAAAATCACTCACCTGATTGTAGTACAGCTTCATAGATAACTCCAGTATAGTAATCCAGCCCTCTAGCCAAACTCAAATCGAACGAAACCCTATCCCCAGTTCCGTAAATCTCGCAGTACCTCAACAAGAGCTGCATAGCTTCCAGCCCTTCTACCGCCGTCTTGTTCTTCGACAGATTCTCGTCCTTCAACAGTTTCTCAACCAACTCGCTCTTGCCGTTCAATCGCACGTACTCTCCTATCCTGTCTGCTGACTCTTCTGAGAGACCTGGAATCAACGGGAATCTTGACCAAAATTATTACGCGAACCGGTATTAGAAAGTAGACATTGTATTGAATATAAAAAATAATTAGTTTTATTGAGAAGAATCCAATGTGAAAAGCGCCTGCGAGGTGTGAATCGTTGGTATTGGTATAAGGAATATTTTCTATTGCTGATAGAGAAAATATGTTTATTATAAGTTGCCTACTTCAACAAATAGTCACTATAATAGGCCACTAGTTGACCTGAGCACATTTTGACAGAGACTTTAATCCGTAAAGGTATCTCAAGTGAATAACAGAAAAATGAGTGGGAACTATTTGTGAGAAGGAATGAACGAGATAAGAGAAATAATTAATTCAACTTTTATGACCACATATCAGGTACATTGCTGAAAATATTTGAGATCAATAGACCAAGAGCAACTACTTGAGTAACCGAATTTTCAGAATGATCCAATGTCCCGTTCCTTGTAAACGTCCAAGGTACCATCGACCTTGACCCACCTTTATATAGGAGGTATTTTTTAAATAAGTACATATATTCAGCACATCGATATGATACAGCCTCACGAATATTCCCATGATATCAGATTTCTTCTAATTCTTCTATTTAACGAGAAATGTCATCCCGAAAATTAAACAAAAAACGAGAAAAAATCAAGGACGCTACTTTGAAATCATTCAAATGATTGAATTCCGCGTGATTGTGCCTTTCGCACGGAAATTTCAACAGATGTGACGTCAGAATTTCTACAGTGTAGAACTTTGGTTGAAAAAAAGGGTCTGACCCCAAATTTTATTTCGAGCCCTATATTTTTTCTATTAGTGCCATACGTCGAGCATCATCAGGGTGTGAAATATTTGCACTTATTTCAATGCACCCTTCAGTGTCAGTCAGTCAGTTATTAGTAATTGCTCAAAATACAATACCTAGTGAACATTTGGTGTTATAAGGTCATATGTTTATCAATTTTTTTTGATATGTTCAATGAAACTGTATAACAGTGAGTGTACCTATCCAACAATGTGTGAAAAAACATGTATATATGATGAATTGCAGAATAGATATATTATGTATTTGGAAATGCCTTCAATGTCTACACACAACCATTCTTCCTCCTGCCTAAATACTCACGAACCCTGTGAATTAAGTAACTTTGTGGAAGACCCCTGTATCGGCCAACCAGAAGAAGGGGTGCTGTACCAACCTTTTTCCGACACCATCTCTCTTTTCACTTCCTCCCATGGCGACTTGTCCAGCTTGTCGACGGCCGAGCAAATGGCCCTGAAGCTGTCTTGCGGCACGCCGCAGGCCTCGAACATGCCGTCCAGAAGCTTGCGGTGGTTCAGTTTGATCACGAACGGCGTCATCTCGAGTTTGGTGAGGATTTCGTACACTATTTTCACGCATTCCGCGTCTGGGATCATCGGGTCGTACGCACCGGCAATATCAAAGTCCTAAAAATGGCATTCGAAAACTGGGTGGATTTCATCCTTGTTTATTTACAGGTTACACTAACAAGATGGACCATCCTTATGAGAGTAATGAAGCCAGAAAATCGATTAAGCAGGGGGCGGTATCTATGAACGACAAGGTGAACTAATTTTTGTTGAGTAGCGAAGGGTAGTGATCGGTAATTCTGAATATATTAGAAGTTTGTTTTCAGATGTTTTTTATGCAAGAAGGAATGTCTCCCCAGAAGTCGAATGCTCTAGCCTATGTTTGCATCTTCAAGAGAAGATTCAAACTAATTACACTATGTTGTTACTCACAGACCTCAAAAGATTCGTCATATCATCAAGATATATTTTTGTTGCAAATAATGAGCCAATGCGCTGTTCAAAGTTGTTGAAGGGTATGACTACGAACAGAACGTGTCACCTGTCATTCTATATCGATTTTGATTACGTCAGCTGTTGATATTTGTCATTGTTTATGATTGTTTCTCGTCGAGGTGGTTAAAATCCTTGGTCATCATATGGGTCTGGTCCCCCCATTTGATATTGTGTGAGTCCCCTGACTCCAGGGTATACCCACATAACACTCCACCCCGTTTGTAGGCTCGTTTGACCGATGTCTCCGACTACACTTAGGCCATTGTATCTCACCTACACGCCGTTATCAATTTTACCATATACGACTCATGGTGCTCGTTAAGGGCCACTTCAATATGAATGACCATTTTCGTTCAGGTTCTTGAAGATTACTCTTCCGATCCCTATTCTCGTCTACGAAGAAGGCCCAAAGTTTTCCTTCTCCTACGAGTAACGGGAAAAGGGGTTGGTCCAGTCCTGTGGTGCCCCCCTGCACAGCGCTAAGGCTGTTTACTCTGAGATGTCGCCCTGTTTCCCACAGCTTGGATTAGGTTGCCAGAGCCTCGTTGACCAGTCCTCGGCCACCTAGACAGATATCAACAAATCGCCCCAACTTTGCCACAGATGTCGACAAATTATTGTCCAATCTGGCGCAAGACAGCAAAGATGGTCCCAAAATGCTTCATCTGTCGGGCGGTCGCGATCTGTCCTCCCCACATCACTTGATGGTGAGGTAGGGCTTGGAGGAGAAGAGGAAATTGAAAGAGAAGTTGACCAAGAAAGGCCGATGGGTTGAATGCAAGAACTGTCAGATGACCGACCCTGTAGGTGAAACATTGAAACTTTGAAATACAACCTCACTTTTCTTATTTGTTCACAAGTGATTGAAATAGTTTTTCACGATTATTTTGGCATACGAATCGTGTGTTTCGGCTATTCATTATTTGGTGCATGTCATCACATTGTGCTGTTGTACAATGCACAAAAAATGCAGCGGGAGACGAAGGAATCTAGTTGGTACATTATGATTTAAAAGTAAGTACTTACTATAGTCACTCACATGTAGTTTTCATTTTGAAATTTGGTAATTTCTCATCGGAATTCCTTCTGCAATAGGAACTAATAGAAATACTCGTGAAATTTCTAAAATAATGCAAGAAAATTGGATTCATGGAATCAAACGGGAGGACTGGTTTGACATGCTGACGAAATATGATCGTGTGTGTTGTAGACAGTTTCCATCTATTGGCAGTATTAGCTTCTTTTGCAGAAGTGGCAGAACGAATTTTATTAAGAAATGACAAAATTGTATGATGAACATTATGTGAGATTACTATTTACCTGAAAAATCATATTCCTTCGTCTCTCGCTGCATTTTTTGTGCATCATACAACAGCATGAGAAGGCATGCTTGAATTAATGAATAGCGCAAAAAAACACGATTCGTATGCCAAAATATTGTGAAAAACTGTTTCAATCCTTCGATTCCTCTGTGAACAAATAAAAAAAGTGAGATTGTGTTTCAATGTTTCACAGAAGAGTGAGGTTATGTTTCAATATTTCATCTCCAGGGTCGGAAATCGTGCACGCAACCTATAGGATAGAATGAAAAAGGGAAGATTAGAGGATATTACCCAAGATAAGTTGAAGTATGGTGAATATTCCGCTAGGGTATCTCGGGTTCACCATTCCCGTACTCACAAGTTGTGAGCCCCTGAGGGGCATTGTTTATATGTTATGTGCAGTCCACTTTTCTTTTATAAAATGATTTCAGAAGTGGATCAACAATATTCAAATTCATCTCAAATACAGTTCAGTAAGATATAACTGAACTTTGAACATGATTTTTACCAACCATGTTTTAATTAATCAGGTTATGATTTGAATTTTTCTACATACACATTGATAAAACTCCCGGTAACGCCCTTTGGATATGGAAGGATTATCGCGTCTATAAACTTTTGCTATGTGGTAACGTTTGATGTTTGTTATTTTGTTCATTGCCAAGTATCTAGCAAACGGTACTGTGAGGTCATAACGAAGAGAAAGTATTTCACCTCCTTGGTCCTTAAGGTCATAAATGAGTTTGGAATCTTCACCATATTTCCCAGTTAACACTTCCTGAAATCAAAAACTGATATTGGAAATGAAACTCAGAGCCTGACATTTTTTAATCCTACCTTCAATTCAAAAACTGGTGTGTCGATGGTTTCAGCTCCGTGTTTTTTGAAAACTGATACGATTTTGTCTAAGACATTCAATCGCAGAGCCATTTGCTCCGGGGCAAAATCTCTTGTTCCTTTCGGAGTTTTGAGGGTGAATTTTTGATTACCCGGTATGTTATTTCCATCCTCGACATTTCCAAGCTGTACTTTCAACTCTAAAAGTTTTGCAACTTCCTCTGCTATCTGAAATAAAAAATAACGAAATATTTACAATTACAGGGAGGGCCGATGAGAACTTTCCACCCCGCCTAGTAGTTCATTCGATTGTCCCATTTTGTATCCCATTTGTAAAGTTTTTGATAAAAATCAACAAACCAACAATATATTTTTCTCCATGTATACGAAAGACTTCAAGTTTCTCTCTTTTGTGAAAATATTATATGTTCCAAAGGCATGTAAAAACATTGTATTTTATCGAACTGCTTCTGTGCCTATCACTATGACGAGCGAAATGCTTTAAAACTGGCACAGGGAATAACATGAAATAAAAGTCATGTTGTAGCCATTTAGTGGTAACGCTCTATGGTAGGATACAGAGATCGCGCCACACACTGTATGGCGCTGCCATCTGGTGGGTCGAAACAGTAATGTCTCGCTCCTGCTGACAATTGGGACCACTCTGTTCATCCTGGATCTCTTAGTTATGAGATCTAGCAGTTAAAACTGGCACCTTCCTATGAGGTAATTTGCAATTAATTTCACGATTTGAAAACGAGATTAAAATTATGCCATTCGATACCAATTGAATCAAAAACCTACTTGTGCCACCCTTCAATATGATCTAAGTTAGTACCAGAGCGTCAATATCTCCGAGAATATTCCGCCCCTGTCGAAAGATAATATCCGATGGACCCATGGACCAGTGTGTAACTTAGCATGTGGATTTGAATCAAATTTGAATACTTGTAGTGCGACCACCACATTAGTTTTACACTGGTCAATCGGATATTATCTTTCAACAGGGGGGAAATATTCTCGGAAATATTGACGCTCTGTCACTAGATCAGTTTGAATCGCAGGACTTTTTGATATTTGCAAAAGGGAACATTATCTCTTTTTATTTGCTTTTTGTTTCAACTTGTCATCATATGACGGAAGTATCTCCGGAATAATAGCAGCAAATAAATCGCTGTGCAGTGGTTTTTACAATCTATCATTCAATTGGTATGGGATGGTATTGTTCTTATATCGTTATCAAATCCCGAAATTGAGTGCAAGTTCACAGAAAAGTACCAGTTTGCTCATGATAGTGATTAACACAGGTGCTTTTTGGATGAAATACAATGTTTTTAAATCCCTTTGGGACATATATACAGGGTGATCCACGGTGGATGGTCAATGAGAAGTATCTGGAGAACGAAAAGACAGAACATTCTGAAAATTGGGATGCTTTGGTAATCGAACATTGTCTATCCGTCTAAAATATTTTCATCGATACAGTGTTGCCACTTCTATCAGAAACAACTAGCAACTTTGTTATTTCAAATGGAACACCCTGTATTTTATTGCATGTTCAAATTCTTCGTGAAGAGCTGATTTCATCAATGCATCACACTTTGGGTCTAGCACGAATGACTATAGAGATATAGGTTGTTCAAAATCGAGATTTTTTCAGTTTTAGGATTTTTTCGTGTCCAAACTATTCATTGTCGATCAAAACGGCTTACATGTCCCTATCTCAACTTTTGATTCACTATCTACTAAAATTTGATTGGATAAAATACAGGGTGCTTCACGATTCAGAATTCTGATCACCCTGTATCTCTTCCAATTAAATGTCAGTAGATAGTGAATCAAAAGTTAAGATAGGTACATGTAAGCCGTTTTGATCGATAATGAATAGTTTCGACACGAAAAAATCCTAAAACTGAAAAAATCTCGATTTTGAACACCCTATATCTCTATAATCATTCCTGCTAGACCCAAAGTGTGATGCACTGATGAAATCAGCTCTTCAGGAAGAATATAAAAATGCAATAAAATATAGGGTGCTAAATTAGAAATAGCGAAGTTGCTAGTTGTTTCTGATAGAAGTGGCAACACTGTACCTATGCAAATATTTTAGACGGATAGAGAATGAATTATCAAAGAATCCCAATTTTCAGAATGTTCTGTCTTTTCATTCTCCAGATACTTCTAATAGGCCAGGTCGGAATTTGCAGGCTACTCTTGGACTAGAGGAAATGATTTAGCTATTGTGTTTGTTTTTCCATCAACATAGTGCCAAAATGTTCAATTTAATTGATGTTTTTTTTATTTCTACTTGTTCGTAAAATCATTTACTATGTAAAATGGTAGATAATTATGATAAAAATGATATACCCAGTGATATACATATTTGTGACCCAAGTAGTAGTTGACATTTTTTTTAATATCCATTTAGAACTAAAGTAAAACCTCACCCTAAATTTGAAAAATTGAGATCAAGGTCTCCAAGGATGGATAAATCATATGCATTCTTATTGCCAGAAACTTTCAGTAAATGTATCAATAATAATTAGTGAGACAATTACATTCAGTAAATTCGTAGTGTTACATAAAAGATTAGCTTTCACTGACCTGTGGTTGCCCCTTGAGCAATGAATTGGCAGTGTAAGAACACCTATTAACAAATCCCACAGGCCGTGACAAGGAATAAATAGATCGAAACATTTTTTCTTCTCTCAAACCAATTGTTCAGATCTTAAAATATAAAAAAATAAACATTAGCAAACAAAATGATATCAAACAAGTGACGATTTTATTTCGAAGTGCTCACTCTAAGGAGCTTTTACAATACATTTTTTCTGTGACGGGAAAAAAGTTTGGCATGTCATCCCTGTTGGCGGGTTATAAAATGTCACATTTCATAAATTACTTTTTTCCCGTGGGAAAAAAGTGAGTACTTTTTTCCCGGATATATATTACATATATACACAATACACTGTTGATGGCTTTTGTTGTGCTATAGTTCCGAAAAATGAGTCAATAATACCGTCTCTGAGAAAGAACTGCAAGTCCTTTTATCTTCCATTCGACTTCGCGGTTACGAATATTACTAAACAATCACAAAATTCGCAATTTTTTGAAATCAAATTACAGTATTAGACTGACAGAATTAAGTGACATCAGATATTTGATTACTTCAAATGAATGATAAAGATGCCTACAACGCGGTGACCCTACTGTTAAAAACTTAAAATTTCACGTCGATAATTTTCAGATTTCAAAATAATGTAATATCTTCTCAATATTGATTCGTCCTTTCTTCTGTCACAGAAAAAAATAGTGTATTATACACGGGAGAAATATTAGATTTTAGCTCACGGTTTTTTGTCTCAACACAACCTGGAGTTAAAATCTACTACTTTTTTCCCTTGTATAATAAATAACTATTTATCCATGAAGAATAACAATGAATGTTTTTACTGGCCAGGCAGTCACGAGTACAAACTGAATATACTTATACAGGGTGTCCCATAAGTCGAGGATCAAAACAAGTGGGGTGGTAGGGGGGTTATTTCGAATCAAACTAACCCTATATGTGGTTATCCAATTTTTGATGATTCAAAAGTTATCAATGTTTTTTTCACAATAAACCTATGTCACATTTGAGATTTTTTCTTTCACAAATTCCATCCACATGGATGCACCTTTCACCAGAAATAATTTTATGACATGTATTACTGCTTATCAATTACCTGAGAAAAATTTTGTTTTCCTTGAATTTTGTCATTTAATGAAATATTTAAGTCGATTTTTAAATGTCCCTGGCAGATTTAAAAACTACCTTATGAAGATAACCAATCATATGGAAAAGTTGCCCATTTAATAGGTCGCGTGCAAGAACTGTCAGATGACCGACCCTGGAGGCAAAACATATTTGTTTACAAGTGATCGAAATAGTTTTCCACAATTATTTTGGCATATGAATCGTATTTTTCCGCTATTCATCAATTCGCTAATGCCATCACATTGTGTGCTGTTGTAAAATGCACAAAAACTGCAGCGGAAGATGAAGAAATCCGGATGGTACATTATGATTCAAAAGTAAGTACCTACTATAGTCACTCACATAGTTTTCATTTTTGAAATTTGGTTATTTCTCTGATTTCTCATCGGAATTCCTTCTGCAATAGGATCAGCTAATAGAAATATACCTGAAATTTCTAGAATAATGCAAGAAGATTGGATTCATGCAATCAATCGGTAGGACTGGTCTGACATGCTGACGATCGTGTGTGTTGTAGACATTTTCAATCTATTAGCAGCATTAGCTTGTATTGCAGAAGTGGCAGAAGGCAGAAGGAATTTTAATAAGGAATGACAACATTTCATAATGCTAACTATGTGAGATTACTATTTATCTGAAAAATCATATTCCCTAGTCTCTTGCTGCATTTTTTGTGCATTGTATAACAGCACAATGTGAAGGCATGCTTGAATTAATGAATAACGCAAGAAACACGATTCGTATGCCAAAATATTGTGGAAAAACTATTTCAACCTTTTGATTCCTCTGTAAACAAATAAAAAAGTGAGGTTGTGTTTCAATAATTCACAGAAGAATGATGTTGTGTTTCATTATTTTGCCTCCAGGGTCGGTCTTCGTGCAAGCGACCTATACAGATTCCGAAATGGTATAACATATGGGGTTATTAAAAACAGCCATTTTGTTATTGATATTTTTCGAATGGGTCGCATTTTTCAGAAAAATTGAACAACTTCTGAACCATCAACAATTTGATGACAACATATACCGTTAGTTTGATTACAAATGAACCCCCCTACCACCCCACTTCTTTTGATCCATTACCTATGGGACACCCTGTAGATATGAATTCAATATTTTCATCGCCTGTCAAGACAGGAAATTTGCTTTTTCACTAAACATGTAACTTTATGGGCTAAAATTTCGAAAAGTGTTACAAGGGATTATTTTTTACAAAAACTAATGAAGAATTATCATTTAGAATCACTTAAAATACAGGCTGATTCACGGTGGATGGCATATTTATTTATTTTGGAGAATACAACTCAGGATCATTCTAAAAAGAGTTGTGTTCTATCGACCTAAAATATTCTCAGTGCGACGTTGCCGCTTATATTGAAAAGTAGCAACTACTTTGGTTTTTTTGATGGGACATCCTGTATATCATTCTCCCTGAAGAGCTGATTTCATTGACATAATATAACACTTGGGGTCTAGCAGTAATAATTACAGAGTTATAGGATGTGAAAAATCGAGATTTTTCAACTTTAGGAATGTTTTCTGTCCAAACTATTCATAATTGGTCAAAATGGTTTTCATGTCCCTATCCCAACATTTTATTCACTATCAATTATTGATATTTAATTGAAATAAATACATGGTGGTTCAGAATTAAGATTTTTGGCCACCCTGTATCTATTTCAATTAAATATCAATTGATAGTACATAAAAAGTCAAGATAGGGACATGGAAACCGTTTTGACCAATTATGAATAGTTTTGACACAAAAAATTTCTAAAGTTGAAAAATCTCGATTTTTCACGATTTTTCACATCCTATTACTCTGTAATTATTACTGCTAGACCCCAAGTGTTATGGGTCAATGAAATCAGCCCTTCTGGGAGAATCTGAAAATGGAATATTATACAGGGTGTCCCATATAAGAAATCGAAGTTGTTGCTACTTTTCAATATAAGCGGCAACGTCGCAACACTGAGAATATTTTAGGTTAATTAACTTGCCAAAGAGGGGAATTTATTAGATGCATTCATTGATTTCTAATATTTATATACATTATTGGAATAGGTACCTAATTGGTTATTTTTTTCTAGTGCTGTGAAAATTTTTAAAAATGCTGAATAAAATACTATTCATAGAGGTATAGACAATGTCAAGGTTTCATAGTTTCATAACTCCAGCCTGCAACATATACTTATCTAAATATCAAGGATTATTCAATATAAAAAGTAAAAGTATGTACTGTTCACTTATTTATAAAAAGTAAAGAATGATTTGAATATGGTAGGACAAATTTGAGGATCAATTATGCACATGAGTTGTTTAGTTTCCCTAACTCTATTGAACAAAATCGGGTTCAAATTATTGTTCAAGTTAAAATTTCAAATTTTGGCAGGTTAACTTCTTTATAACTACCCATATTCAATGATTTTTAAAAGGGAATCAAGAAATGCAGAACAGTTTGTTCAGAGTTATGAAAGATGGAGAAATCATCTGAATAGTTATAAGAAATTGCGACAATGTGCAATATTTTGTTGCATGTTGCATGTATGCACATTGTACACACAGTTTTTCATTTTCTCACCCTCTCTTTCGTTTCCTTGGCAGCTTTCAATTTTCGTACGATATCTCCTTGTTCTTTAATTTGAAGTTCCAACAGTTCTTTTGACGGCATGACTAATAATAAAAAAATAAAAAATTACACCATTCAAATAAGCAGAATCACGAATACGATTGTAATTTCATATGGATTTTATATATTAAAAGGTAGGGAAGGGAAATTCGGAAGTTGAAGATTGTGACGTTTGGTCTTTAGCGTGAACAAATCATGAACAAATACACATAACAAATGTCAAACTCGAAACCTTTCTTATTCGTCTTCTTTTCTTTTTATTGCATTTATGATCATTTTACTGACATAGCAAAGGACTATAGCAACAGAAGCTTGTAATTCTGCAGTTCTATATTAATTATCATCACATAAATAAGTAGATTCTGGAATTAACCTACAAACAAACCTACTAACCTACATTGTTCGTTTTCTTTTTCACACTTTTGTCCAATCTTTCTGTTTAATAAAATGAAAAGAATTCAACAGGGAGGATTTGGAGGAGCTAGAGATCCCGAAGATGAAAAGAAAAGAAGTCGTGAATCTGTCGTATCAAATGTTGTCATATTTGGGGCATGCATTGCAATAATACGTGCATGTGAGTACCAGATCAAACTTTGGCCTATGATATGCTATATAGGGTCTCTAGTTTATCAATGATATGAGATTTTGGTTTAGGAATGATTTCCATTTAGAAAATCATGCTTCATTGAAATAAGAATACTCTAAAATCTGCATGACATTAGCTAGAGAGGACTCCGAACTTACCACTCTCACCAGAGTAAAGTTCCTAAAAAATGTACTTGACACTGCTGTGACGTTTTTACACCAAGAATTCACTCCATTGATGAAAAACTATTATAGATCTGTAATCACAGAGTATTAATTTATAGTGTTGGGATCATTTTTCTGGGACTGTTATTCTTTGTACATTTTCCTAAAATTGTTGAGAAAATTTATTTATTTTCAGTACCTATCATTCTGGAGAGACTATAGATATGGAATTACTCACCTATTAATCCTTATATGACTTAATATTGTGATTACTTTCATACAGTTTAGGCTATTTGTATGAGTTAGGTAAATGTAATATATTGATTGGTACATAATTATTTTATCAGACTTTTCATCAAGCTTTAACAACCCACAAATAAAATCAATTGACATTCATGAATATCCCAGTGTTCCAGTTTGAATATCCACTTGGTTATCTGCAAACCAGTCAATTAGTTTTTCAAATAGAACTGAAAACTGAAATCTATTATTCATAACAAAACTCATAACAAATCATATCTTGAACACACTGCCAATTTATACAAGTCCAATAATTTATTAGATAAGGTAAAACTGCATTTAGCATGTGATGGGTTTTTTTTCGAAAATTTTTTTTGGTACTTACGATTTTTGTCTGAAAAATACAAGTTTGATAATGAAAATGTGAACAAACCATTATTTATTGAGATATTTAGTGAAATAGTTACAAATCTCACCTTCTTTTCCGCCTGTCTTCTGGTTTGCATTTAAAACAATTTACCCTTATTCTTTTTTCATCATTGGACAATTTATATATTTATATCACAATGTAAGACACATTTTTTTCTATTATTGAGTCAACTAGAAATATGATTTTCTTGTTATTTATCCATATTTAGTGAAAAGAAGGAAAAATATCATTTATGTGTAGTGTGTAATGTTATTCAAAAGCACTCTGTTGACATTTGACATCTGGTATTTGGGTTGACTATTAATTAAATGGCCGACATTTGGTATGCTTTTTCACTAAATATGAAAAACTCACCATAAAAATCATATTTCCTGTTGAATTTTCTGTTTAAAAATGTGTCATTGAAGTACATCATGAGTATATAAAGTGTCCAATGACAAAATAAGAAGAGCATCAAGTACCTGTAAATTCATGCATGCAACACAAGGGGGAAAAGGAGTCGAAATTTCGATCTTTTTTTTGAAAAATCTCGATAAATAGTGGTTTGTTCACATTATCATTGTCAAATTCGTGTTTTCAGACAAAAATACGTAAGTACCAAAAAAATTTTTCGAAAAAAAAACATCACATGCTAAATGCAGTTTTACCAAGACTTTTTCCTCGACTTTTTCTCCATATAAACATGTCTCCTAAAATGCCCACCCTCCGAGCTACAGCCTTAAGTAGGGTAAAAAAAATTATCTAAAATTGTGATAATAATAACAGATCAAATCCTCTGAAAATTGGCATGCCCCTGCTTTTTTAGGCACTCTTCTTCTTTTCTGCTTAAAAAATTATGTTAACCCAGTTTTGGGGGAGTTGGAGGGGGGTCCACCCTCGGAGGGGATGCATTATGAGACACATGTTAATATCTAGAAAGTGCTATTTTGATCCCAACCATACAGGGTGTTTCATGATTGAATGTCAATATTTGGGAAGGCGATTCTTGGGCCCATTCTAAGAAGAAAGTTTCATATGAACGTATGACCTAAACATCCTAACTTTTGAGATACAGGGTGATAAAGTTCTCAAAAATTAATAGTTTTTTATTAATATCTGTAATACCACTTCAGATATTCTGATGAAATTTGGCATACATGTACTATGTATCAAGAGGCATCAGTTAGCGTACCACATTTTTTGTTGTTGCCACCAGTGGCGTTCGTATGGAATTTCACATACCTATTTTGGCAGACATTGATGGTACGCCACTGATTAATCTCCAAATTGAAATCATTCCTGAAATTCCCATTCATTTCTAAGCAAATTTGATCACTACAATTTTTTCAATCTGATGTACGGTTTTCGCTTAAAAAAATAAAAAGCTTTTCACTACATTATTATTATGACAATATCACAATGCAGAGAAATAGATTTTATTTTTAAGATCGAATTTCAGAAATACAATTCATAGTTTATGAACTTCGTATTCGTATTTGGTATTTTGGAATTTTAACTTCTCATTGTAGTAGGCTATATTAATTTTTGTGAACTTTACCACCCTGTATCTCAAAAGTTAGGACGTTTAGGTCATACGTTCATATGAAACGTTCTTCTTAGAATGGGCCCAAGAATCGCCTCCTCGAATATTGACATTCAATCATGAAACACCCTGTATATCCTTGAAATATTTATATCGAATTTTGAATCACCCTGTATAGTTTTTTTGAACTTCTCAATATTCAAATTGCAGACTCTATTATTTATGCTCAATTGACTAAGCCGTTACTTGATGTAGACTTGAGTATATTGTATGAGTATTTCACCTGAAGATTAAATAAGCTACTGTGTTAGTGAAACATGTTCTGTTATCAAAAATGTCGTGCATGGAAATCTAATTGTTTGTGAAGTTTTTCACTTCCTATATTTATTCATTGATAGGTACTGACTGGAAGTTATTCCAAATTGTTACAAACATACAGAAAAACACAAATATACAGGGCGGCCCGAAATTACATAGAAAGATTTCAGCCACAGATTCTAGGAACAAAAATTGTTAAAAAAGTTCATATTAACATGAGCCCAGAACACGTGGCCCAGAAATGGCCCCCTGATGAGCTATAGCCCGAGATAATGTTTTTTTCCAAATATTTCCAAAACCCTCTGTTTTGAGATATTGAAAAAATTTGTACATGTATATTAATTTTCATGCCCGATTTGGAACTGTTGAGAATTTTCCGAAATTTTGATCAGGGGCGTGGGAAATAGGTGGAGCTAGGGGCGTTTCTTCAGCCAACTTTTTTTCAGGATCAGGAAATATGAAAATATCATCATTTTTACCTAAGAATATTCTTGTTTAGTTTCAATAGCACTCACAATTTTCGAGATAAATTGATTTTTATAGTCTGCTGCGTTATAAAAATAGTACTTGTTCTTGATAGGGTACCAATATTACCAATACCATAATATTTTTAGAATTATTCTTTTCATTGTTCATCTCGAAAATGGTGAGAGCTATCGAAACTGAGCATCAAGAGTATAATTTTTGAGTACCACCTATTTCCTACGCCAATGATCAAAATTTCGGAAAATTCTTAAAATTCACATATCGGGCATGAATATTAATATACATGTACAAAATTTCGTTATCTCAAAACAGAGGGTTACGGAAATACAGGGTGTCCGGAATGGGCCTGTCGTAAATGATTGGTCAATAACTCTGTAATGAAGTGTGATAGACATTTTTTCATATGAATAAGTACTGACATTATTTTGGATCACTCTATAAGGCCTATCATTTACGACATTACCTTTCCGGACACCCTGTATTTACGAAAACCATCATCTTGGACCCTCTTTCAGATGGCTATAACTCCCCAGGAGACAATTTCTGGGCTCATGTTTATATGACCTATTTTTTACTATTTTTGTTCCTAGAATCTGTGGTTGAAATCTCCCTGTCTAATTTCTGGAAACCCTGTATAATATATATATGTAGTTAATTACCTACCAATTTTCATTTTTGATGATTATGAATTGAAAGCTTAATCAATTCGATTGTTTTAATTAATCATGTGAAAAACTGAAAATAAATCGTTAAACCACCAAACGTCGATGTTATGAATCAATCACCGCTGGAAATCGGAGAAAGCCGTTACGTAATAACCGAATCAAACGCCGATAATCTCATAACCGACCGTACCACGCATCATCGAATGCAAACGAAAAAAAAAACACCTCCTGGCCATCGGACCATAAATCAGACGGACAAAACAACGAGGAAACCGGCGCAATATAAAATGAATCCTAAAAATGCACAGACCAGTACTGCCACCACAGTCCTCAGCACCATGAGAGTCCTGGTGCTCCTCGCATGCCTGTGCATCACCGTCGGTTTCAACTCCGCGAGAACAGTAGGCGGCGATGACGAAACCGCGATAGTCCCGGCAGATTCAGCTGTGGCCGAGTCGAAACACGGCCACTCGAGCCACCACGAGTCCGGCGGCGGCCACGAGGGCCACGAGCACCACAGCGCCAGCCACGGCGAGAAGGGCGACAAGGGCTACAAGTCCGACCACCACCACGACAAGGCCGAGCACGGCAAGCACGGCAAACACCACCACGCGGGCCACCACGAAGAGAAGGGCGGCCACCACAAGGGCCACCACGACGAGGCTGGCCACGAGGGCGAGCACCACGCCTCCGGAAAAAGCCACAAGGGCGGCAAGTTCGGCGAGAAGAAGGGCCACAAGAAGGGCCAGAAGACCACCGGGTACCACCACAAGTCGCACAAGGACGATTATCACAAGGAGCACAAGTTCTACGACGACTATCACAAGGGCGGGCACCATTCGAAGCACGGAGATTTCCACGGGCATCACGGGGGCAAGTCCGGCCATCACAAGAAGGGCGGGTCTCACAAGAGCGGGTACCATGACGATCACCACGGGAAGAAGGGGCATGCGGACAAGGGGCACTACGACGAGGACCACAAAGGGTTCAAGGGACACGGGGGGCACGAGAGCCACCACTCGCATCACTCGGACTACGGGAAGAAGGGGGGACACAAGGGAGGGAAGGAGTACGGTTTTGCTAGCGGCAAGCATTAGTTTTTTGCTTTCCACGTGTTTAACTTTGATGGCTGTATGTAGAACTGATACTTTTTGTTAAGTTTTGATTGTTGAAGGTAATATACTTACTATTATTTTAATGAACTGGTTTTCATACTTCTCAAAAGTTCTGTGATGTCAAGTGGTTATTGAGATGGACCAATTCAGTGAACTAGCTAAAAAAAAAACAAATTACTCCTACCAACATAATGATAATCACTCAATTTGGCCTTCTTTCATGTTGGTTTTCATTATGTCATATAGCCAAAATATATTTGACAGTCAGCACAATGGTAGTCTGGAGTCTAGCAAGAATCTGATCAAGAATAAGTTCATTATATCTAAAGCTTTCATAAACCTGAGCATGCATCATGAAATTCATGAACTATAAAGAACCACTTTATAACTAGGAATTGACATAACAATAATTCGAATTGGGTTACGGTTATCTATTGCACATGTTAATGGATTTGAAAAGGACCATCAGACTCTAACCACTTCTATTTAGAGATGTGATTGATGGTATCTTGAATATGTGGTACAAGAGAGCTCTAATTACCTACCAAAAATAATTATCATAGGAGCCAAGAGATGTTAGGGTGGGGAGGGCCTGACCTAAGACACATCATGCAGAATAAGATCACCAGCAAAACATATGATTTTTTTATCTCTTGGAGCGCATGAAAAAAAATTCCTATAATGATCATATCGTGGGAGGATACCTTTGGAGGTAAAGTTCTTGAATACTTCCATTGACAAAGAATTCCAATGCTTTGCCGCTCTACAGACGAACGAGTTTTGGTAAAGTGTTGTTGGATCACAAAAGAAAACAAAAACGATTGTGAATTTATTGATTAAGGCCACACTAGAAACTGGAAGAAGTTTCTCAAATATCTGAAGCTTCCACAATTGAAAAAATTCACAGGTGCTTCCTAGAATTGGTCACAAAGCAAAACAGTCAAGTTTTGGGGGAATAAGGCGATTAAGTCATAAAACTACTGAGTATATAGGTACCAAAAAGCATGGTACGCGAATCAATTCATAAGGTCTTCCAGTCCCATGACTCAGATGAAGAAAAGAAAATTGAGGGTTGGGGGTGAGACGGGGAATATGTATGGTTTTGACTTGTACATCGACTTTATTGATTATAATACTATTTTTTTTTCAATTCTGCTTCGTGAAGCCGATCATCTTTTTGGTGGAGGTATAATATTGCACATTGCAGGTAATATATTGGTTGTTTGATATAAATATTTGTTAATTCTACAAGTAAATTTACTAAATACAACCTACTTTATTGTATTCAGCATAACTGGAAGTTGCGATAGTTGTCAATATAAAGGTATCTTAGGATGTGCCATAAATTTCAGCATATGATGTTTTGTGACGAAACAAAACTTCTTCATACAGTTCTCTCAAAATTCTCATTTTTCATATGACATAAAATAATTATCATAAAGTTGGGTATACAACTTTCATGCCGAGTTATCTATACTGAAGTAAGTTGACTTTACGACTTCATGATAATCAGTTTTTGACATAAAAAATATGTAGCATCATCTCATTATCAATCGGAAATAATTCGCAACTCTCATTGAAGTTCTGAATGAAGTAAAATTTGAGAGATTTGTTACATCACCACATTTAGTGTAAAGCTGGCAAAACAATGATGTATTTCTAAAATTTTTATTGAAAATGAAACTCATAACAAAACATCAACAAAAAACGATAAACAAAAAGGTGTACATCAGTGCTTTCCACTGGAAAATCCATGTTCGGAGTGCCCATCGTGCCCCCCTTTCTTCCCGTAGTCCGAGTGATGCGAGTGGTGGCTCTCGTGCCCCCCGTGTCCCTTGAACCCTTTGTGGTCCTCGTCGTAGTGCCCCTTGTCCGCATGCCCCTTCTTCCCGTGATGATCGTCATGGTACCCGCTCTTGTGAGACCCGCCCTTCTTGTGATGCCCAGACTCGCCCCCGTGATGTCCATGGAAACTGCCAAATTTCTCGTGATGCCCGCCCTTGTGCGCGTCATCGTAGAACTTGTGGTGCTTGTGGTAATCGTCCTTGTGCCCTTTCACATGGTACCCCTTGGTCTTCTGGCCCTTCTTGTGTCCCTTCTTGTGCCCGAACTTGCCGCCCTTGTGGGAGTGGCCGGAGGCGTGGTGCGAAGAGTGGTGGCCGCCCCCCTCGTGGTGCGACTTGTGATGGCCGCCCTTCTCGCCGTGGTGGCCCGCGGCGTGGTGTTTGCCGTACTTGCCGTGCCCGCCCTTGTCGTGGTGGTGGTCGGTCTTGTAGCCCTTGTCGCCCTTCTCGCCGTGGCTGGCGCTGTGGTGTTCGTGGCCCTCGTGGCCCCCGCCGGACTCGTGGTGGTGGGAGTGGCCTGACTCGGCCACTGCCAGGTCGTGGGTGTCTTCTTCTGGGAGGTCGAGCACCGCGCCTTGGTTCAGGGCTACCAGGAGCGCTAGCCCTAGGAATGCCGTCACCGCTTTCATGGTGACTTTGATCTGTTGGACTGATTTGAGTTGATGGAGTGAATGCTTCTGGAATTGGACTGTAGGTATTTATATCGAACGGGTTGCTTCATAGTCGTTTCTGAAATGTCTCGCCTGATTGGGTGAGCGGGATCCAATATGCAACTTTTTTTTCGGGTTGTTGCTCATAATTTTGTGCAAGTCGAGTTCACCTAGTTATGTAATTATGATGTTGGGATTTGTCAAATGTAAGAAACATGTGGACACCTTTGGTTTGTATTGCAGTTATTGTTGACGAAATTGATTTGGAATATTTAATTGTTCGGTGCTAAAAAAGTGAATATTTATATCAAATATCAGCAATGTGTGGGTTCCTACTTATACTTACCGACAAAACTGGAATTCTTCAAAATCTGTTTCTAAAAATGTTTGTGCAATTCAGGGAAAACAAGGGTGGGTACTTTTAAAACCCCATTTGATGAACCAGAGTGGCACTTTTCGCATCGGGATTGAAAGTGCCACTAATTTAATCTCTGGGTTTATAACCCACTATTTCCTTCTTCGAGTGTAGGATACTCATTCGTAAATAGGTTACAGGTAGATCCGATAACTTTTTTTTAAATACTTTGATTTTTGGTACTGGAAATGACATTCTGAAATTTGAATGCTACTATATGTGTATGTGACTACTCATTAGAAATGAATTATTTCAGAATTTTCTAATTATATTTAATATAATAGTGCCGTTGATTTATTTGAACTGTACATATTGGTTATAAAAATCAGAAAAAATTACACTTGTTTCACCGTTTGATTGATAACGTTTTATTCAATGCAATCGAAATTTATTCATTTTCATATTATGATTAATTTGTTACCATAAATGATTGGGATTGAATCAGCCATCCAACAAATTGAATTTATATTATGAATGAAATAAAAAAATGTGTATGACAACACTGGGATCATATTATGTTCACATATCAAAAAACGATGTCAAAACAAATAATCAAATAAATTTCAAAAGTAGGTAAATGGCAAGTTGTAAATGAAACTCCATGTCATCGAGACTCTTTTTATTACAAACCTAACGAAGATAAAGTATATATCACACTTCATTATAACTTTTTGCATTCCTTCAATATGTTTGTGCCATAACTACCAGAGCATACTTTTTGGAAATCAATTCTATATATATTCAGTATTTCTGTTTTCTGTTCTACATATAGTACCTATTCAATGAGTTGATATTTTATAAAAAAAGTAGTGGCACAAACAGAACTTTTCTAATCAAAATGAGATAACTATTTTTCGTTTCAAAAATTAACCATGATATACGACATACATTTTGTACGTTTCTTTTGATTAGAGGTAATGCCATATTAAGTATTAATTATAATAGTTGCAGCTCAAAGTAACAGTACTTTTTTATTTTTAGACCCTCAGGTATTTCTTTAACAATATTAATTTTCAATAAGTATGTATATCTCTAAATTTCAAACAACAATATTAGTATATCCTCAACACTAAAAAAGAAAAATAATTGTTCTAATATTGACATTTTGAGTACTTAAACACGAAGATACTATATGGTCATGGTTGCATATAACACCTAAAATTTTTAGAATCAGAAAGTTCTACATTAATGAGAGATTGAATGCGTTTCCACTGCCCCAATGAGGTGTCTTTTACACGTTCACTGGGAACTGGATTTTTTGGAATAATTGCATGAATTATAAAAATTGTTTTATATATATTTTCCATTTGAAAGTAACAATTCTACTTGAGATTCAAAAGTACCTACCTAGATTTTATATGGAACTTATGTTATATGCAGTCTATAAATATCTTGGAAAACATTCAAAGTTCTGAAATAATCAAAACATCGAATTTTAGGCATATAAGAAAAAAGTTCCAGTGACATGAAAAATTACTCCTAAGGAACCTACATCCTCTTGAAAAGGCTTCCCTGTATATTGAAATATTCAATATTTTGAAACATAAGGAATCCTCGATTATGTGATGGAACTAGTCACTCAATAACAGGCAAAGTTAATGATATCGACTTAAATGAATTGCAATGGTCATTGAGAGATCTAGTTCGAATTGCTTTATAATAATTATTATTCAATGTCTACATGCTATCAAGAACAGATTTAACTACAGAGGATGTGTTTGAAAATATGGTTGTGAGCACTGATGATTCCCTTTCGTTTAAGAAATAATTATTGAATGATTTGTTAATATCATGGTTATAGGTCAATTATGTTTGTATCAAAGAAGGCGGGATAGACATATGCGAAAATCGTAATTCTCAGATTTTCACATCATCTAATACAATGTCTTATTTAAATACGCCTCCCCCTCTATGCAATTCCAACTAGTCTTGGATCCGTTTTTCTAAGACACCGCTTCTCAATTCAATAGAACATAAAAAAATGTTTTGTCTCAGAAAAGCTCTAATAACATGAAGTGGAACTCGCAGTATATACACCGCAAACGCAAATGGAAAAATAGGAAAGAAAATATTTTTCGTCTTTCTACTTTTGCTAGGAAATATACAAATGATTTTTCACAAATACACACGTTAATTGCTCCGATTAGAGAATCTTAAACCGATATCTCCGTACTGGCGAAAATTTGACAATATCAGAAGATGAAGATATGACAAGACGTAAAATGTACACCAATCAAAAACGAGTTCATTAGAAAATATAACATAATTGAAATTTGGTTTTCAACCATGTTTCAACACAGCATTATTTGTTATACAAATACTGGATTACTCTTGGTAATCAAGTTGATACACACAGACTTCAAAAAAAGGCAGCTTTAAATTACACTACCTATTCCAAAGTTGGCTTTTTCTCCAACTGTTATTAGATTAACTATTGGTGATTCATCAGTAACAATAATTATGCGATAGGGTTTTTCATTCCGATTTTAATTTGGGTCAAGTTTTTTCCCAGTCATGTTTCTTTGCATGTTATATGAAAATATATGAAATATAGAAGATGGCCATCAGCGACTCATTTTTGTGATGTTTTCTGTTGCAAGTATTGAATACTTCTTGAATTTAATTCAATCTCGATCTCTGATGACTTACTTTAGTCCTGCTCTTTTTGTTTTCAGAAAACCATAAAAGTATGTACTTTTTTCCCTCTATGTTGGTTGTATTGAGATCTATGTCATCCAGGAAACATGAGAAAATAGTCGAGATATTTTTTGTGAATCATAACATTTTCCTAATTCTATCTGCAACATGGTTGCACTTGTGATAAATACAGGGTGATCAAGTTTTAATCAAGAACACTTCAAGAATCATTACACAAAATGTAATTCGCTCCTTCTCTAGAAAACACAAAAAACATGTCTCTGAAATTATTAGATTTGAAAAAATGTTTTCAAAACTTTGATGATTTTGGTTGTTGTAGTATTGTTAAGTCAATTGCAAAGACAATATAATGAAAATTAATAACATTTTGTGGAATATCCAATAAGAATTAAAAAACTGAGGAAAGTTACAAGGTAGCTAATGAATAAAGAAAAGACTCACTATCGAAGTTTCATTGGTTATTTCACAGTAGATATACATCTTCATATTGTATATCAAATGGAATCGTTGATATTCGTTTCCTGCCAATGATAAACTGATTAAAACTTCATCTGCCTATACATATATCAATAACGTTTGTAAGAGGAAATTTTCTTAAATAACAACAAAAATCACCTCTTTTTTTCAATGAAGTAACAGAACAATCAGTGCCAAAATCAAAAAATTGCTTATAAATACAACATTAAATTACATAAGAAAAAATAAAATTTAAAATAAGAGTATATAATAAAAATCACAGTAAATATAACAGATTTAGTACGAGTGCTTCCTACATACGAATTTCAAATTAGTTGATAATCCGAGAATTCTGGAAATCGAGAATGGCATGGCATCAGTCACCAGTGTCCAACCATTTGCTTTCTTCTATGATCCGCTCAAAGCAATCGCGCAGGTAGAAATACTGGAAGAAAATTGCAGATCAGATTAGAAAAGTGCCGCCAGACATTCCACCGGTAGAGAGTCGAATGCCCGAAATCGTCTTCCGTCAACGCACTATCAGACGAATTTTGCTTGGTCTCAAAACGAATAAGGCTAACGGTCCTGATGGAATCCCACCCATTATCCTCAAAAAATGTGCACCAGAACTAACACCGATTCTCTGCAAGTTGTTTACCGTCTCGTACAGGTCGGGTATTTTTCCATCATGCTGGAAGACAGCTAGAGTCCAACCAATCCCCAAAAAAAGGGAACAAGAACCTGCCCAACAACTACAGGCCCATTGCCCTGTTATCAGTGATCTCCAAAGTGATGGAGAAAGCCATCAACATTGAGCTCATCAAATATCTGGAGAGCTCAGGAATCATCAATGATAGACAATACGGCTTTCGCCAGCGAAGATCTACTGGAGATCTACTTGCCTACGTCACCCATTTATGGCAAGCTTCATTAGAAAAACACGGGGAATCTTTAGCTGTCGCGTTGGACATTTCGAAAGCATTTGACCGTGTTTGGCACGAAGGACTCCTCCACAAACTACCATCATACGGCTTACCACCTCAGCTATGCCATCTCTTATCGAGTTTTCTTTCAGGCAGATCGCTTCATGTGGTGGTGGACGGTGTATCGTCTGATACCATTGGCATCAATTCCGGCGTTCCACAAGGATCAATTTTGGCACCAACATTATTCCTTCTGCATATCAATGATCTGTTGGGAGTAACAACTTGCCCCATCCACAGCTTCGCAGATGATAGTACCCTCCATGCTGCGTTCTCATCCAGAATTCCCATCTCTTCCCAGGAAACTAAGAACTCACGGCGCAGGCAGGTCAATGCTGTCAATGAAGACCTTGCTGAAATCACAGCCTGGGGAACCAACAACCTAGTTGAATTCAACGCCTCCAAAACTCAAGCCTGTATTTTCTCTAGAAAGGCGGAACTCAGTATGCCCGACATTGTAATGTCTGGCACCACCATCTCCACCAAGCCCACCATATCTATGCTCGGTATTTCCATCAGCAACACTCTTTCATTGGATAATCATGTCAGATCCATCGCAAAAGCTGCCTCACGAAAACTCGGATTCTTGTTCCGTGCGAAAAGCTACTTTACACCTCAACAGCTTCTCATGATCTACAAAGCTCAGATACGGCCTGTTCTAGAATACTGTTCCCACATACGATGATGCTCTTAGATTCCATCCAGAGAAGAGCCATCCGCCTGGTGGGTGACGCCACACTCACTCAGTCTTTGACATTATTGGAACACCGTAGAAAGGTCGGCGACCTTTCACTTTTCTATCGATACTTCCACGGGAAATGTGCTTCGGAAATATCTGCTATCATCCCTTCACTAGCAATACCAGTCAGACGAACTAGACAAGCCCAGTCAGCACATCCTTTCGTTGTCAACCTCGAAAGATGTCGAACAGCACTTTATCAAAACTCCTTCATCCATAGAACGGCTAGGCTCTGGAATTCATTGCCTGTGGAAGTGTTCCCAACAACATATAATCTCCAGAAGTTCAAAAAAAAATTCCAATACCTACCTCCTATCCTTATCCTCCCTAGGAACGCACGATGTTCTTCGAACATTATAGGGATTCCCTTTCGTGCGCTCCAAGCGATAAAAAAAAAAAAAAAAAAAGTTAGCATGACATGAGTGAGCAGAGCTAGTGTATACTTACATAGGGGGTGTATAGCTTCAGCCATTTTGGACTCTTGTCTGTCCTATCGTATTTCAAACAAAAGGCCATACCTGAAATAAACAAAATCAATTACAGCATTGTTTCTTTCAGATGAGTCCTTACTGAATCAACTTTTAAAAACCTAGTGATAGTGGTGCTTGATAAACTTTCTTGGATATCAACTACTTTTTAGTGTCTTTCTATAAATGTGTACTGTACAGGGTGTCCCAGATTGCTTGATTTTTTGCAGTTTTTCCTTTTTTCAGAACATACTTTTGTGAAAAATTGATTGGCGAAAATCGCATTTCTATATATCTAACTGTTTCCGAGATATAGACAAAAATTGACATTTGACCGATTTATAAAAAAATGTCAAAACTTGTTTATCTAGATGTAATTTCCAGGAAAATCGGAAGATGAAAATAAATTCCTAAAATGTGAGCATATTCGACGTATTCGCAGAATAATTCTGAGTTCATTGAAAAAGATAGTGAGTGACAAGTGTATGTTTTTCGCCCGAAATTCGATAGAAATCAAGACGACCAACGAAAAAGTCTCTATACATTGTTACTCAAAATTGCCTCTACTGGGAGGAAAAATTGGAAAAGTATCATTCTTGATGAATTTTTTTCAACTCCTGATATTCATATTCTCTCAAATATCTCGAGAACGGCAATGAGTTTCGAAAATCTAAATCAAAAAATACCCCAACACCCTTGTCGACTTTCGCAACGGCCTACCACATGGAGAAAGTCCGAACACCGTATCACGAAAAACAAAAAAATTAGTACGACGTCATGACGCGAAATAATTCTGAGTTCATTGAAAATAAGAAGTGAGTGACAAGTGTATGTTTTTCGCCCGAAATTCGATAGAAATCAAGACGACAAACGAAAAAGTCTCTATACATTGGTACTCAAGATTGCCTCTTTACTGGAGAGAAAAAAGGATGGTATACCATGAGTCAGTGTCACCCGGTAGCGATTTTACTAAATATAAACTATTGCAGCACAAGACACGCCCCCTACTACGGCATTGCAAAATATAATCGAGCCCAGCACAATCCTGCAAAATCTAATCTTTGACAGCACAACGTAGCTGATTCATATAAATAAATCGATTGAAAAAGTAGCACATACCACGTTATTTCTCATCTTCAAAGTACTTTACTTAGGCAAAACTCAGAGACTATTTATCCTCAACGAACTAACCTATCCCTGATTGCAATATTTTTGAGGAAGGAAAACCGAATGGAGTGTAGAAACACATTGATTAATAATATATTTCAAAAGTTGAGTTCTTCAACAAAATTGAATAAAATGATACTGTTTATCCTAAACGCACTAACCTATTTGACTTCAAATATTTTATGAAAAAGGAAAACCAGAATGAAGTAAAAAAACATTGGTGAAAAAAAAAGTTGCAAAAAAAAGTTCGAGTTCACAGCGATTCGAACCATGAACCTTCAGACTGAGAGTCGACAGCGCTAACCAGTAGACCATTTGGGTGTATGAATTTACTGCGTACAAGAGATTGACAACGAGAAAGCTTCAGTTCTTGCGTTGGAGCACAGTATGAGATATGACGTATTATGGTGGGCGTGGTTTGTGCTAGCGTGCAGTATATTTAGGAAAATCGCCACCCGGTATGCCCAACCCTGTATATAATTGTTAGATCATTGCGTTCCTCACCCAATGAACTCAATATAAACACCTGGAAGGGAGACGGCCATTATCTCGAATAGCACAAAGTGTGTCAGAGAACCTCTTTTCAAATTTTTCCTGTTTTTCTTTTTCTTCTGATAGTGCTGAGACATTGTGCTTTGCTCACTCTGTACAATATATTGTTACATTTGAATGAAAATATTGTCACAATTAAAGAGTTGACTTTCCACCATGTCACAACAAAATAGTTGTGTTTCCACCATGTTACGATATAATAGAGATGGTTAGGTCCATCCATATCGATTTATAAGGGGTAATGCTTGGCTTAATATTTTGCGAGAGGTAATATTTAAATAGGCACTAATAGCTTTAGGGGTAACTGAAAGTACGAGACTATATTCAAACATAACAATATCTAATGAAGCATGAAACATTATGGGTGAAGTGATGATAAATATGAATACACAAAAATTAATATAAAGACTGAATAACAACTTACATTATAATGACCATTACGACGAGCTCTTGTCAAGTCAAGAGTAGCCCCAGACCAGACTAACTTCGGAACCCCCACATCCAATATTTATATACATCATTTTATTAGATTTGCACGTTTCTCATGAGAGTTCCTTGGTCAGTTTTTATAATTCAATGTCAACGGATGATTTGAATTACTTTATGTTTATAAAACCCTCATAGTTCGAAATTACTGATATACCATATGTTCTACTCGTGACAATATATAATTTTAATTTTGTATTCATTTGACTTCCTAATCCTGTGAAGAATAAAGTTGAAATTTCATTTTTAGGTCAATAAACAATCAATAATAATTTTTAATGATAATTGATTGCAACATTATCCTTTTTCCTAAATGAATATTTATATTTAATCACGTTTACTATTAAATAAAAGCAAAAAACGAGAAAATATTTCAAATAATGCGAGAGCTTCCCATTAGCCCACATAAGATAGAAAGAGATAGGTATTCGTAAACACTGTGGGTTGCCTGAACAATATTTTTGCCTCACTCGTCGTTTATTGTCCTCACCTTCCTCGTCGATCTCCCACTGCCGCAACGAGTCCCACTCCAGCACGATCACCTGACTCTCGAGCGCGCCATCTTCGGCGCACGCGTGCAACTTGACGCCGCCCGCGCCGATCGACAGCACCACGTGACCCTCCTTTCGGCAGTCGCACGCGCAGTGCGGGAACATGACGTCACCGTAGCCGGGCAGGTCGCGCGCCAACTTCAAGTATTCCACGGCACGCGTTTTGTCTTGGAGGGCCTTGAGCTGATAGAGGCGTTCGCCCGCCCTGATGCAGCCCCTGTTTACTTCGTCGACGGCCTGGGGGCGTTCGATTATCAACTCTCAGAGTATGGTGAGGTTAGTTGGAGGTTTTTATCAGTTTCATAGCTTCTTTAGAGCTTGTTTCATCACATTACAACACAAGACCGAACGGACAAGTTGAATTGATAAGACCTCGTACCACTATGATCAAAGACTCCATTATTTATAATGGAATGAAAATATTCAATCATTTGCCAAATCATATCAAAGAAATTCCGTGTTTTATTGTTATCTATCTTTGTTGGTTTTTTCAAATGTGTTTCAGAAAGCTTCACATTTTGAATCGCACATTGTTTATTATATTTCATTTAAATATGTATATGCACGAGCTTTGTCAACAAATACGAATGTATTTATGGCAATAAAGCATATATTGAATTGAATTGAAGTTTACTCTGAGATCATTTCTATTCCATTTAGAACGGAATTTCAAGACAGGTTAGTGACATTTGATATTCAAAACAACAAAACAAAATGTGGGCTATGCTCATCAAGATACAAGCGGAGTTGATGAAATGGTAAATTCATAAAGGAGTAGGAGCCGGGCATGTCTTGGAGCACCTTGAGCTGGTGAAGGTCTACGGCCTGGGGGTGTTTGATTATCAACTTTCAGAGTAGGGTGAGGTTAGTTGAAGGTTTTTATCAGTCTACTCTGAGATAATTAGTATTCCATTTAGAAAGGAATTTTGATCTAGTTTATTGACATCTGATATTCAAAACATTGAAAATATGGGTTATGTTCAACAAGCTACAAGTAAAGTTCATGAAATGGTGAATTCATAAAGGAGTAGAGGCGCTTGCCTGTCCTGATGCAGCCACTGTTTACTTCGTCTACGTCCTGGGGGTGTTCGATTATTAACTCTCAGAGTAGGGTGAGGTTAGTTGAAGGTTTTTATCAGTTCACTCTGAGATAATTACTATTCCATTTAGAACGAAATTTTACCATATAAAAAAAGCATTAAGAGTACTGTATCGTCTTCCATATGACACTCCATCAAATCAACTTTATGAAGAAACAAATACTTTTTTTTTTGGAAGAGCATCTGATAAATACTATCCAAATTTCTTTTGATATTATCAACAAACACCTCAAATCTAACTTCATATTGGTAAGGAATTCTCAAATACATGAACATCATACTAGACAATATGACTTGTTTCATCTTGATGCTGCTAATTCTACACTTGGCCAAAAAAGTTCACTCACGGAGCTATCTCAAAATTCAATAAATCACCTGATGATATCAAAAGTTGCATAAATATCACCCAATTCAAAATTAAAGGCAAGAAACACATCCTCTTGCAAAGAGAAAATCAAACCGGAGTGAATGATTACTCATTCACTAATCTATTTCATGATGTAATATTGGTTATTTCAATAACTTTGATTTAATAACGCATGAATAATCTCATACCAGATATGAATCTGTCTGATTAGTCATGTTATTTCATTGTGAATCTCAATAAAATGTATTTAAAAAAAAAGTTAGTTTATTGACATCTGATATTAAAAACATTGAAAATGTGGGTTATGTTTATCAAGCTACAAGTAAAGTTCATGAAATGGTAAATTCATAAAGGAGTAGGAGCCGGGCAAGTCTTGGAGCACCTTGAGCTGGTGAAGGTCCACGGCCTGGGAGCGTTTGATTATCAACTTTCAAAGTAGGGTGAGGTTAGGGTCCCTTGATGTAAATTGAAATTGTTAGATGACAAATACGTCAGTTTGCATCAAGGGACCCTAGATGAGATTAGTTGAAGGTTTTGATCAGTTTACTCTGAGATAATCAATATGGCATTTAGATCGGAATTTTGATCTAGTTTATTGGAATCTGATATTTTGGCATTGAAAATGTGGGTTATGTTTGCCAAGCTACCAGTCTAGTTCATGAAATGGTAGATTCATAAAGGAGTAAAAGCCAATCAGGTCACGCGCCATTCAAGTATTCGACGGCTCGGTTTATGCATTGGAGTGCCATGAGCTGGTAGAGGCGTTCGCCTGTTCTGATGTAGCCCCTGTTCACCTCGTCCACGGCCTGGGGTGCGTTCAATTCTTAACTCTCAGAGTAGGTTAAGGTTACTTGAAGGGTTTATCAGATTACTCTGAGTTAATTGCTATTCCATTTAGAACGGAATTTTGAGTTAGTTCATTGACATATGATATTTTGACATTGAAAATGTGTGTTATGTTTGTCAAGCGCCTTGACCTGGTAGAGGCGCTTGCCTGTCCTGATCACTCCTGATGCAGTCCCTGTTTAATTCGTCCACGGCCTGGCGCGTTTGATTATTAGCTCTCAAGAGTAGGGTGAGGTTAGTTGAGGGTTTTATCAGTTCGGGCGAGTGGACTGGTAGTGAATAATTGGCATTCAATTACTTCACTGTATCACCGAACCAGGATGAACAGAAGATGGTGTAGAAACTCCTATCAAATTCCATATACTGTTTTTCGGTCTAAGTTCTTGTCAATATCGCTGAATATAGGTCGTATTGTACCCGTTAGATGGCGAAATCTCAACCAAGATTCAAGGTTGGTTGAACTGATGATAATTAAAATTTACCAAAATTACACTTTCGTACTTTCAAATTTAATCTCATTTGATTTGAGGTTAAGTTATGAATGTTATAATATTATTATTTCTGGTGCAAGCGGTGTGTAAGCACCGTTTTCTGTCATGAAAGAAATCTGTAAAAAGTGTCGCCATCTTGTGGACAACTGAGAACAAATATGTAATTATTGCGGAATCTGCGGTCTATCGTTTAGGGAGAAACAAAACACCGTCTGTGATTACACCATATTCTATCCACCTTGCACCGATCATGAAAGTCTCTGTGTATGTTCGCGGGTGACTGTATTGTTAGGGACCGGATTTGTTTTTAGCAACACTACTCATGTGTCTTTGATGTAAATAATGTGTTCATGCATTGTTCAAAGTTGTTGAATTTCAAAGCTCATTTCAAACGTGTCGTCATGGCCGCCATTTGGCCATGTTCTTCGATACGTCAGATATATGGTAACGTCAGTTCTTATGCTGTTTCATTATTGGTAAGATTATCTGCCATTCCAACTCATGAAGCAAGGACCAAGTTATTAACAAGTTGTTAGAGCCCTACCGTTGAATTAAACTACATCCAAATAAAATATTTCATTTGATCTAACAGGAGGAAGCCATCATATTAAAATGATTAATTTGCGACTGTTTAGAGCAAACAGCTTGTTAAAATATTTCTTAGATTCCATAACAAAACATGTGTAAAAGTTAGCTAGGCTAGAGACTTGGCAATGTGCTAAAAGCTGTGAAATTGACAAGACAACGCCCACAATCCTGTGTTGTCGCGTTCATCATATCTCCTCTAGTGTGAATTAATATAATTATTATTAGCACAAATTCTTCACATTATGCAATAAGACACAACACATAAAAAGGAAAATACAGGTCAATGATTTTTTCTTAGCTAAATGAAAATATTACTAGTACATAATTGAGAATTCATGAATTATTAAAGGAATATTATTTCTGAAGTTTCCATTTGTATCTCAACATTTAAATGGCAACTGTGCCCCTACTTACGAAATCGTGACGTCAGATTTTATTAGCCGTAAAGGACCCCGCACGAAAACATGGGAAATTGGCTCTTGGACGAATTAACTGAAACTTTACTATGTTGTGGGATGGCTCATAAGAAAAATATGTGATTTTAAAAAGTTTTGTACGCTTAGTTTCTGAGATATAAGCCGACAAAGTTGGTAAAAACGTCGTATCAACGATAGGAATTGTTATTTTTTTGTATAAATATGACAAAGTAAGCTACAAAATTTTATGATCAGAACTAATGAATATGTCTAGAATAATCACATAAATTATAGTTTCAGAAAAATGAACTTTTTTACCATGCCTCCTATACACCTGTATTCATTATAATTTATGTGATGGTAGCTAGACATATTTATGAGTTCCGATCAATACATTTTCTAACTTACTTTTTGTTCTTTTTATATTGAGAAAACAGTTTTTATATCTGCTGGTTTGATGATGTACAGGGTGACAGAAACTAGGGATGTCAGTGCCATTATGAGAAAAGAACAAACAAAAGAAAAAATCTGAAAGAGTTTGCTATATTAATATATATTAATAATAAGACCAGCATTAGCTGATTGGGGATGTTCGTTTTACTATCAGTTTTTTTTTTGTATCACTTGTAATTTACAAACTATCATTTGGTCACATTAAACATGTTAATAAAACACTTCAAAAAAATATATATTTGGATATCGATGTTATAATGTCATGGGATTCTGTATTATGAATGCATTTTGCAGAAAGAAGAAAGTTCATTTCTTTCATTGAAAAATTATATTATAGGACCTTGCAAATCTTGTAACTTTTTTGTTCATTCCTTCTTCTTTCTGATTCCATTTTCTCTACTGGTTTTCTACTTTTTTTCATCATTTGTATACTAAATAATATGAACTGAATGATTCTGATATAAAAAAATATTAAAGTCAATTGTTGAAAAAAAAACTAATTTCTCCTTTTTTGGTATATAGATTGGGTGTGGGAAGTGCTAGGTGGAAATTTTGCAATGTCCTATATCAAAGATAATGAAATTGTTTCCTTACTTGCCAGAATATGAATGACATAGCCTGAGGATCATTCATCAAACTCAATTCTTTGTCTATGGAAAACAACCATTTTCTAATGCTCAAACATGTGCTGGTGGCTGTACTATAGTTTTGTATATATAGATTATGTGGATATTCACTGGGTTGCAATTTTCTTTCTAGGAAAAAAAAACGAATTTCAGTGATGAAAATAATTACAACAAAAATGAATGAAGACCACAAAATGTTTATTTTTTCATTATAACTTGAATAGTATGTAGCAATTTTTCAGGCTATATATTTAATATTCCCAAGATTTCAGAGCAATTGAAGTTTTTAAATGGCCATTTGTATATATAGATTATGTGGATATTCACTGGGTTGCAATTTTCTTTCTAGGAAAAAAAAAATATGAATTTCAGTGATGGAAATAATTACAATAAAAATGAATGAAGATCACAATTATGTTTTCATTATAACTTGAATAGTATGTAGCAATTTTTCAGTCTATAATATAAATAATCCCAAGATTTCAGAGCAATTGATGTTTTTAAACGGCCAGAATTGACACTGAACTCTAGCTAATTATTTGAATAGAAGGAATGTCTACACAATTTAAATGGAACTGTTATTGTAACACCTTGAAATATGTAATACATCAGTCACTCAAATATACCTCATTGACCTCATCAAATATTCCATTGAACCATTTCTTTATGAACTAAGAGTAATACACTTGAATATGATTGAATTGATGAGTTGATTGTCCAATGAATTATATGTTGTTTTTGAGTAAACCAATATAAATGGAAATTAAAAAAGGAAATCAAAAGTATTTGATGTTACTGGGTTATATCAACTCTTCCAGCTTAAATTTGGTCAAATCAATGGGAATCATTTCAAGATACTTCATATGGAAAATGTTTGGTAAAAATGTTCATACTTACCAAAATTATATTCAACTATTTCAAATAAATAAAAATAATTTGCTACACTTCTCTTCATTCCTATTTTCTTAATTACAGCTTCATATACTTCTTCTGCACTTGAACTTTTCCTAAGTGAAACTGTTACTATTTCTCTATCAGGTAATAATACCTAGAAATTGGAATGACAATTACTTGCATAATTCATACTGAATATTCACAAGATATCTCAATGAAAACTTTGATTTTGATAATTTTTCTCGAAAATCTCTCCCAGAATTATTGATTTGAGAGTCATAAAATTGCAATTCAAATTTTTACCCTTTATAAAACTCAATTTCAATGTTTTCAATGAAATGTGGTTTCTCCCCAATCTGATATATACTTTAAGATCAACTGGACAACTGTTATTTTCATCCTCGTGATCTGTTAGGAACTCTTGCATAACATCAGACTCTGCTATGACTCTCACAGCACAAACTCTCTCTAAATATTGCTCCAGTCCCCTTCGCCTGGCATCTAACTGTTGTTCACTCATAGTAAATGGCCATTTTCCCGGCAATTTTGGAAATGTAAAACCTTGAAACATGATAACTCAAGACCATGGAAAATTGTCAATTGTTATTCACTCACCCATGAACTCTTTTTTGAGGTCATTATGTAACTTCACAAATTCCCTGTATCTCCTAGAGCATAAATGGCGTCCAGCCATGTATATGTTGAATGATACATATCTTTCCCCACACCTTTCACTGTGGTTGTAATCTGGGATGCTTATAGGTAAGGATCTCTTCTCACTGTAATCATAGTAAATCTGACTTTCATCACTTGGTTCTAAACGTTCAGCTTCCTAGAATTCAATATTAGGTTTTAATACAGAATGTTCTGTTCTTACCTAGTGACATTCTTCATCTCATACATGGAAATAATACTTGATGATCAAGAATAATTACCTGTTGGGTTACAGAAATAACAGTAAGTGTTAATACATCTCCACCTGATTTGATCAGATCAACAACTTGTTTGTGTGTGGAACCCTCAACATTCACTCCATTCCTGAAGAATAAAATTCTCAATGATGATCTGTATGAAATTTAGGCAAACTATTAAATTCCTCATTCTAGTTTGAAAGTGATTCCTCAAAAAAATAAGTATTTGTTGTATTGTACTATTAGAGGACTTCTGTATAGGTTCATATAATGATAATAATCATGTTCTAGTCATTGCATAATATCCCCATATAACACATAATGAAATATGAGTGCATGAGTGCAACATTCAACATTTTGTTGTATTAAAAACAGATTATTTCATGTTGTTACTTTCATTCATGCATATTCAACAATGTGAATGTGTGTACATTATCAACATCTGCTAAGAATTGAGTCCAGGTTAGGAACACAAATGATTTGACCTCTGCAAATCATTAGAAAAAATATCTGGAATTTGTGAGAAAGGACTTACACCTCCAGGATCCTATCCCCTTTTCGAATCCCAGCTTGTTCTGCAGCACCACGATCCAAGACTGCACTGACATGCTGAAGAGGGGCGTATAGTTCGCCGTTGATGCTTTTAAGTTGACCACCTTCACTAACTTGTCCCCTAACATTGAAACCAAAACCTGTATCCGTTTTATTTATTGTAACCACTCGAGGTCCATTTGCTACTCTCATGTTTGATATCCGATTTTGGATTCGATCAGGATTTCGAACAGCCGTATTATTAACGTCCGCCATTTTTTTAAATTTTGACATGGAGCGTCTACCTATTTTCCTATCCTTCATTAGTAAACGTCAGTGATCTGTCAGTGACACGGTAGATAATTTTTTTATCAAATGTCAATTTATACTCTATCACACTCTTAGATCATACATAATAATTATGCAATTAATATGTTTGTTTTTTGTAGATGAATAATTATCAGGGTAGGCAAATTACCACATCAATATGCTAGAGGAGTGCTATAAGTGCACATATTGGCGAGTTCACATGCCAGCTTATGCCTAAAGCAGAAAGCTTGAATAAAACGGGCTCACTGTTCACATGAGAAAGTTGGAAAAGTGACAGTGACTGCCACATATTTGGTTAAATTTCAGATGTACGTCCTCCAGAAACCACATTTATCACATTTTTAGGAGTGTTTTTCCAGTACTGTTTTCCACACTGCATAATATGATGATATAGCACCAATATGTATTCATTTTGTCAATATTTATGTGGTCCTGTCAAACGATCTGGGCTTTTTTCCGCAAAAGTCGTACTGAAACCGACTTTATAACTTATGACCTCGATAAGCGCTTTCTGACGAATCGGCCAATGAGATGAGGATACGCTGTAAGTCAAAAGGCGAAAAACCAGCATGTGAACGCGCCATAAGTCCTCATTTCCGCCATTGCTTTCAAAAAACGAATCGAATTTGTTTGTTTATGATCTAAGGGTCCAAGGCCATTATGTAATAAATTTTTTATGTTCTGTGTCTCTGACTATGACGTCATGACCTTATCTCACCCTAACCTGTAAACGAATCGAATTTGTTTGTTTATGATCTAAGGGTCCAAGGCCATTATGTAATAAATTTTTTATGTTCTGTGTCTCTGACTATGACGTCATGACCTTATCTCACCCTAACCTGTAATTTTTGGCTATATTCCGAATTCAACTGGTCAGTACTGTCAGTTGATCCACTGACTCTGCTGAGAATCTGTGTTCCGAAATATAAAATCAAAAATTCACTACTGTAATTCGGGACACGTTTTCATGGTTTTCATCAGTAGTAGTTTCTCGTTTATCTGAACTAGATGTTCAGCCTCCTATTTGTTATAAATTTTGGAAATTTAATATTAAACATGGAAGAGAAATCGATTCTTGTATCCTCTATAGTTTTTACGATTGTTGACGATGGCGATTCAAGCTCGAGTGATGAAGAATACTTGGACATTTTGTTGCCATAAATTTCTCATGATGCACCATCAGATTGATAATTGAGATTCATGAAAATCGCAATATGCCTTAATAATGATTAATTTTAGGAGACATTCAAGGTTTATTTAGTTTATTCAGCCAATGCTGCTCCTTTCCTTACTTGCTCTACTACTTCATACTCCCAGGTATTTTCTGATATTGAGAATCATTTCATTAACAACGGAAATGAATGTTACATTCCTTTCCCCTCTAAAATATGACAGTTCACTGAAGCCACACTACCTTTTGATACTCAGCAATTGGCAAGGTGATCGACCGTTGGGGGCGCTATTTCAAAACAAGATGGCGGCAAAGAGTGTGTAGTTTGTTTACAAAATTTCTTGAGATTTGCATACATTTTCTTCTTGATATTTCATCGTGTTATTTGTGTTAATTGTTGAACTTCTTGCTGAAATCATAATTATATTTGTCGGATCTTACTGTTTCCTCGTTATGTGAGGAAAATTACTGTTACCTACTGACTGAATCGTGGACCAAATTTCTTCAAACCAGTGTCTGTGGGACAGCTTTATGGGATATCAAAAATTACAAGCATATCCACTATCATCAGAAGCCGATATATTCACTATCATACTTCTATAACTCCACTCTTCAAGCAAAAGGATCCTACAGACCACAAATGGTGATACCAGGAGTGAAGTTTTTCAACAGTGAACAGCCTTTTGTGAACGTATTGAAAACCATCCCTGAACAAGGTGTTAACCTATTCGACTATTTTGTGTTAAATATTATAGCCATCAGAATCATGTGCAATTGATCCATACAATAGAAATAATTCAACACCAAAGGCATCCTGACATTACTGTGGATTTAATAGTAGATACAACAATATTACTTCCAGGCTTTGAGGAAAACATTGATCAAATGACCTAGGATTTCAGTTAATGTATTTACACAGTATATTATCATAAATTTTGTGATTTGATATCATTTTGTAATCCTAAATTCATCTAATTGAAAATATCTATCTCATCAATCTGCATAGTTCATTATGTTTTGTATATTTTGGAACTGAATTAATAATAATTTTCGAAAATGAAAGTGCATTGACATAACATGTGTTTTACTGTACTTATGCCACTCCAAAGAAGTCCAGAAAGAAGTACCTACAAATAGAAGGATGGCCCAGTATACTCCTTTCCTCAGTGCTCATGTATACTGTTTTCCCCTGAATTATTTTACAAGATACCTTCATAAAAATTTACAATTATAAATGAATTTGAAATCCAGGACTTTCATATTATGTAGAAATAAATTAACAATGAGCAAAAGTAAGTATCTTTCTGGTAGGTACCTATTTAAAAAGGAATCAGTAAAGATTATAAAGTGAAACTTTGAAATTGCATCTAAAAAGAATGAGGTGGAGACAACCATACTTATTTTTCCATGTCCTAGTTTCTGGAGACATTTCCCCATGAACAAAATAGGTATGAACTGTTGATAATAATTTCAATCATGTTCTCTCTCAGATAGGCACTGCAAATGAGAGTTATTCATCAGTAATAAACATATCAATGAATCACAAATTTACCTTATTGTTATCATTATTGGACCAATGAAGTGAAGAAAGGTAGGAAGTTTTTGTTGGAGCTGCATGCTGCATACATCCAGTTTTCAAACTCATATTGGATTCTCAACGTTTATCCATTTTTTCCATTCAACTGAACTGATTTTTCATCATCAGAAAAGACTTCTTGAGTGCAGGAAATCCATATTAGAGGACATTATAGGTCCTACATTTTTCCATTGGAACCTTCTACTAGTCCAAACAGCAAGCAAACACAGTTGATTTCGCGTATTATCAGAGATTTGTTGATACTCATTTATAAAATAATATAGAATTGATTTGGCAATTGATATAAAGTTCATGTCTTGTACTCAAGAGAAGGAAGAAGAGAAAATTAACGTAATTTGTTGAATGGTATTCATAAAATATGAAACCTACTGAACACAATAACAAACATGACCTTGAATTACGTCCTAAACTGGTTCAAATTTGCCCACCAGGTGCCGTATCGGAATCGTCACCTTGCCAATTCCAGCAGAATGTTGAGTCGAAATATTTGGAATGAATAGTATGTCTGCTGACAAGCATCTGTCACTTCCAGTGAATTTTTTGATTTCGGAATGGAAAATCAGCAGATTCAGTACTGTCAGTTGAATTCGGAATATAGCCTGAGTTGTTTTTGTTTTCATTTTCTATTTTCCACTTTCGTTGCTGTTTTTTATAGAAAAAATAAATCGGATGCTAAGAATTGAAGAGAGAAGTATAATCAATCGATTATCAAGGTATTTAAATTTTCATTTAATTAGTAGTACTTCAAATATTTTCATAAGATGAGCCATATTTTCGAATTCGGAAATTTGGTCGAAAAATCTGAATACCTACCAATGGAAAATGGTTAATTTGCGTGAAATAAACAACACTGTAATGTAATTAGGAAGCCTCCAGAGTACCCATTTGAATTCGTTTATAAATATACTCTCATACTTTGAAACAGGAATGTTCATTATGTCTAGGGTTGTTGAATCATTCATTTGGGATAGGCAGTAGGTATCAATGAACTCTATATCGAGTTCATTGGTAGGTATAGAGAATGGGGATGGGTAATTTTTCAAACTAAAACGTGATCTGTGTTGAAAATCCTATGCCTATTATTGTGAAGGACCTACACTTTTACATTAATAAATGTAAGCAATCTAGTTATTGAAAATTGAATTAATGAGAAAAATGTAAGGAGCCATTGCAATATTTTTCAGATAATTTTCAATATGGAAAACCAGGAGAATGTGATGAAGAAAACCCGTGTGGATTTATCATCATTACCAACAAGACAGTATCTTGACCAAACTGTGGTACCAATCCTGATGACTGGACTCTCCTATTTAGCTAAGGAACGACCGGCAGAACCAATATCAGCATTAGCCAATTTCCTCCTCAAAAATAGGTCCACATATGAATCCAATTCAGACAACTCACCACCAACCACTGAGGGCAATGGAGATGAAAAATCATGAATTGATCTTGTATTAATTTTATAAATTATTGTATTTAATGAAATCTAAATAATAATTATTTGACTAGAAATAACATACTTATTATTGACTTGTTTCCTCCTAATAATATAGTCCATAAAGGATAACCTATTATTTTATTTTGCAAATCAATCAATATAACATGAGTATCTGATATTATTGATTTGTTATACATATAAGCACTCAGCAGTAGATAATAATTTCCAGAATGAATACCTTTTCTGACTGATCATTTATTTTATGGGATCAGCACTTTGTATCCTGTAGGTTGTTAATTAAATAAACCTATTCAAATACATTGATATACATATAAATATGTATTTGAAATGACATCAATAATCAATTGATTCACTTGAGCTCATGTTCCATAATGATATTTCCCAAATTAAAATAGATGAAATAAAAACTAACTAAAATTTTCCAAGAATTGAATAAAATGGAATTCAATTTCACATGAAATATGGATTATATAATCAAATATATTTTTTCTTGTCCTCAGAATGTCTTTACAAGGACTCCCTCCTTTACCAAAGAGTCTGAGTGGGTTTCTGCCTACAGATTCTTCACCAATCACATCTACACCAATGCGTGGCACTCCAGTACGATTTTCTACTGATGTTCAACCATCACCAACTAGTTTAGCCCATTCTAAAGGAAAAACTATAGTTGAACAGAATTTTCGTATCTCCGGAATCGGTAGTTCCGGTAGAAAATCCAACAGCGTTGATACGAAATTGGCTATACTGAGACAGGAAATGGCAAGTATATTTTTCCTCTGGTTCTTATCAACTTTTAGAGATTGAACACAAAAATTTCGGTATTTTCAAGTTTCTGCAAAACTGTTCATTTTAGATATAAGTGATTTCAACTTGAGGTTCCATCACTTTCCATCATAGATCCACTGGTGAAGAGGAAGAGGTTTATTATTTGGAAAAATTGGGCTTTTGATTTTTTTTTTCATAGGAAAATTTGGCTCCAATTTCTGTGCACCCTATAGGATATTTTTGAAAATGTTTCATAGATTTGGGTAGTTATATATATAGGACTCATTTATGTTAATCCTGGAAATATTAAGTCTGACTAGCTTGGAAGTTTGAATTGGAAAAATAATTATAATCTCAGTAGTTTCACATACAATATCTCGTTGTGAAAGACCCTGTATATTGAAAACCATAATGATAACATGAAATATTTGTCTTTCACCAAAAACAGTTGATATTTTGGTGCAAGTTTATATATGTATAGTCAATACTTTGTCGATTGAAATGCCCTGTATCTTTTCTACAGCAATATTTTATCAAGGCCGCATATTTGGTCCTATCCGTATTTTGATCCAAACAATCCGCCCTTAGCCCATGTCCCAATAGTTATGACTCACCCTGTATAATTGTGCTTTGTATACATTATAACTATATCACAACAGCAATGGGATATAATAGGTTTTTTAATCCTACTACACAAGAGCTAAACATTTTCGAAGCCTAACTTACAAGAATAAAGGAATTAGCAAAAGAACTGCAGCACATATTTACAAAACCATTTGCCGCCCAATTCTTGAGTATGCTCATCCAATATACATAAACACGAGGAAGACGGCACTGAACAATTTGGAAGTAGCAGAAAGAGCTAGCCTGACAGCCAATACCTAAATCCGGCACTCCCAAAATCCCCTTCACCATCCATCAAACGAACTTCTATATCTGCTGACCAGGGTGCAACCAATTTCTGAGAGACTGAAAAAGCTAACATTGAAGTTTTCCAAAAACGAATCCAATCTCCAAATTATATAGTTCAAGTGTTCACAGAGAGATCCAACAGTGAACCCAAGACGGAAGTTTCCGGAAAACACACTATTGGAATGCTTAATCAATTCAGAAGACTGAAATTCCTTCAAAATTCTCGCCTCACAATAGACTTTTCTTCTTTTTTTTTTGTTTTCACACTAGCAAATTTAATAATGCCATATATCTTGTACATACAATAATGATGAATTTAAACTCTATGTATAAACACTGTGTAACACAGGCTGAAGGACCTCGGTCGGTGGTCTTTTGGGTATCCAATAAAGCTCCTTGATAATTATTATTAATCTTACTTCGCCGAGCGTTATGCATTATTTTCGTAAATCTGTTATTTGCTGGCTGAAGTACTAATAAATGTTCAGCGTATAATACTTAATTTGAGCCCGTCCACACCACACAAAATACTAACAGGCACACCGACAGCTGATTTGATATTGCGGTCAGGTATGTTCTTATTTACCAGTTTTACTTGTGTCGATTTTTGATCTTCAGTTCTTCTCTTGTTTCTTTAACGTCGGCCTTTTTCTGCTACTGAGGCTAATCACCAAGCATACTACCCCCAACCGGAAATTTTGCCGAATCCTCTGGTGTTCCAACCAGAGGAAGTAGGGATCTTATTTAACGACTCCAACATCCATGGCATCGGGACCGCCGGCTTAACGTCCCCTCCGAAGGACGGCATATCCTTACCATATCTTGTGCTCATTGATATAGTAGCTGTAGCTATTCCGCTACAGATGTACGGGCTTACGCGGCGTTTCCTCGAATGGTCATCCATCCAAGTACTTACCGCGCTCGACACTGCTTCACTTCAGATATCGAAAGTATTAAAGTCGTTTATTTCTCTCATCTCAGTTATCTACAACACAAATTTGTATCACAACATTACATAATTTTTACTGGAGCATCGCATAGTGCCCCTAGATGTCCCTCCGCGTGGCGCGGAGGTGGCCGGTGTTGGCCAAGGGATGTGAGAGGATTTGTGGAGTGTTCGTCGCAGAGACCTATCTCCTAGGGCTAGGCTCTTTATAAAGGTAATCTCACTGTGGGTACCCAAAGGGGCGGAGGAGTTGCTCATACGTGATCAGTACAGGGAATTTTTCCTCCTTCTAGTTTGGTTCGGATAGCTGGACCTCCACGTTTCCGTGTTTGTACGCCTGTCCGAGTTCAGTGTCGCAGACTCGGTTGCAGATATCGAATGGCTTACCTGAGAAGCTAGGGCGATGCCCCTGATCTCCAATTATTCGTTAGACGCTTGTCTTCTTCTTCTATTTTTTTATTCGTGAGCAATTCGCTAGCTATATTCATCATCAGCTAAATTCAGACTAGATTCAGAATGTACTTCACAGTTTGCCGCCCCGAAAATTGGAAGTTGACTTAGTCATCTGAAGGGTACTTTCCCATTTTGTGTCACAGCCCACAGCCGTAAAGAACAAACTGTGTTGTCTCTTCTAGTACACACTCCGTCAGCTGGACTTATCTCTGCTGGCCCAGCTGTGGTCCCTGAACGAGTCCATCCAGGAGTGCAGGCAGGCGCTGCAGGAGCAGGACGACCGGATCCTCCTGGTGCCCTCGCCGACGCAGTCCTCGGGGGACGACGCGGACGGCGACGACTTCTTCACGTCGACCACCTCGCTGAACTTCCGGCTGGCGGCGCCTCCTCCGCCGGTGGCCAGGAGGCCGAGCACCTCCTCGAACGCGTCGCGATGAGGATTGGGGATTATATCGTTATTTATCGTGGATCGTGAGGTGAACATAGAGAGTTGATGTGTTGCCATGAACGTTAATACATTGTTTTTGCTTCACGCGTGGCGTGTCATGCAACCTGATTGGTGACGCTGAATTTGAAAAATATTTGACGCGATGGAGTTGGAATATTTCAACTGTTTGGCGTTGCTGCTTTGTGTTGCGTTGTGGTTATGTTCCAGAATCTTTCAACACAACATTTTCCATGAAAATATAGAAATTTTGAATGCAACTTCATTAAATCCTCATTTCAGAAAATGATCTCATGATAATCAAATCATTGCAGCATATATTATGTATTACTCATACATGGAGCATAGCTCTCCTCAAAGCGGGACCAACTTCTGTCTCTATAGGCAACGAAATCGACCAATAGGCGTTGATGCCGACGTAGGGGAAAACATAATAAACTTGTCAAACCAATATGGCTGTTTCCATCCTTCACTTTCCGTCCTTAGAGATTCAAAAATACCTCTCATTTTGGTCCCATTTATGTTGAAATATCGTATAGGCGATACGCTATAGGTATATAGAAATAATAGACATATGCATTGCAGTATCCTTGAAGTAGGTCCCTACCTGATTATCTCTATGCTATTTTCGTTTTTTGATGAATTACTTATCCTATATTTTCGGTATTCTCAGGTATTCTCATGATTTTTCGATGCAAACTTCGACCATATCGACAAGGATAGGTAATTTCATCGGGAACTGAATTAAATGATGAAAAACAGTGCAGCAATTCTCATTTACGCGTCACCAATCATAGTGCGTGACGCGAAAAGCAAAACAGCTGCATTGGGAACTCACCTTCAACGTAACGTAGAAATTGACAGCTATGCATGTGCATTTTCCAATTCCTCACGTTTGCGTTGTTAGTGAGCGTATGCATAGTGAGTTACACGTTACACGTATACCTTAAATATCAACTTACGTTAACCAAACTATACTAGAAATATGCCGATGAGTCAAAATTATCAAATTCGGGACCCCCAAGGAGTTCTGCACCAAGGAGTCTCATTTTGACAGGAATAAATGTTCAGATCTAAACAAACAAAAAATGAGGAATGAATACAAACTGTAAACATAATTTATTATTACGTTATGATGACCAGTGACGGCTTCAACTCAATTTGAGGACAATACATGAACTTTATTTTTTATAAGTTAACGTCTACATGGAGGTCTACATACAGTGGTTACTTCAACTCTCTATTGTCTAATACAAAGTCGATTGTTGCCAACTCACCTCTATATGATAATGCGCCATTGAGCCGTGAGGAGGAGACGTTGAAGAATAATTTTATTTCCAGATTTTTTGGAATATTTAAAAATCCTTTGAAGGTACTGCTTTTAAATTCTCAGGGCAATTTACTATCGTGAATGTGCATGAAAAACCTTTATGACCTGAATGAATGATAAAATTAATTGTCTAACTTTTTTTTTACTGCAGTTTTCTTACAATTTTCCTTGGTTTTCGAGATATCTAACATAATTAATTTCGGTGCTTCTCCGTACTTGTCTATGATTTGTCAGGATTATCATGTTTTGCATGTTTCTACCTTATGAACTACCTATTTTAGCATATGATGAGGTTGTTGGTCATCTTCAAATTAATTTTTTTTTCTGGAAAAAAGTTTTTTTGCGAGAAAAAATAATGAAATTCGGAATCGAAAATGAACTAAGAAGAATTATAAAAAAAACTGCAAATAGATAGAGGTTATATAATCAATTTTGTCGTCCATTGAAATATTGAAATATGGTCGGTGGCGTACTCAGAAAAAGTTACATCAATTTTTATCAAAGAGAATGTGAAAGATCGATCTCCCTGTAGATTGAATCAATTTGCATGACATGGTTTTTATGCACATTCATGATAGTGAATTTCCCTACGCATTTTAGAGCAGTAGTTTTGAAGGATTTGAAATATTCAGTGAAATCTGAGTTGACTTCAATCAGACTATTTTTGGTATCTAATTCACCCTGTAGAATTTATAGTACGTTGTTCTGGAACACCTTTTATAATATATTATGTTTAGTTGTAGTGGTAGGTATCAAGTAATAATATACAAGATTATAGAATCGAATTACGGATTTGATTTTATAATACATATATATATAATACATTCATCACATCCATGGCCTGCTGCCTAATGCTGGTAAGTAAATTTGTTTTACTTTCAATTGAACTCTACCCAACAAAAACAATGTTTTCAAATATCAGCACAAATAATGAACAAACCAATCAAAAACGTGTATTTTGAAATGTGTTGAATGATACCGCCTCAGTTTACTCTTCAGTACAACACAGTGCAAGGGGTAACGGCTCACCCCCACTGAGATTGCACACCTCGCCGATCTTCCAACAGACCAAATCATTAGGAAGTTCAGTTTTGAGAAGAACTTCCGAGTGGAACTGAGCAACAAGCGCGAATGGAGCATAGAATCCATTGAAGCGCTGGGAAGAAACACCATTACTTGGTATACGGACGGGTCTGAAACACCCGAGGGAACTGGAACAGGAGTCTTTGGGCCTCACACCAAATACTTCGATTCCATGGGACAATTCCCCATCATTTTTCAAGCGGAAATACACGCCATAGAGATGCATCCAGTTCAACCTAGACAGGAAATACCGGAAGAGGGACATCGCGATTTTATCCGATAGCCAAGCAGCCATCAGAGCGTTGAGCTCTTCTAACATCAACTCGAAGATGGTATGGGAATGCCTAAGCAAATTGAATGAGCTAGGCAGCAACAATGAAGTGATCCTCCTCTGGGTGCCAGGGCATATCAGAGTGGAGGGAATTGAACAAGCAGACACTCTGGCACGACAAAGTGCTTCAACGCCACTGATCGGACCAGAGCCATTCTGCGGCCTTGCAAATTCCTATTTCCAAGGAGAACTTGAAAAGGTGGAAGAAGCCTTGAGAGCCAGACAATGGAGAAGACTTCCAGGACTACGGCAGGCTAAAGAACTCCTTGGAAATTTCAACCTTCAAGATCTGAGACACTGAAAAACCTCAGCAAGGGAAGTCTCAAAGCAATAACGGGTTTTCTAACGGGGCATTGCTGACTCAAAGAACACCTAAGGAAGCTAGGCTTACAGGAGGACGGCACCTGCAGATTCAGAGGAAGAACCAGAAACACCCCATCACATACTGATGGAGTGTGACGCTTTACATCACAAAAGATTGAACATACTGGGAACACACCAGCTGACTGTGGAAGAAATACCACAACTAGACCCCCTCAAAATCCTCAAATTCCTGAAGGAATTGAATCTTGAGGGGCTGCTATGAACAAGAAATCATTGATATAGCAGAAGGGGCACAATAGATCTAATTAGGTCGCAGCGCATCTGTCACCATCCAATCTATCAATACCTATACAATACTCTTCAGTTTATGTGAAAGTTTTTATTTTCAATAATGAGTAGGTAGGTTATTACCATGGACGTATGAGAACAATATGGAATGGAAAGGCAACATGAAAATTACAACTTTTTACCAATGTTACCAGATATTTGGGCGGATTCGACAGATAACTAGAATCATTGGAATACTAAAAAAATATTTTTCCAAAATCATATATAATCAAATATGAAAAATTGGATCAAATTATCCCCTATTATTATAATAAAGTTATAGTTATTAAGGTTCAAGGCCGATATGTAGCAAATAACGATGAGGTTGAATATTTGTGATCCGAGGCGTAGCCGAGGATTATAACAACCTTCGGACATATGAATACCGTTAAATCGAAATAAAAGTATGGGATTACGAAAAATTCATATTCATTAATGAAATCCAGTGATCACTATCCCCACAGCCCGCGGCATTCCACCAGCTAGAATGTGTGCCTTATTATCACAACATGTTGGAACTTTCTGGATTTCCGAGAGCAGCGTATGTCGTGTTCCACCTAGGGAGCCGATAATCAGGATGACCAGTTTCACAGAATGATCTGGATAGAGCCTGCGGAGTTTGAAGAGATGATGATCTCGATATTTAATCCGTTTCTCCTCCTCCTTCAAAACAATGTTCGGTTCGGTTGTTAGCCTATATTTGCCTAAGGGTGGCGAATAAGAAGTTCAAATTCCTAATCCATGAATTTTGAAGATTGATATCTCCTTATCTTATCAATAGTTTATGATGAGAGGTTACCTACAATACGTTATTATTGTATTATAAAATATTCTCCAACCAACCTTTCTCACAAACTATGTGGAGAATGAATTTCAACCATGTTGTGTAATAAGTGAAGGATATTTTTTGTGATTTTTGTTATATACCTATATTTCAAACGGTGTGGTGGTGAATATACAAGTATTGGGATGTCGAGCAAATCAACGATAAGATTAACAGTGGTGGGTGATGGTGATACTGGAAAAACATGTATGCTCATTGTTTATAAGGATAAAAAATTTGATGAGAGATATGTCCCCACAGTGTAAGTATTAATCTGGATATGAACAATTAATAAAAATAAGAATAATAGTTATAAAAACAATTATAATATGTAAGACAGTAATTATATAGCATTGAGAATAACAAAGATCATCAAACATATCGTCAAATAATGACATTGAAGTAATTCGTTTTGTCACACACAACCTGATGTTGACATTTGATAATGATTATTATTTCTAATGAAAATTATATGGATCTGATAGAAAATGAGTCAATGAATATAATACAGGAAGGATGGACATCTCTCTATTATGAAGGACTATACAGAGGGTTTATTCTCATAAGTCATAGATCAAAAGAAGTGCGGTAGTAGAGGGGGGGGGGGTCATTTCAAATCATTACAATAAAACTGTCAAATTTGTGATTTTTACTTTTACAATTAAATTTCATCCACATGGATGCACCTTTCCCCAGACATGTTACTTATCAATTACGTGAGAAAAATGTTGTTTTCCTTGAGTTTTGTCATTGAATGAAATATTTAAGTTGATTTTGAAATGCCGCTGGCAGATTTAAAAACTTTCCCATAAAGATGATTAATTATAAGAAAAAGTTGCCCATTTAATACAGATTCTGAAATATGGTACAAAACATATATATGGGGTTATTCAAAACAGCATTTTTGTTATTCTTTTCTTCGAATGGCGTTTTTCAGAAAAATAATAATAATAACTTTCGAACCATCAACCACATATACCGTTAGTTTGATTGCAAATAACCTCCCCACCTACCACCCCACCTCTCTTGATCCATGACTTGTGGGACACCCTGTATATTTTTATAATTCATTTGAGTTTCAATTATTTGCTGAATGTTGAGCTGAATTCAAATAAGCAAGGGATGTTCTCAAAATTTGAACAATAAACGAAGTGGGTATGATATACATGTTTCATACCTACCATATTTCAGGTTTGATGTTTATTCCATGGATCTTGAAATAAATTCGACAACATATCGGATCATTTTGTCAGATACTGCTGGTCAAGAAGATTTCGGCAAACTCAGAACATTTGCTTATAAAGATGTGAGTATATATATGATTATTTTTTTTACATGTCAAAATGTGACGTTTTCCTTGTTTCAACCAATATCAATGCGTGATTCTAGCCAATCATTCGGAATCATACTGATAATTTGTTAGTATCAAATTACCGCGATGACTTATTCACGTTTGGATCTTCCTTCAAATGGATACAAAAAGGGACCCATAGACTGCGATGTTGATAGGCTGTTTTGTTCGACTAACAAGTCTGTTCGAACAAAAATTGCGCACAACCGAAGTGTGTGGCTGTAAAATGTTCGTTTTCGCTGGCCACACACTTTAGTTTTGTGTCTTTTTTGTTCGAACAGACTTGTTCGACGAACAAAACGGCCTACCAACAACGCAGTCTATGGGGCACCTTTAGAGAATTAGCATTGACTTGACTTGGTTGTCAAGGTAACGCAGCTATTTGTCTCAATGTAAACATTTCGAATTCAGAACCGACGCCATTGTTAAGTATCAGTCAGACTTCGTATTTTGTGATTTTCTCTAACGTTTAAACGAGTTGGTATAGGTTCGGAAAAACTTTACAATTATTATTAGTCATTAACAGAAACCGACATGAGCACGAGATTTGGTCAAAGCTCGGCTGATTCAATACATTTAGCTGTCGAACAAGCAACACCAATCAACACCACAAAAAGCAAGAATACGATATGGAAACAGTTTTTGGAGTTCTGCCTTGAACGTAATTATGAGTTGACTGCAACAACCGAGATGAAACAAATCGCATCAATTATGGAGGACTGGGCATATAACATGCGAAAAAAAAATGGAGAAAACTACAAAGAATCTGTTGTCAAAACTTTGTGGAATGTCACCGCAAAACTTATCCAGGAAAAATATTTCAGGGAGTATAATAGAAACATTGATCCGTTCACTGATATTGAATTTAAGACCGCGCGAGATGCGCGGAATTGCAAACGTCGAGAACTTCAACATATTCCTGAAAAAAGAAAAGCATCTTCTGTTGCTCTCAAGAAAGAAGAAATAGAAAAAATGATAGCAGCATGGGACGAAAATACTCCAAATGGCTTACAAAGGAAGTTTTATCATACTGCTAGCTACGAATTGGCTTGGAGAGGCGGAGAAGCGACAAAAGCATTAGTACAGTATTTTAGAGAAGAAATGGATCATTATGGAAATCAAACTGGAAGGATAGAATATAATCCAATAATTTCTAAAACAGCACAAGGAGGATCGCACAGGTTATCTGATAGCAAATTTTTAACGCCAAATGAAAATGAGACTGAAAAATGTCCAGTACGTCTCTTTCGGAAGTTAATGTCGAAAAGAAGTGCAAATATTCAAATTGATCGTTTATTTTTAACACCTAATCCAAATTGGCAGCAACCTTTGTCTAAGGGGTGGTACAAAAATCTTCCGGTAGGACAAAATGAAATAGCAAAATGGACAAAACAAGCGGCCCGAAAGATTGGCTTGGATCCTAGCAAAATCAAGGTTACAAACCATTCACATCGTTCTTCTGCTGTGACACAACTCGCTAAAAGTGGAGTAAGTGAGCAGCAGTTGTTGAAGATAACTGGACATTCATCTGCAAGCTCCATCAAACCCTATCTTCAACTTGACAAAGAGCATCACGCAAGCATGATAAACAACTTGAGAGGAAACACTGTTTCGACCTCTTCATCTCAAGGAAATTGTACAATAACATACAATAATTGCACCATTACAAACGTAAATTGTAAACATTCTTGATTGTTTGATATATAATTATTTGATATATAATTGTTTGATATATAATTGTTTGATATATAATTGTTTGATATATAATTGTATGATAAATGATTGTTCAATAAATAATTGTTTAATAAACATATTCTGGGGCATTTTGCGAAATAGTAAAAAAAATAATCACGCCGAATTACATTCGTGTTGGTTATTTTTTTAAATAATTTTAACTAGATTTAGCACTCGTCTTTGTTGCTATTGAGAAATCCCACTCGTGGACTTCGTCCACTCGTGAAATTTCTATAGCAACAAAGATTCGTGCATCTAGTTAAAATTATCAAAAAATTACCACCACTTGTGTAATTACTGTTGATAATTCCATTCAGAAGATGAAAGTATTCAGTTTATTTTCTTTAGGTAGATGCTTTTATTCTTACTTATGCTGTTGATAGGAGAGCCTCATATGAAAATGTATTTCTAAAATGGGCTCCCGAATTGAAAAGATTTGCACCCAAAGCCAAAATAATTGTAGCAGGTACCTACCAATCAGTTATTATTTTTTGTTTGATCTTTCTCTTTCCTGAAAAAATACTATCTGAAGTTATTCGAGGAACTTCATTCATTTTTATTTATTCAATGTCATTGCGTTTGAAGAACTTGAGAAAACTTAAGATAAGTCAAATTAGATAAAATTGTACACTGTATTATTTCTGACATCACCACCGTACAATCACATGGATATCAATAATTTAACTTGTCTAAGTTCTCTTTCAATTTTTTGTTTGAATCTCAAGATGAACTTTCTCGTTAGAAGAATAAAAATCTATATTTTGCGAATATTCAGAAGACTGTATGTATCATATTGATATATGTACCTATTCATTATAGGATAGGTATGTAGGTATAGGTCCGTATTTTGAAGTCAACTTGTAGAATCTTTTCATGATTTTAGCGACCAAAACTGATCTGAGGACTAAACAAAACGACCTACAACCAGAAGATGGAGAAATGTTAGCTAGAGATATAGGAGCTAATGGTTTCATTGAAACTTCGTCCAAACTCATGAATAATGTTGATAAAGCTTTCGAAATGGCAATATCAGCTGTCTTATACAATAAGAATTTCCTAAGAAACAGAAGAAGGCGATCATCACAATGTACATGTTTATAAATTAATTGAAGGGGAAGGTACTTGATATTGATCGAACTGTTGTACATATACCTAATATTAAAAATCCACCTACTATATATAGTACTATACCTGACTGATATACGGCAGTTAAGGGCACTGCTGTAACTTCTGAATCATTCTAGATCGGAAAGTACACGAAAGGCCTGTTCGTTTGTGCTTGCTCTACTGCTGAACTTCATTTTCTCTATGACTTTCTCTGTTTATGGAAAAAAATCAGTTTCAGCAAGTTCAACATTACAAACGAATAGACATCAAAGAGGGTTAAATTGGCGTACAACCTCCAAAAGTGTATCACCTCGTAGATAATCGAAATCGCCTAATAGCCCAAAATATTGAGTTTTTGAAGAGTAATAGACATACCAAATTTCAATTCATTATTTTGAAAATCGTAGATGAAAACTAGAAAAACATTGAGAAAATCTCCAACTTTTACTCCCTGTAGTGTCCTATTTAAGAATTAAAAGTTGGGGTTGCTACCCACCAAGACCCCGAATGATTCAGAAAGTTACAGCACTGACCGTTTTTGTGGTCTTCTCAGTATAACTTTAATTATGTTGAATTCCAAAATCATTTCATCACAATTATAAACCAATACAGAAAAAAAACCTATGCCGTCTCATTTTATTTCACTCAAAAGTCGCAACATCCAATCAGAATGTGGTTCTAAAAACGACCGCATGCGCCTAACAAAGTTATCTGAATGAAAAGGCCTATAATATTTTGAAATTAGTGTGAGTATATTGATGAAATTGGTTAAGAGAACATTCTATGCAACAGACCCTTAGGCGTTAATGGGTGTTAAATGGCTTCAATATCCAACACAGATATAGTATCGAGAGCTTTATCTGAGTTTATCAGGCTGGTTATGTTGGCACTGAAATAATCTTCTATAGAAACCGGCTTCATACCTCCGAAGTAGTCAAGAACTTCTATCTGTTGCAAATTAACTTTTGCAACGTAGAATGCGTGATCTGAAAGACATTAATGAATGTTTAATTTTTCGCCCTAAATTGACTTATTTTTCCACATTTGTGTGATAAGAAATAGTAATTATTGGTGATAACATTACACGAACTCACTTTTTGGCCAGTATCTCATTGATGGATGTCTTTCAAAGAGTGATTGTTCTCCAAATTTATTTTCAGGTGATGATTTATTTATCTGAAAGAAAAACTGTAAATTGAAGAGGTAGGGAATGGGTTCTGTATCTCAGATGTAAACCTTAGGGGTTATTTTGTAAAATTTTAAATTGCATAAGAAACTTCACTATAACTCCTCAAAATACACTAAAATCCTGAGCCAAATTCACTTTTTTTGACAATCCGTATACCAATGCAAAACATTGATATCTGATTATTTCATTTTGTTATTCAATCCATGCAGAACTTGCTATCCAGAATAACTGTTTTTCACAAAACAAATAATAAAAAAGTTCTCCATATGGTGCCGACCTAAATTGGTATACAGTATATAAAATAATTATGCATGGGTATTTAGCAAGTGTAAATATTCTTTGAAATAATATCATAAATGTGAAATTGAAAAAGCAATAATTATATTTTCACTAAAATATCTGGAATGATTATTGTAAACATACCTTGACTAGTGTTCCTGACATCAATACTTTCGCACATCTTGGATCTTGAGGATCCAAATTTTCATTGGAACAATAATTCGACTCTGCCATTGTTGCCATAATAGTCACTCTGTTATTTGCCTGTGAACATATTTCATTATTTCGATAAGTACTATTACAATCGCACAAAAAGGACAAACCAGAACATCTTTTCCTGATACATCCATATCAGTCATGTACAAATAAGGCACTCCAGTTGAATTTGTCCTCGGGCCATCACTTAGTGACTTCAATCCCACAAATGGGTACCCTCTGATAGACTCTTGTGTGGAAATGGTTGCGATGGCCACCCAATCTTAAATTTAAACATTTTAATGTGAAATAATAGTAGATTGTGCAACAAGTGTAGAAAGTACTTTTCCCCACATGTTGCACACTATACTTTTTCTAAAAAAAAGGAGACGCCTTTCCGAGTTCCTCAAAGTATTTAAAAAAAGTACACTTTCCGAAAAAGATTTAATTCTGAATTTTTTTTTAGATTCCACAAATTTTTCGTATACAGTTTGTCCAAGATAAGGTTGCACCGCATGGGGATCTCGGAAACGGTAGGAGATACGAAGTCGGTTAAATGGGAAAAAAGTTGCGCATTCGGAGGCTCATACCAACAGCCTTCGAAAATTTTCAAAATTGTTTTAAGTTTTCCAGTTATATCGAAAAAAGTGAAATTTCGGAATATCTATTTTTTTTTCTCCGTTATAATTAGAGATACAGAAAAACTGAAAATACTTTTTCATGGCAACTTTTGATGACGTTTAACGTGGTGATACCGATTTTTCTATGCGACGTTTCGTATTCGTAGAACCATCACCAACTTTTGTTTTTCAAATACGGTCCTGATAATTCTTTCACAGATTCTGAAAGCTTTTTTTATTATGAATTCAACCATGTATTGAACAAGCTGGTTTGAATGTGTTTCGACCTATTTTTAGCCATCATCAATGTTTTTTTCGAAATTCCAGAGGAAAAATGCCATCAGTTTCACTTATTTCTGATTATTCAGTGTCAAACATTGATGGACTAGTTATTCAATACTGAAAAGTGCAAAAAAAATCCACTAAATTATTCAATGCAGCGCTTCGAATTGTTTATGAATTGTATTCATATTTTAATCCGAAGGAGCTTGTCATAATTACATTTTTCGAACTAATTATTCCTATAAGTCTATCAATCGGAACTAGTTGATGAGGTATTAGTTTGTTGGCTAATTTTCCTTCAAAATAAGTGGAACTGATGGCATTTTTCCTTTGGAATTTCGAAAAAAACATTGATGATGGCTTAACATAGTTCGAAACACATTCAAACCAACTTGTATAATATATGGTTGAATTCAGAATAAAAAAACCTTTCAGAATCTGTGAAAAAATTATCAGGACCGTATTTAAAAAAACAAAAGTGATTATGGTTCCACGAATACGAAACGTCGCATAAAAAAATCGGTATCACCACGTTAAACGTCATCAAAATTTGCTATGAAAAAGTATTTTCAGTTTTTCTGTATGTCTAATAATAACGGAGAAAAAAAATAAAATAGATATTCCAAAATTTCACTTTTTTCGATATACCTCAAAAACTGAAAATAATTTTCAAAATTTCCGAAGGCTCTTGATATGAGCCTCCGAATGCGCAACTTTTTCCCCATTTAACCGACTTCGTATCTCCTAGCGTTTCCGAGATCCCCATGCTGTGCAACCTTATCTTGGACAGACTGTACTCCAATTCACCTATTTTTCTTAAAATTTCCGGAAACGAATCCAACTTTCGCAGCTTTTTCCATTATCTACTGTCTCTGGCAATGTATTTATCAAAATCGTCACATCTCGGTATATACATCATATTATTTATTATGAATTGTCGGAATAATATTTGATGGAGAATGCGATTTCTATCAAAAGCACTAATGAGAACTACACTAATCAAAAAACTTCTTCTGACAGTTGTGACAACTATATTCAAAGCCGAACAGCAGCCAAGTTTTGGTCGATTTTTATTGATTCTTCATGGAAATGTATGTAGTGTTGGCAAAGTGCCGTGAGAAAAAATATTTCTCACAGTATGAGCAATACATGGTTTTGAAACTAAGTAAGCTATGAGAAATGCGCTACTTTTCATAGCAGTAGTAGAAAAAATCCCTTAATAAACTATATAGCTTTGTAACTATCTTATTTCCAGTTGTCATTTTGAACAACTCACCTGCAGAGATAGATATTTGTGTTTTGAGTGAAAAAAAAAATAACCAGCGCAGATGTTAAATAATGAAATTTCATGGAAATAAGGTCAATTATGTGTTGAGAGATTTGACAGCGTTAAAAACTACTTTAGAAAAAGTTGTATTTATCAAGCTCACCTGAATTGTGGATGATATATCTGGCCATCAATGCTGCTTGCCATGGTTTGGGTGGTGAATTTGGCACGGTAATATCGACAATTTGACCGATTGCTCCATGTAATAGAATTGAAAGCACCAATATGATTTTCATCTAGAAGGTACGTATGTCGATTATTAAAGTTTTTAGATTAAATGTTTATTATATTTTGATTGTTCGTGCAAAACGTTTTGAATTTTTCTGAATACACTTACCTTAACCAACATAGAAACCTTAACCCAGAGATGCCCAGAGGAAATAATGTTTATTCATTCTGTTGATATTAACTGTTTAATTCAGTTCAAAATATGTCGAAAGGTCAATTATTTATTCCAAAACAACATGGATATAATTAGCTTTGAACACCAGAGGCGCACATACAACTAAAGGAAGGGAAATTGTCACTTTTGAACCTGATGAAATGATTAATGAGCTATTTTATAAAAATTTATAGTGGATGACATCAACAAATGTAGAATGTGATATTTTTAACCTTTAAGTGCACAGATGGGGGTACAGAAGACCCCAAGCATTTTTTTTACCAACAGCTTCTTTATAAATTTGGCATCACCGCCGAAAGTCCAGGTACCTTTCGAGGACAACTGGGACGGTTAGTTGGCAAAAAGTGGTCGTGAGGCAAATTACCATAAAAAGTTATTAGGTAGTTTGTGACTAGACCCGAACGTGTACACTTGTGTCATATTGTGCCCAAGAAGCAAAAATACAAAGACAAAATATTTTTGTTGAAAATACCATGCAAATATGAGTCTTTAAAACATATGAAAAATGTATTCAAAACGTGCTGAAAATTCAGAGTACTTAGACGTATATGAATCTATATTTACTTGAATCCAACATTCATCTTTTTCATTTGTATTGAAATATTTTTTATTTTGAGTTCAAAATATAATTTTTGTGGTTCATTATACTAGTACCTATTTATGAGAATAATCAATAGATGTATAATTCAAACTAGACCATGGTAACACTGTTTAATTGATCGAAAATACTGTGGGGGGTACTGTGGACACCCCTCATGTGTACTAACGTTTTGATATCCCACGCGTGTTACCAGTCACTATAGTTCTCGTGACCACCCCGGTATATGTACGCTAGGAGCAGTTTCAGGCGAGTGGACTATAGAATTTTTCGGTCGATTTTGAGGTGCTGAAATCATCAATGATGCCACGGAATTTTTCTTCAAATTGCTAGAAAATTACCGCGAGTTGAAAACTGACGTCACGATTTCGTAAGTAGTAGGGGCAGACCGAGGGCAGTACATAGCATAGTTGCCATATGTAGAAATACGATTGGGAACTTTAGAAATATCAGTTATTCAATGATTCATAAATCCTCAATTATGTATTGAATATTCTTAATTATCAATTGTCTCAAAATGTTTGTGTCAATAATAATTATGTTAATTCACACTAGAGAATATTTGAACCGGCAAACGTGACAACACGGCGCACGAATTGTGGGCGGTGCCTTGCCAGTTCTCAGCATTCAGTACAATGTTGCCAAGTCTCCAACATTTATATATTTTGTTATGGAGTATAAGAAATATTTGAACATGTTCTGGTTGTCGAAAAAGTCAAGAATGAACTATATCGTCAACGTCATGGCTTCCTCCTATTATGTTTTATTTCGTGTTTTATTCAACACAAGACTCTTAATTCCTTTTTGATAACGACCATAATTAGTGACTTGACAACCTTGCTTCATGAGTGAGAATGGAACATTATCTGACCAATAATGATACAGCATAAAAACTGACGTCATCATTTATTCAACGTATCGCCAAATTGCGGCCATGTCGGTACGTTTGAAATGAGCTCATCTAAAATTGAACAATTCTGAACAACGCATAGACTCATTATTTACATAAATAAATAAAAGCATGAGAAGTGTTACAAAAATTAGTTTAGGTCTCTGACGACACAGTGGAGTATTTGAATGCCAATAATTCATTATTAGTCCACTCGCCATTCGTCCAGTGAAATTTTTCACATATGCGATCCAAAGCTGTATATGTATAGCAGTGTGACAAAATCGATCTTCTGCCGAACAATGAACAATCTACAAAAATCATTATGAGTAGATGATACACTATTTAAATTATTAGTAAAACTGATTCGTTTAGTAAGTTACTATATACCTAGTACCCACGCCGCTGGGTGCTCCGCAGCTCCGGGGTCAGAATGTTACATGGGAAGTGGGTGAATGTTGCATTTTCAATGCATTTGTTATCTTCATTGTCATTCATACCTTGTCAATCGAAAGATGGATGAAGATTGAAGAATAAGGAACAGAATCGTCATAAGGTTAATAATTATTGTGAGTGATCCAATATGCATATTTTAATCTATATGTTTGTTACATCTAACCAGTACTTACATGATCCTTGAGGAAAGTTCAGATCACGTTGATAACAAAATACTCTACAAAATACCATAAACTGGGTATCCCATCCGAATGATACTTATCTCATTCATATAATTCATTTCAGAAAAAAATTATATCAACACAAAGATATTTCCATATTTTTGAGCAAAAGCAACTGAATGAGAAATCCAGATCTGATCACAATTTGGATGTAGATTGCAGGAGCACAGCGCCTACATTCAAATAAGATTCATAACTTTTTATGCCTCCATATATTGAATTTCTAGCTAAAAATATCCATCTTCACTTAGGAATGAACCTCCTATTCCCACTAGTCATTTTTTTGCAATTAGTCCAATAAATGAAGGAGGAAAAAAAGGCAAAGTTAACGTTAATTACACACTATTTTCATCTTCTGGTTGGAAATAGTTTCTGGTACCTCATTAAACATGAGACAAAGTTTGACTGGAAAACGCGTGCGATGGCGGAGAAAATGGCCCCAAAAGACCAGGAAAATAGGTTTTCAGCCAATATCTCCTAAAATATGGCAGTTAGAGATTTTCGGTTCAGATAAAAATTGAAGTTCAGTTAATTTTCTACAAAAATGGTCCTCATCATTTTTCTCGAAAATTTGCCCGGTTTCGAGAAAAACGGCACGAAGCGCACCTCGAATAATGAATAATGTATGCAGGAGTGCACAGTCCGTGTATTTACACATCGGCGGGGGGACAAATTATTCAATAACTTTGTTAAAAATGCATATTTTCTCATGATTCAAAGTTCATGTGAAAGAGGAATTCTGCTGCTATCATACCCTGTGAATTGAGTCACGCTTGACTTTTTTGGCCATATCGGAACATGGGTCAAACTTTCTGCTCCCGGTCAATTTTGACCTCGCGTAATTAATGTTAACTTTTTCCCTTTATTTATTGGACTAAATAGTCTAATTTGTGGTTGTTTCTTCACAATAACATAGTGGAATAAATACTAGATAGTTTCAAGACATTTATTTCAACACTTAAATAACATACACTGCAGCTCAATTAAAAATATCTGATCATATAAACATCTTCATCAGTATTGAACAGTTTTCATACTATAAGCCCATTTTTTATGGATAATTAAAACCTTGATGAATAAAATCCAACATATAAAGCATAACTTCTTATAGTCTTGTTGAATCACATTGTCTTAGAAAAATGATAAAAGTTAAATTAAAATTGTCATCACATGGCTCTGTAAGGCCCTTGCATTTTTAAATACTGTATAACCAGGGACGGCCCACCTGCCACAATTTCGGCAGGAATTTGAGACAATGGACAATTCTCAATACTCATTATCTGAAGATTGGTACAAAGAGCCAGCTCGAATGGAAGATTGTGTAGAGTGGGGTTGTCATTGATATAAAGAGACTCCAGGTTCTCCAGAGTGCCTATCTCTTCAGGCATGTATGCCAGATTATTTTCTCCCACACTCAGGAAAATCAGGTTTGTGAGGTGGCCCAATGCTCTAGGGAGACAGGTGAGTTGATTGGACTGTACTATCAGTTTCTGCAATTCCTTGAGATACCCCACTTCATTGGGCAGCTGCTCAAGACGGTTTTCTTCCAAATCTAAGACTCGCAGTTTTCGTAAATTGCCGATACTTGGAGGGATTCTTCTTAAAAGGTTGTTGGAAAGAACCAATACCTGAAAATGTAAACCAGAGTTCTCAATGGTTTGGATATCATGTAGATATATGATATAGCTCCCTGATTCATCTGTCATTTGAATAACATGAAAATAATAATGAAAAATAAATGAGGTTACCTGTATTCTGAGCTCATTTCAGATGTTCTCCAGAAACACAAAGTCACAATATAGGGAAAGTTCAGATGGGAGTTTGGAAAATAAAGGGGAATTTAAGAGGATAGTAGAAATTTAATCTGGAAATTAATAGGAATTGGCATACAATATCCATATTTGTGGTACTCTGAAATAGGAGGGACATTTCTCAAATATAATTGATGCTTTCTGAAATACAAAGGAAAGGATTCAACATTTCCTTGATATTTTTTTGAGATCTATGGAGTCATTATGGGTCAATGTGGGTTAACATTTTTAGTATCACCAGTAGGCTCTAGTGGAGCTTGAGGTCTATATCAATGGAAAAATTCTCAAAGTTATAGTAATAGAGAAGATATCCTACCTTGTATTATCATTCTTGTATTGTTAGTAGAGCCCAAATGAAAGAAAATTAGTCAAAAGAATTATATGTTATTTAATCACTGCTTGATCCATGCTTGACATGAAGTATAATCAGAACATCTCAACCCTTATTGATCCACTTATTTCAGAAGCATGGCCACAGAGTACTTCATTTTGAATCTTGCTCATATGAAAGCAATATCAGACACCCCTGCCAATTATTAGGAATCACCAATGGATACTGCATCCATCTCCAAATTGTATTTGCTGTATTTTATTATGACAATATCAAAAATGTTTCCAAATTTGAATTCAATAGCTTTTATGTGAATTTAACTTTGGAAACAATAATCCACCACATTTGATATGGTATTCCAGCAATAATTCATTCATTTCATCATATTAAAACTGTACTAATATTTTGAAAAGGAATATTCTCAGATACATTATGAACATACAAAAATGGATATATATTTATATAAAGCAATACATTGAGAATTCACATTCTCTATGTGATGAGAATATCTACTCTTTTTCAGTTTATTCAATAGAAAACAACTACTTTCCTGGCTATATGCCATGACGAACATTGAATTATATCTATTGAACACACATGATAAGAGTTTGAAAATAAAATATAAAATCTTCTGAAATTGAGAATTTGCATTCTCCTTCAGACAAAAATATGTATATGAACACATCATTCTAATACTAATATCATATTCATATAAACTCACCTCTAGGCTTTGGAGAAATTGAATGTCATCTGGCAATTTGGCCAACTGATTTGTTCCTAAATTCAATTCAACCATGCTTGTCCAAGTGCCCACATCCAAAGGCAATGATGTCAGTTGATTCTCCTTCATATTGAGCTTTGTCAAATGTTTAGCCCTGGAAAATATCCCATATGGTATCTTGTCAATCTGGTTGTGTTCCAAGTTGATGGAATCCACATTGGTGAACTGAGATGGCCCCCCTGAGGGGTAAGCAGTGAAATTATTCCTGGACAATGTTATGCTGGTCAGTTCACTCAAACTGGAAAGCAGTCCATCAGGAAGCTGGGATATGTTGTTACCCTCCACATTGAATTCATCCATGTGCTTAGAATTACTCAAAGATGCTGGTATCTGCATCAGTCTATTGTACCTCAGTCCTAGCCTTGTCAACTGCTGCAACTGACCAATGGAGTCTGGGATGTCCAATAACTCATTGTGCTGCAAATCCAGAGTTGAGAGGTCTACACAGAGACCAATTTCAACAGGAAGATGCTCCAGATGATTGTGAGAGACATCAAATGAGAGTAAATGCACCAGTTGGCCAATCCCAGGTGGCAGTTCCCGAATTTTATTCTCCCTCAGACTTAGTATTGTGAGTGATGTAAGATTTCTGATTTCATCTCCTACATATCTTATTCTATTGAAACGTAAAAACAGTGTTGTCAAGGAAGACAGTTTGTACACAACATCAGGTATATCATTCAGCTTATTGTGCCTCAGATCAAGAACTTTAAGAGCATGCAGGTTCTCTAGAGAGTCTGGTAAGCTGGTCAAAGAATTCTCACTCAAAGCAAGAGTTTGAAGATTGCTCAAACAACCAATCTCAGCAGGAAGTGATACCAGTTTGTTTCCATAGAGGTACAACTCTGATAAATGATGGACATCCCTGAGGGTTGGTGGAAGATGGGTTATATTTGACTTACTCAGATCCAGGCGCTTAAAACCTTCATCCCTGCATCTGAGGAACTCCTTGGACACATCCAAATCTGCTTGAATGGGTTGTTTATTTTTTTTTGCAGTTGGTTTGAGTTTATTTGATTCAGGATGCTTGACAGTCACCACTTTGGGCCTCACTACATCCCCCAGAAGAGATCCTGAAGAATATTTCTTCTGCTTGACAGGATCCGAGGATGTAGAGGTCTCAGCCTCAGGCATATCTTCTTGAAATAGGAATCCACTATTGGCCTGTGTCATTTTCAGTGGTCAAAAGTAGCTAACACAGCTTATTACCCATCGTGACTGGATTTCAAATATTATGTTTACAAGTACAGTGATCTGGAGGAGCTCAATCAATAATAATTGACAAGCTTATAGTGTCTGGAATATCATCACTAGAATCGGACAAAAAACCGAATGAGACAGCAGGCTCACCGGTAACCATAGTTGGGTAGAGTACAATTCGAACTTCATTCGTGTTATTTATTCACGATCCGTTTGAAATCTCTATTGTGATAGTGTGATTAGAAATACATTTATTTTTCAATTCAACACAATTTACGACGACAGTCGGCTGTCGGCGAGCAAAGCAAAGAAAACATGACCAAAATGTCATTGGAGAATACTTGACACTGACAGCGGTGACAGGGATTTGACAATTGACAAGGTATATCGACGAACTGACACAGAACTCAAACTACAAAATTTATGAAACTCATGACAATTGACAGTTGAAAGATGAATAACTCATTTGTCAAATTAGATACAAAGTTTTGCGTTTCGCATATCTCAAAGCGTAAAAATCAAATCGTAAAACGTTATTCTCACTGGTGCTCTACTGGCATTAAACTCTTTTTCAAATAGCCTTGCTCTTCTGGCGCCAGATTAGCGTTTGATGTGCCAGTTCAAGTAGCCAATCAGAAGAAGGCAAAACATGACACACGCAGGAAAAGGAAAACGTTGTCATGAATACAAAGCTTCAGATTATCAGATTTGTGTTTTGAGGATTTAGGGAGTATCTGAAATTTGAAGTTTATACACGTTTGTAGTTTTGTACTTGTTCTGTCGCCGTCGCCTGTCGACCTGTCGTTTTCTTTCTCCACTCTCGACAGCCTCGACGGCCTCGACTCTCCTCTCTCCACTTTCCAGTTTGTAGTTGTCATTTGGTGGTTCTGATGTTAGTAATGGAATTTAATTTCATAATTTTGTAATAAAATAAACATTTAATAATTGACCCGAAACCGAATATTGTTATAGTGCTAAATAAATATTATGAATTTCGAGTTAAATTGAACATGTTTCGGTGTATACCCATTTTTAAAGGTTGCAACAGACAAGTTGATTATGTTGATAAGAGACATTGCTCCTTAATAAACGTTCCCGAGGAAATCCTAAGGCATTCGAGGAGCTTAGAGGAACTCCTATTAGACGCTAATAGGATACAAGTTCTTCCAAAGGTAATGAGTTGTGATTTGCTAGCTGTTGTCTGAACATATATAAATCAGTGATGTTTCTCCCTCAGAATTTTTTTCGACTGCACCGTTTGAGGAAACTTGGTTTAAGTGACAATGAAATCAACAACTTACCATCAGATATCCAAAATTTCGAACATCTTGTTGAACTTGATGTATCCAGAAATGGTAAGAGATGTATTTGACTTGATATAACTGCACTTGTGCACTATTACTAGAATTGAACTTATGTTTCTGTTGTTTTAGACATCCCAGACATCCCAGAAAGCATCGGGCAACTACGATCCCTCCGCGTCGCCGATTTTAGTTCCAATCCCATTCCCCGTCTTCCACCTGCCTTCAGCCAACTCAAGTCTCTCACTGTCTTGGGACTCAATGACATGTCGCTGACCTCACTGCCACAGGATTTTGGCCAGCTCACATTGCTCACATCTCTTGAGCTCAGGGAGAATTTGCTCAGGGAGCTACCAGCTTCAGTTTCCAAATTGAGTAACTTGGAAAGATTGGATTTGGGGGATAATGAAATTGAAGAATTGGTAAGTTTGTTGTTTTTGTTTACAAAGTGCTGTGAATTCAATATATTATATGAATGTATGGGGCCCATTTGTTTTCTGTGGACCATCTTTATTATTTAAATTTACAATCTATGCAGCAAATTCAAAATTTGGTAACAAGGCAATTATGTTTATGTTCTCTTAGTGTTTTCATTAACTTGCAAAGTTGCTACTTGCAAAAGTGTTTTATAAGATTCACTTGCTATTTAAATTGCATGATTTTAGAATACTCCATTTTATTTCTTCAGATTTATTAGTTTCCAATTTCCTCCATGACATTCACAATACATATTATATTGACACATTTTTTTAAATTCTAATGCTCCATGATTTTTGCATAGATATTGGTATTCAGGTACTTCAATTAATTGAAAATTGATGCAGCACATATTATAATTGAAAATTTGCTGGGAAATCACACAAATATGCTCAAGTTTTGTCCTTTTATCAGCAGTTTAATAGCTTACACTTTTTAATCACATGGCTTCATTCAATTTTTTAATGATTTGAATCAACTAGCCATAGAAGATTTACAATATTTTTTTTTAGTTCCATCTTGAGATAATACTTATTATGGCAATCCAGTAATCTCAATGGATATGATAGATGTATTTATATTGGAATTTTCAGAACCCTGTATATTAAAAATTAATCTTCTCCATTCATTAATTTTATATGCCATTTTGGTACTATTACAGTATCTATTTATTTTTTCCTAATATTACTTCACCCAATCCTATGAACCTCTCAAAGCAAAATACATAATCCAAATTATGAATGTTTCATTCATGTTTCAAGTGCTTGAAATTTGTGAATGATACATTATTTTTATTTCTTGGTCATTCCATTTCAGATTATTTTAAATTATTATGCCAAGGTATCTATTTTATACAATGAGTAGGTAGTGAATTTTATGTGAGTATGTTAATTTTACTATTGATTTTGAGGAGGATTTTGATTATATCTAATTTTGACTGAGAATCATTATAGGAAGGTTATGCTTATATTTTATCACCTTTACTAATTTGAACAATTTACTAGGTTCCAATTAGGTCAACCCTGTTATCTAAAATAAACAACTTTAAATTTCTACACCTCATGAGGATTTACTGAATTTGATGTGCTTTGTTTTTAATTGTAATCCCCCTCTTATGATTATTGAAATTTTATGTGTTCTGGTTGTCAAAACCATTAAATCTTGTGTGTATGTTTAATGATGTACTCAAATTGACTGTGAATTTCAGTCCTACAATGTAGTTTCATACAATTGTGAAAAAATAGGTGGGGAATTGTATATTCTTAGAGTCTTCTAATAAAAATTATGAATAAATTCAAATACTATAAATTTTTTCTTCTACTTGAAATTCACAAAAATTTTCAATTGTGGCAGAGAATAAAAAAGGCGGCTGGAGATTCAGAACCTGCCAAGAACAATGTTAATCATTAGAAGTATTCATGATATGAATCTTAGAACATGAAGATAATTCATAAGGATAATAATCATAATACAGTAGGTATTTATTGACCATATGTGAATATTCAATCAAATGGCCATCAACCGGGTCCTACAGCCAATATGTTGAAGATATTTTTGGCATGTATTTATCTTGGAGTAAATTGGTAATAAAACTATGAAATTTAGATTACACAGTAACATTATAAGATACACTTTTTTCAGCTCTTGTTCCCAATATTATTGATGAATGAGATCTGTGCACATTTTTTTTCTCAATATTTTCCTGAAAACTACTTCCTTCAAGTAAACAATATTAAAATAGATCAATGACAATGAGGTTGTTATTGTTAGTGGATGGAATGTCATAACAATTTAGATTTTTTGCAAATTGAAAACACTCTTCAAATTGCATGTCATTGTTGAATATGATGAAAAGTACACATTTCAAAAAAATATCACGAGAATAAAAAAATGAATAGTATGAAAAATGTGTTCCAAGAAAATTGATCTTATTTTATTAGTAATAATAGTTATTGATACACCATGGTACTAAAGGATGTCATTATCACCAAGTGAAGCCCCAGGTTATAAGGTCTTGTGGTAATAATTTTTTTATGGCCAGCATAGCCTGGTGGTTAAAGCGTCAATGTTCTATCCACGTTGGATTGCCGGTAGGTGGGATCACATGTTAAAAGGTAAGGCCACCGTCATTCCTTGCTGGCACAAGTCTCTTGAATACTTCTGAGGGTTGCTAGTAAGGGGGCAACTGAATGATGGATAAGAACAATATTTTAGAACAATTACCTATATTTTTTCGACCACTAGCAATTATTTTCAATAATTATAATAGTTCCATATAATTGAAGAAAATAATGTCGTAGTCATTGTGTATTCTTTTTCAATCCAGAATAAGCCTTATTGTTTTAACTCTACTCTAAAGTTATTTTTCGTCTCAATCTCGAAATACTTTTGTAGCCAACTTGAGCAGATAATGATCTCAGCTACTCAGTATTATTTATTCAACAAGCATGGAATGATAGTAAATTCTCACTAGAATGAAGTTTACAGCCGTAGGCGAATGTTGCAAATCATAGGAGTGGGAAATTAGCATTCCATGCCAGCTATACATAACACAATGAAGTCATTGTGTTATCAGATAAGGGGATGAGATTGATTGATGTGCCTCATTGATTTATCGTAAACAGTAAATCAATAGGAATTTTATGTACTAGATATTTTGAATGACACTTTCATTCATTGCTAGTAGTAATCTATTACACATTTTCAAAATCTGAGAAACAAAAGAGATGCAAAATACCCTTGCATACAGGTCAGATCATTTCCGGTTCGAACCGATCATTCCATTTCAGCCCGCGCACATCGGCAAACTTTCCTCCCTACAAGAACTGTGGCTGGACCACAACCAATTGCAGAGCCTACCGCCCGAAATCGGCCAGCTGAGCAATCTCACCTGCCTAGACCTCTCGGAAAACCGTCTGGAAAACCTCCCGGAAGAGATAGCCGGTCTCGAAAGCCTAACGGACCTGCACCTGTCCCAAAACGTCTTGGAAACCCTGCCGGACGGCATCGGCAAACTGGACAAGCTGACCATACTCAAGGTCGACCAGAACAGGTTGACCTCCATCAACAAAAACATCGGTCACTGTCACAACCTTCAAGAGCTCATCCTCACCGAGAATTTCCTCAGCGAATTGCCCGTGGCCATAGGCAAATTGGTGAAACTGACCAATCTGAATGTGGACAGGAACAGTCTCACGCTGATACCCGACGATGCGGGCAATCTATGCGAGCTGGGCGTGCTCAGCTTGAGAGACAATAGACTGACGATGCTGCCCGACACTTTGGGCAACTGCAGGAGATTGCACGTGCTGGACGTTTCTGGGAATAGGCTGCCCTATTTGCCGTACACGTTGTTGCAGTTGAGCCTGAAAGCGGTGTGGCTGAGCGACAATCAGGCGCAGCCTTTACTGACTTTCCAGACGGATACCGATCCCGATACGGGCAAGACGGTGCTGACTTGTTTTCTGTTGCCCCAGCAGGAGTATCAGCCGACGATAGGTGAGTCCGTGTGGGGCACTTTTCGATGTTTTCTTCAGCTTTTTGTATTTGCATTGTTTGTACTGTTTTCTATATATTAGCAAGGTGATAATGTGATTTCTTCTTTGCACTGCTTATCAATCTTTGTATTATCACCGTGGGGAAAAGTAGATACATCAAGCTTCTTATGATTTTTAAGTACATCCAAGAAATTCCAATGACTCCCAACCATGTCTAAACAATTCTAAAGACTTTCAGTGACGTCTTACGGATTGAGATCTATCTAATGGTTTCCAATTATTTTCTAAACTTTCCAAATGACTTCCGATCATGTACTTCACAAATAATTTCTATGAATCCTTTAAACTTTCCATGTCGTTCAAAGGATTCTAATAGACTCCCAAAAATGTCCAATGACATCATTGAAATTCTTAATGGAATTAAGCTTTTTTACTTACCAAATTTTCTAATGACTCAAAATGCTTTCAATATCATTCTCATTCTCCGAAGAATACCAATAACTTCCAACTCTTCAAAAGAATTCTAATGACGCCTTTAGAATTTTGAAGATTTCCAAATATCTCCAATCAATTCTAATGGCTCCCAAATATTTGAAATGGTCTCGCATTGGAAAAAATTTGTGAGAATCTTTTCCAGAGACTTACACTGTAGTTAACACTGGAGTTTCATCAAAATATACTCTGCTGCCTACTAAAATGCATTTGGATAAAAGTATAGGCTTGAGTTCTGATAAAAATATTGACCAATTTTAACCATTTCAAAATTATCCTGTCGAATGTGATTCAAATAAGATATGTCATAAAAAAAACTATCCAAAAAAGAAGTAACTTTCACCTTTACGATGATAACGTTTTCTTTCTTCCCACATCTAGCTCGCTCTTCCGCTTTCTTCTCTTTTTGTTTCTTTGTTCCCGTTAAGCAACTGTGTTTCCAAAGACTTGTACCATAGTGAACACTGGAATGACAACAAAATCTACTTTGTTACCTATCAATTACCTTTTGAAGAATTCCAATTACTACCAAACTGTATGTACCTTTGACGTCCAAAGGATCAATCTTTTTTTATTTACCAATACGTCTATTGGCTCAGAATGCTTCCAATGCCTTTCACATCCTCCGAAGAATTCCAATAACTTCCAACATTCTCCAAAGGAATTCCAATGATGTCTTTAGAATTTTGATGATTTCCAAATATGTCCATCAATTTCAATCTTTTCCAAAGATTTGTACCATACAACAAAATCTACTTTGTTACCTATCAAATACGTTTTCAAGAATTCCAATTACTACCAAACTGTACATACCATTGACGTCCAAAGAATCAATCTTTATTAATTACCAATTCATCTAATGACTCAAAATGCTACCAATGCCTTTCACATTCTCCGAAGAATTCCAATAACTTTTAACACTCTCCAAAAGAATTCCAATGATGTCTTTAGAATTTTGAATATTTCCAAATATGTCCAATCAATTTCAATCTCTTCCAAAGACTTGTACCATAGTGAACACTAGAATTTCAGCAGAATCTACTAAAACCTACCAAATTTCCTTTGAATAAAAGTATAGGCTTCATTGCTGAAATATGAATATAAACCAATATGAACCATTGCAGAATAATCTTGTCGAAGGTGATTCAAATTGGGTCAATTAGGAAACAAAACTACATTTGACCTGTATGATTCTAAGTTTCTTCCGCTTTCTTCTTTTCTGTTTTTTTGGTTTCCGTTAAGCACCTGTGTTTTCTGTCTTTGTCTATGTGCACCGCTAGCTTCCGACGGCCGCTTGTACCGCTGCGACATCACCGCCGGCCTTTCTAACGGTAGTACATTGTCCCGCACAGATGGCGCTGCCACCGAAGAGGACGACGACGACGATTGGCGCGAGCACGAGGCCAGTCGCACGCATTCGGTCAAGTTCACCGATCCGCAGGAGCAGGAGAACAAAGAGGTGAGATCGGGGTTCGTGAGACGGATTAAAACAGAGTAACTAGTTATGAGTTTTTTTAACGCTTGGAGCGCACGAAAGGAAATCCCTATAATGTTCAAAGAACATCGTGCGTTTCTAGGGAGGATAGGGACAGGAGGTAGGTATTGGAATTTTTTTTGAACTTCTGAAGATTATATGTTGTTGGGAATACTTCCTCAGGCAATTAATTCCTGAGCCTAGCTGTTCTATGGATGAAGGAGTTCTGATAAAGTGCTGTTCGACATCTTTTGAGGTTGACAATGAAAGGATCTGCTGACTGGGCTAGGCTAATTCGTCTGACTGGTATTGCTAGTGAAGGGATGATAGCAGAGATTTCCGAAGAACATTTCCCGTGGAATTATATATAGAAAAGTGAAAGGTCGCCGACCTTTCTACGGTGTTTCGATGATGTCAAAGAGTGGTGGCGTCACCCACCAGGCGAATGGCTTTCTTCTGGATGGAATCTAAGAGCATCAGCATGAACCCCATGTTTATAATTCTTCTGGGGCTCGATTCTCGAGTCTAGGAATTCGATCCTATAGGATAGGAGAATGATCCAATGCTTTCAGTTCTCATAGGAAATGATAATTTGTCATGACACCTATTCTTGAACCAGATGGAATCGTTTTCCCAGGGGATTGAAAAAGTGCCGTATGTCGCAGATAGATTCTTGAGCTTACATGAATTCACCGATGAAATAGTGCAATTTATGTTGGTAACTGGTGGATGATTGAAATGAAATGTTGACATTTCGATTTTGACTAATTTTGAGGTTATATTATAATATAATTTTGCGACGGTGAGATTATTGTGTATTGTATATTTACTATATTTCCTCTGATCGAAATGGATATGGATACAAACAATATTAAAAAACCACGAGGTATTAGCGAAGAGCATAAAATACTTTTGATAGAAATAATGGAGGCCTCTGAGGAAAATTTCACCCCTAATTCACTTGTAAGGATTCTAGAGTACCTACCTATTAATTCTCTAGTAGTCTTTGGACAAACGAAAAACTGTGCAGCAGACAAATACACACTTTCTCTTTGGTCTTCTAGTAAGGATTTCAGCCACTTCCAAATTTTGTAAAGCCTCTAGAGTCTAGATTATCTATTTCATATTTGCCATGTTTTGCAATATGATTTCCCGATCTTTCACTAGGGTTCAGTTCCCATCACAAATGAGAATAACTTCGTATTGCATGAGTGTATCCTATGAGAAACATGTTGTTCCCAGGGATATTGCAATGGGAAGCAGTTCTCTTGAAATGTATAGGAATAGTTTCCCATACAATAGTTCAAGGATACATCATCTCAAATTTCCATGGGAAATATCGAGTTTTTCCCATGGGAACGAATTTCAACGGATTCGAGAATCGGACCCCTGGTGTACCCACTGTTCAATTGTTTCGTCAGACTAGCTCTCGATATGAACAATTGAATGCGAGTTCGAAACGTGGGGTTGTCATATTCGATGATAGATGGCGTTAACAATGGACAATTTCTTGAAAAATTTCAAGATGCGTTTCGAATCTCATTATGACGTTGAACTAGACTTTCAACGATGTGTTTTTCTTCTTTCGGGACTTGGAGAGTCCCGTTGATGAGGCACGATTTCAATAATAGCTGATAAGAAGCATCTAGAGACAGGGGACAGCAAATATTCCATGCGGAAACATCTTGATCGTGAAATATCTGTCACGAGTGTCATGTTTTCGGCATATTCAAGATTTTGTTCAAATTTCGTATAGAAATATTAGAAATTTAAGAGCATCAGTAGTTTATTAAGCAGGTAATGATATTATATTATTAGTTGAGTGAGTGTATTGTGCTTCCATCATGGACTGACTGTTGCAATATGTGAGGATTATTTGAAAATCCGAACATTCGATTAATTTCATGCACCAAAAGTGAGTAAATAAACTATTATCACAGGTTTTTTATGAGTTAGGACTTCGTGTCGTTCATGAATTTACCATTTAAAGTCGAAAATATGACGCACCGTTTCCATTTGAACAAAAAATTGGGAAAATGAAAATGTGAACTCAAATGAATGTGTCATGATGCCTGTATATTTGGTTTGAAACTTCGGAAATTTAGCTAGATTCTCCCACGCCTCGCTATTTTTACAAAGTAGGCGATATCGAGAGATTTCTAAACTCCTTCAATAGGAAGTGATGACACCATTTGACTTTCTATACATCTATATTAGTTAGATTTAGATAGAGTGATTTATCGGATACTGCATGATGATCTGGTCATGCTATCGACATCTAGTGGCGTTAGTTTCAAGGTAGAGCCTTTGCTTTTCTCTTCTGCGAAAAAAGCATCGCATTATAAGGACCTCTGTGGAACCGCTGCCAAATCAATGATTCAAGAGGATTTTCCGGATGAATCATATTCAACTCGGCATAAATAGCTTATGACAAAAAATAGAAACACCTTCAAAACATAATAATACACCCATAACAACACAATGGGTCTATCCAGTATCGTACAATTTGACCCTTTTTCATAATGTTATGAAGGGAAGTTGAAAACCTTATCCTGACCACATATTTATCAATAAAATCGAACAAAAAATTAATTATTCAATATTGAAAATACTGTTTCAATACCTGTGAATTCGAACGCTACTGAGCTGTGATGTCAGTCTTGCAATTTGATTGGTTGAAGTTCTGATGGCTGGGAATCACTCCGCTGTTGCCAGAATCTCAACTTCCAATTGAAACGCCTAACTCGTTCATCATTTACTACCTCCAATCGGATTCAGACCTACATAATCTATTCTATTTAAAATTCCGAATTTGATTTTGCGGTAAAACGAGCTACAGTCAGATGCTGTACTAAATAAACTTGCTATAAAAACTTTAAAGTTTTTTTTCCATCAGACACCGTTCGTGCGACACAACACCCCCCACCCTCGAGAACTCAAAGCCAAAGCGCATAAATTGTTCGGCAAAGGCCAGAATTCCATAGAGGAAAGCGAACATCAGTCCAATAACATCAGCCAGCCATCGCCAGTCGAAGCTGTCAATCAGCATGTCAGGCACTCTAGTGATGCCAGCCAGGTAAGCATATGATATTTTCGTGAAAAAAAATTGGGAAAATGGGTATGTTTCATTGAAATAGTTATTTATTATACAAGGGAAAAAAGTAGTAGATTTTAGCTCCAGGTTGTCGCGTCGGGAGACAAAAAACCGTGAGCTAAAATCTAATATTTTTCCCGTGTATAATACACTATTTTTTTCTGTGACAGAAGAAAGGGCGAATCAATATTGAAATGATATTACATTATTTTGAAATATGAAAATTATCGACGTGAAATTTTGAGTTTTTAACAGTAGGGACACCTGCATTGTAGGCATCTTTATAATTCTTTTGAAGTAATCAAATATCTGATGTAACTTCTGTCAGTCTAATTCTGTGATTTGATTTCAAAAAATTGCGAATTCAGTGGTTTTTTAGTTATATAGGCATCCGCGAAGTCGAATGGAAGATAATAGGACTTGCAGTTCTTTCTCAGAGACGGTATTATTGACTCATTTTTCGGAACTATAGCACAACAAAAGCCATCAACAGTGTATATATCCGGGGAAAGAAGTACTCACTTTTTTCCCACGGGAAAAAAGTGATTTGTGAAAAGTGACATTTTATAACCTGCCAACAGAGATGAAATGCCAAATTTTTTTCCCGTCACAGAAAAAATATAGTTTCATTCTTATCTGCTGTTATAAGGAGTGAATTTTAATGTATGTACCTCACCAATTCTGCTTGTCTTCAAATTAATTTTCCATCCAGGCCGTTTTATACACTCATCATGCGATGAGTTTTTTTAGTACTCTCGTATTTTCGTCTGAAGAACACGAATTTCACAATGAAAATGTGAACAAACCGCTATTTATCGAGATATTTTACGAAAAAGTTCGAAATTTCACCTTCTTTTGTCACCCATCATGGATATTTATTTACAACTAGGTACTTGTCCTTTTCACATCACCGGACACTTTGTACTTCAATAACACATTTAATTTCACAAAAATCAACAAGAAGTATGGTTTATTTGGAATTTATTCATATTTTAGTGAGGTAAACAATCACACCAGAACACCAGCTGACGGCCATTCAATTATCAAATCTAGTCATAGATAGGTACCATACCAATACGAGATGTCAAATAAAGGTCAAATGTCAAAAAAATTTGCGAGAAACCAAACTATTCATTACCTTTACCATACTTCTTGTTGATTTAAGGAAATAAAATGTGTTATTGAAGTACAACGTGAGTATATAAAGTGTACAGTGATGGAAAAAGAACAAGTAGATGTGAATTAATATACAAGATGGGTGGCAAAAGAAGGTGAAATTTCGAACTTTTTCGTAAAATATATCTATAAATAGCGGTTTGTTCACATTTTCATTGTGAAATTCGTGTTTTTCAGACCAAAATAGGTAACTACCAAAAAAAATTTTCGAAAAAAAACCCATGGCAAAAACTTCACAAACGGTAAGGTTTACGCAAAATTCTTGATTACACTTGAAAACTACACTAAGTGTAATTAAGAATTTTGTGTAAACCTTATCGTTGAAGTGAAGTTTTTGCAATCATATCCCATACCTCTATTTCTGTCTAAAGACAAAACCTGCATATTTCCACCAAATGAACTTTTCAGCAAGGCCACTTCAATATTTGTTTGTTGTGAGGTTTTTGATTAATTTCAACACTCGGGAAGTCAATTGTCAAAGAAGAAACCATTTCACTGTTAACTTTGAAGAAGTTTGCCAGCTGGACCTTATTTTACAAAATCTAGTTTATTCATGCTGGGTATTTTGGGGTGCAAATAATACAATAAATAAATCATCCGAAAATTATCTGGTGATTGGGGCGAGGTTGAAATTCCTTCTACTTTCTCACTCCTGTGGTGAATTCGTGCTATGGGTTATCAAAAGGTAGAGTTTCAATATTGTTGATTATGGTAATGGAAAGAAAAATATTTGTGACTGAACAGGCTCAATGTCAAGTAGCAAGAATTTTGTAGAAATAGAGTTGATCTGCTTCCGGGAAAGTGTGGTTGGAGCACTTTTTTTGTTGTTTTTCCTTTCAGGTGATGGATTCTGATACAGAAGGAATCTCCACGGGTAACGGGATGGATGAAAATACTGAGCCAATTACTGAGCCAAGTCAGGAAGAGGATACAGATGATGTGAGTACTGAACAATAATATTTCATTTATTAAAATTATTTTTTTTTACATGACAATTCAATTCATTCGTAAATAATCCCATGAGCCGCTGTGGTTTTTTCAATATGATTGCGAAAAATGTTTGCCACAACTTTTGCAACGACAAAATGGAACCTAACGAATCTTTGATGGCGTTAATGTCAACTTTCCTCAATCTTGCGTTGCCAGAAAAGTACCTAATCTGTTGAAAAGTCGCGTTTGAAGAGTCTTCCAGTGGAAAAATTGGAAAAAACCATCAAAAATAATGTATTCATTAACACGTTGACTGCCGCAGTACATAAAAAGTTTTGGCTCCCCTGGGCCATTTTTTTATTATGATGGATTATGATTGAAACTATTGTACTTCTTCAGCAAATATGTGACATATGTGAAAAAAACATATATTTCTGATTTTATTTAAATTTTTTCAGCATACGTATTTTGTAGTATTGGCCCGTGAGGCACGAATGCTGTAACTTCAAATGTGTGTGGTTTGTTACGAGAAACTGGCACAAGTAGAAGGAACATACGTAGCTCAGCGCAAAACTCCTAGGTCTATGTACCAATGTACTGCTTGTGAAAGAAATTTCTGCGTAACATGTTTTTTCAAACACCACAAGACGACATTGTTATAAAAAAAGTTGTCATTTATGAAAGTTTGACAGCCCAATGAAAAATTTTCGTATTCTTTTTTCATTATTTTTGCATTTTTTCAGGAGAACCTGATCATTTTTCATAAGCACTCATTGCATAAGTAAAATATTCATGTATTTTTTTGAAGAATAATATATCTATCCATTGTGCATACGCTTGGTAATCCATTTTTCAGAATGAACGCTGAATAAAATTGAAATATTCATATTTTTCCTGGGGTTTTTGAGAATTTGGGTCCCCTGCGCCACGAAGATTGTGATCACATGCTAATATATACGCTTCAAGGCACTCACGATGTACCATGAAATTTTAGAGAGTCGACTGATATAAGGCACAAATAGTGTGCCTTGAACCCTAAATAGCCGAAATGGCAAGGCACATACCTAGTGCCTTGTGGCAGTCAACGTGTTAAGTTGTCTTGCCGAATTATACGCAAGCATTTTTTTGTCCGAGTGAAACTTGAAATGTATGATTCGAGTTTTGATGGCTTCAGGAAATTCAACTACAAAAATGCCTGAAAAAGTTACCTGTCCTACGGACTCATCATGCTGTTATTCAAGTATTGTAGAATAAAGAATATAATTGACAGGCGATTTTGATGAGCAGAAGTAGGTGCTAGGCGAGTCCAAAGGAGGGGGGAATATAATTTGCTGACTAATATTTAAGTTTGCTGACCGGACATCCAGATTCATATTCGATAATAAAATGAGCAAGTGGACTGATAATGAATTATTGGCACCTAAATTAATTTTTGCAACACCTAACGTTTTTTTTACGTAAATAATATGTCCATGTGTTGTTCGAAATTGTTGAATTTCAGAGCTCATTTCAAACGAACCGCCATGGCCGTCATTTGGCGATACGTGGAATAAATGGTGACATCAGTTTTTAAGCTGTTTCATTATTGGTTAGGTCAGATAATCTCCCATTTCCACTCATGAAGCAAGGTTGTCAAGTCACCAATTATAATCAAATTATCAAAGAGATGTTGGAGTCCTATCATTGAATAAAACATAATAGGAGGAATCCATGATATTAAAGTTCATTCTTGACTTTTTCGAGCAACCAACATGTTGAAATATTTCTTATTCTCCATAACAAAATATCATGTGAATGTTGGAGACTTGGCAACATTGTGTTAAATGCTGAGAACTTACAAGACCACGCCTACAATTCGTGCGCTGTTGCAGGGTCTACTCTATCTCACAGGGCCGTATTCTATCCCCTCTACCTCGATGCTGACGTCATGACGTAGGTTGAGATTTCACATCATTTCATATCGGTGCTTCGCAATTGAAAGGTTATAACTCATTTACTTCAAAAATTAGAAGCACACTCAATCGAGACGAATTGATCCCTGATGAACTACCCAACTTTCGGTAAAAAAATAAATTCGTTAAGACGAACCAGTACCGATTTATGAGGTTGTAAACAAATTCAACTTTGGAATCGGTTTAAAATGAAACTGACTGAGTATGTCAAACTAGAATAATGCATCAATTGAATAGAGAGAAAATTATTGAGCTACCTACAATGAGTCCGAAATAAATTAGAAATAAGGAGCGCGTAAAAATTTGTCTAGTATTATATTCCTACCTAATTTCCCCTTATTAACGATTTCGCGGTAATTCCCTATAGGCAATGGGCAATGCACGTTTTATTACTCATGTTCCAGTTGTGGGTCTTTTGATATTATGAAAACTATAGTGAATATTGTGTTGAATAATTAGGTATTACATATGAAATATAGCGGGATTCAGTTAAATAATAAGAAAAGAAGAATCATCAGACTTTCCGGTGAGATAGAGTAGGCCCTGGCTGTTGTCACGTATACATATTCAAATGTCGTCTAGTGTGAATTAATATGATTATTATCTACACAAATTTATTGTAAGCAATAAACGACAAATCATGAGGGAACATTTTGAGACAAGTGAATTTGTATTGCTAATTAGGAATATTACCAATTCTCAACATATTTCTACATCTCATATGGATATTTAGTTGCCATTCAATAAATAATTTCGATCTACCCCTCAGAAGGGTTCGTTCATTCATGTTGTTTTTCAAAAATGCTTGCTGACCAAACATTTCTGGTTCGAATTTTTGTTTCAAATAACATATTTGCACATCTTGTATAGATACTTAGCTGCTATTCAATAAATAATCTCGATCTACCCCTCAAAAGGGTTCGTTCCTTCATGTTGTTTTTCAAAAATCTTTGCTGACCGAGTATTCTTGGTTCGAAATTTTCGTTCAAATTACATATTCGAATACCTCATATAGATATTCAGTTGCCACCAAAGAAATAATTTCCATACACCCCTTGGGAGGGGTAGTCCCCTGTTCCTGTTATTTTACAAGAACCTTGATAACCGAGCATTTCTGGTTCAAATTTTTGCTTGAAATTATATGTTTCAACATCTTATAAAACAAATCCAGTTGCCACCAATAGAATGATTTTGATCCACCTCTTAAGAGGGGTAGTCTATTCTTGGATGTTTTTCAAAATCATTGCTGACCGAGCATTTTTGGTTCGAATTTTCGAGTCAAATTACATATTCGAACATCTAATATGGATATTTAGTTGCCATCAAGTGAATAATCTAGATCTCCTGCCGAAAAGGGGTAGTTTATTCCTGCTGTTTTTCAAAAATCATTGCTGACCGAGCATTTCTGGTAACACCATGATGATATTTCATGTTTACAGCGCCAAGTTTATTTTTTAAATAATAAAAATCTTGGAGATGGTCACGTACCAGGTCATGGCTTTCTTACTTATCACCCTTTGTTTCATCATTATGCAAATTTATAGCCTTCCACACAAACCGTTATATAAAAGGTTCACGAGGTCTTAGACTATTAGACAAAAAAGACCTCATGTGATTATGTGACAAAATCTGCCATTTTGGTTATTTCAAACCAAGTGCTAGTGAAAAAGTACTAGTGAAAAAATGGCGGGTGTGCTTCAGGAGGTCCGTTTGAGGCGCGTGGGATTCTCCGGCGGCGTCTCGACGGAGTCCGACGCGTCGAGGCCGAGCCGTCTGCACAGACGCGACACTCCCCACCACCTCAAGAACAAGCGAATCACGGCGACGGTCGACAAAGACAAGGTGGCTTCGATCATTGCGCAGGTCAATTTTTTATTGTTCTACTTTCGAGCTAAGTTTTCGTGAATGAAGTAAGTAAGTGAGCTATGGCGGGCTTACTCTTCAATTGTTCCGTCAGACTGATACTTAATATGAACAATTGAATTCATGGCAATGGCGTGGGGTTCACATAATCAACAATAGATGGCATAGATGGATAGTATAGACAAGGTTTGTAGAATTGATGATTATTTGTAGAGGAAGGTTGCCTCGATCAGAAAACGTGGTGAGGGGAAGTGGTAATCCGTGACGTAATCGCATCCAAAATTTCATCTAGGGATCATAGAAATGTATGTATAATTTTCGATCACAGTTGGATAGGTAAATCTATTCAAAGACAGTTGTAGAATATAGATTCTCATGACACCGAAATGGATTTTTTTTATGGGATTACGTCACGAATTACCACTTCCCCTCACCGCGTTTTGGTGATCGAGGCAACCTTCCTCCACAAATAATCGTCAATTCAACCAACCTTGAGTGTAGAAATATTTCACAACTTTTGTGCAAAACATTTTACAAATTATCAATGTAAAACATTCGAAAAATAGCGTCCTGATTTGTTAGCAACAGAGATAGTTCGTTTGGAACCAAATATGTAACTCTGACACCACAGGTATTTACAAGTGTTTGTCGAACAGTCATGATTGAAGTGCCTACGCCACAGGTTATTTACTTCATTTATTCATGCGTACGAATTTTCTGTCATTTGAAAGTATTCTGTCGAAAATTTCCTCGGAAAATTCATCATTTCGCAAGATTCCAAAATAAGTCATGCTGAAGTTAACTTCTTCTCGAATTTTATTCCCATTGCGATTGGGCCTACATAAACCGCCTGGTGGAAGGAATATTAACTATATTTTTGACAGATTACATACATTAGGATGATTTGTATGCATGAAAACTTAGCTTCATCCGTTCGACCTTCGTCCTGCCGAACGAAAAGCCTGGTCGGTTTTGCGCTATTCTTTTGTTCTGTACTGTCACGGCCATTCTTGTTTTCTTTCCACAAAATACTTTGCTGAAATTGTATCAGTCTATTTCATGTTATATGTCTTAAACAAGGTGATCTCTGTAAAGGGCAAAAATAAATGGCGTGAAAAGAATCGGCGGTAGTGCGCTAGAGTAACTTTATAGACTAGAGTGGCGACAATGGTGATGTACGGGGTGATTCGTCATAAAATTTCCCCCCACTAACTCAGTTTTTTTGGAACCAATTACAAAATTTTAAATATCATCTAAAATGATTTTTGATAGAGTTTTTATCCGCTACATCAGAAAATACAAGGTGCTCGGAACAAACGATCTACAGGGTACTATTTGATTTTTTCAAATGGAACACCCTATTTTTCATTGTATTTTTAGATTATCTCTGAAGAGCTGATGTCATCAATGTGCCTACACTTGGGGTCTAGCGAAAATGATTACAGTGATATAGGGTGTTCAAAATCGTGATTTTTCAACTTAAGGATTTTTCTGTGACGAAACTATTCATTATCCGTCAAAACGACTTTCATGTCCGTATCTCAAATTTTGATTTACTATCTACTGACATTTGATAGATTAGATTAGATTAGATTTAGAATGGGGCCTTCGGGCTATCTGCCTCCACACCGCGACCTTTTCAGATCTATTGTGTCTGCCCTCAAAATCGATTAGAGTTCTTCGGCTAGCCCCGTCTTCTCTATGAGACTCCATAGGCTAGCTTTCAGATCCCCTGTGTATCTCTGGGCTTCTGGTTTTTCCTCACCCAGCGTAAGGAACCTTAGTCTTGACAAGCCCTCACAGTGGCAAAGTATGTGTACTGCTGTTTCCTCCTCTTCCTGACAGAACCTGCACAGCAGTTCTTCAGTCAGACCTATCGTACTCATGTGTTTGTTGAGCCTACAATGCCCTGTGAGAAGTCCCACTAGTATTCTAGTTGAACTTCGTTTCTGGCTTAGTAGATATTCTGTGAATGTTGGCGATGGTTTTTTAATAAACTCTTTTGCCTGTCTCATTCCTGGCGATTTGTTCCACCATTCTTGAGATTTGGTTTGCATCCATGATTTGATACTAGTCTTTTGTATAGCTTTCGCAATACCACAGAAGGGTTCTGGGCCATTCAGAGCTTTGTTTGCTCCTGCTCGGGCAAGTGAGTCTGCCTCTTCATTGCCCTCGTACCCTGTATGTGCTGGTACCCATGCTAGAGTCAGTCTGTTCTGACTGCCCAGTGCATTTAGGGTTTCTAAGCAGTCCCATACTAGTTTTGAGTTAACTTGCATAGAGTTGACTGCTTTGATTGCCGCCTGGCTATCTGAATAGATTGCAATGGTTTTGCCTTTAAACTCTTGCCTTATCAATTCTTTCACGCAATGATGTATTGCAATAATTTCTGCCTGAAACACCGTCGCGTATTTACCTAAGCTCAGTGAGATTCTTGTCTTTGGCTTGGCCCCATAAATACCGGCTCCTGATCCAAACTCATTTGATAATTGGAACAGATACATGCTGATCAGAATTCTGAATTTTGAACCACCCTGTAAACGTTTAAATTAAATGTCAGTAGATGGTAAATCAGAAGTTGAGATAGGGACATAGAAGCCGTTTTGACCAATAATGAATAGTTTCGACACAAAAAAATTCTAAAGTTGAAAAATCTCGATTTTGAACACCCTATATCTCTGTAATCATTCTCGCTAGACCCCAAGTGTGATGCATTGATGAAATCAGCTCTTCAGGAAGAATATAAAAATTAAATACAGGGTGTTTCATTTGAACAAATCAAGTAGTACTCTGTAGATCGTTTGTTCCGAGCACCCTGTATTTTATGATGCAATGGGAAACAAAATTCTGAAAAATCATTTTAGATGATATTTCAAATTTTCAAATCGGTTCAAAAATAAGTGTGCTAGAGAGTGGGGGGCATTTATGGCTAATCACCCTGTACGTGACTGTAAGACCAATAAAGGCTGAGATAGCTATTGAGTGAATTTTAAACAATTACCCTGTACCTTTGATGAATAAAGAATGTGGAAATTCTGATTTTTTTATGAAATATCTCAATGAATAGTGTTGGTGTTTTATCTCGAAAAAAGTACCTGTTTTGTTAACACAGCGCCATTCTCCAGTAACTGGAAAATGTCTTGAGAAGTCAGACAAAATTAGCAAAACACTAGGTTTTTCATTCGGCATAATAGTCTGAGTCTATGTTGCTTGATCGTTATCCGTGGCTTGTCTGTCTCCCCCCCCCCTTCCTTTCCCATACCTATTGTACTGAAATAGAACAAAAATGTATATCCGTTCTCCTTGTTTGTTGTCATTGCATGGTACAAAGTGAACAGGGTTACAAGATTTATTTTATTACAAGGCTTAATTTTCATTTTATTGCTGTCAACTTGGAACTGGATTTTTTCTCGTTTGTTTTTCAGAAATGTGCGAACCTTTGAATATAATCGTCATGTCATCTCCTTCTCCAAATTACATCTTCAGTATAAGATCACAAGGAATCTATTGAGTTGACGTTGACGGTTTTTATTCATCATGGAGTTCATCATGTCTACGGCAATGAGATTAATGAAGTTATTATTCAATTATATCAGTGGTCTTCATGAAATTTGGCAGATGAAACTTTGTAAAATAGAAATATTTGAAGGATTGAATGTTACTGAATACAGATAATATTAAAAATTTAAGTTCAATTGCTTCCGAAAATAGTTAGTCATAGTCATTGTCATATTTATTAATCCATTCGATCACAGAGTACATGATATAGGACAAGTCAACATTTTACAATAGGAACAAACATAACATCACTCAACAGATAACATAAATTCGTCCACTGAATATGGACACTTTCCTGTTGTTTAAGTTGAAGCTTCCCTGTGAAATTGAAAAAAATGTCGGTTTATTCGCAAACCTCTTGATTGCTAGGAACTGTCCTCACTTGCAATAGTTGATTTACAACCGTACGCTTAATTTCTTATGTTCTGTCTATGATTTGAAGACGAGAACCAAATTTAGAATAGTTAATAGTGGTATTGATAATAATGAATGTTTATTCGATTCAGTTCATAGAATTGCTTGTTTATATTGTTTATTCTACATCACATTATCTTCGTAAAAGCAAAATTTATTTTCAGGCACTCAAAAACAAAGAAAACGACAGTGATAGAACTAGTGCTTCAGCTTCGACTCCCCCAGAATCCATCGGAGATCGCCGAAGTTTATCGAGTCAAGGTCAGTGACTTGTTCGTTTTCTTGTTAACTAATAAGCTTTTCAAAAGCGACCTGTAGTTATAGTTGGAGATTGAATGTTTTGGTAGGATAAATTGCTTGGACGCTCTCACCTAAGCAAGGAACAACTATGAATAATAATTGGTGGCTACAGATGGAAAATCTCGTACAAAAACACACAGCGTATATTTTTCGTCTCTTATCTTTAATATTCATGGCACATTTTTCCAAACTGCCATTAAAGTAAGTAGCGAAAGAATGAATCTTTTCATCCTACCATTTGATGATACGATTTCTGAATGTGAATTGGCAGGTGCACATTTTTCAACGCTTCCATTGCAAACTCAAAGAAGTATTTCAAGCAGACTAAAATTCTACGTTATTAGTTTTTTATCCTTTCGTCCTGGGAGAAATATTGAATTCACCAAGGTGAAAAGAGATGGAATATACTCGTGAAGCTTCACAATCGTATGTTATTAGAAATTTATTCCAACCTAACCAATATACTGAAACATTTGATACATTGTGTTCTGCTGGAGGAACGAAATGCCTGAATATTTCTCTCACTTTTCTAATTGAATGGTACTTGTTCAAATCTGGAACGGACTATTTCATGATGTAGAAAATTTCATGGAAATACCAGTACTTTTTGCTCTTCCCAGTGTGGCAAAATATTCTGAAGAAATATTGGTACAAAATTACTCCGCTATACTTGTTCAATATAAATTGGTAGAATATTGAAAATCACTATACTCATAAAACGTTGGTAAAGTACCTATTTTCCGACCAATATTTACAGATTATTTAAGAAACATTTCAGTGAAGATTTCATGAAGTCGCCAAATAAGCGGTTTTCTTTTTTGAGACAATATATTATGATACTAAAATTATTGAATTATTGACAAGATATTGTGAAAATAATATAATATAGAGCTATATTTGTTCAATTTTATATTGTTAGAATATTGAAAATCACCATAGTAATGAAAATATTTTCCGACCAATATTTTCAAATTATATGAAACATTTGAGTGAAGTCTCAATAAACATATTTTTTTCGTTTTTGAGATGATATCGGACTGAAACTATAAAAATATTAGCAAAAAATATTGTGAAAGTACAACAAAGTATATGAATGAATATACAGCGATATAGAGACAAAATTACTTAACTATATTTGTTCAGAATTATATTGGTAGAGTATTTAAAATCACTAGTCATAAAATCGTTGGTAAAATATTTTTCGACCAATATTTACAAACTTGAGGAACATTTCAGTGTAGCATGAAGTGGTTCAATAAGCTGATTTTTTTCGTTTTTGAGAATTAGAACTAGGCCGCCAGTATCATTTTACCCTATACCTTTCACCACGTGAGAAAATAGATAACATATGACAGAGTGGAATGACATTACAATCATGGAAAGATGAAGTAACAACCAAAAAAAATCGAAGGATTGACCTGCTTTCTTCCCTCCCTCCTAAAATAATATGAGTATGGAAATTGTCAATTCAGGATAAATTAGAAAAATATCCTGATACTCACATATTTTTCTGATAATTAACGGAGAAATCAATTTCAAGAAATATTTTCCATTTTTTATGTTGAGAACGGTAGCAGATTCGTTTCGAAACGTCCAAAGATTCGGACATTTTTCAAACTAGGTGTCACTGACCTTTATTTAATATCTCTTATTTGTATGGTATGGTATGACTGACTGAGATGTTTATGATTTGATTTGATAATTGAATGGCCGTCAGCTGGTGTCTTGGCGTGATTGTTAATCTCACTAAAATTTGAAAATAATACAAATAAATCATACTTCTTGCTAACTTTAGGAAATAAAATGTGTTATTGAAGTACAAAGTGCCCAGTGATGGAAAAAGAAGGACAAGTACCTAGTTGTAAATGAATATTCAAGATGGGTGACAAAAGGAGGTGAAATTTCGAGCTTTTTCGTAAAATATCTCGATAAATTGCGGTTTGTACACATTTTGATTGTGAAATTCGTGTTTTTCAGGCAAAAAACCGGGTTGTAAGTACCAAAAACAATTTCTGATAAAAAAATTCATCGCATGATAAGTGGCCTTTCACCAATTAATTTGTTGTATAATAAGATGCCCTCCTTGAATGACGCCCATGCACATTATCTAAGATCTTTACCGGAATTTTTCCTCGCGTACCAAGTACTATAAGCCTAATTTAAATCCGTGACTTTCGAGAATTCCTCCGCGACCTGGCAACATCCCGAGACGCTCATATCGTTTGTTACCTTCACGATTCGCGATTAGGACAAGCTCGATTTGACGTGAGACTCGGTACAGTAATAACATCGCGGCCGTCCCGCAGACAGTGAACAGAGAGTGCCGTGATTCAAATCTTCTTCGATCGCCGTCTTCGCCGTCTTTTTTTTTTATCGCGCCTACTAGATCTAGATATCCCGCGATGCTCTGCTCCTTATCGGTCGACAGGCGGACAGTATCTGCGTTCTCGTGATGAGCACAGCTTCTATGAGTACGCTGCCGAAAATCCGCGTGAAAACTCGCGGAAACAGGCTGATCATCAAGGCCGATACCCTTCCCAAATCCAAAACCCCTTTGACTTTACAGAAGCAACAGGTACCGACTACCCCGCGCAACAACAAGCGTCATAAAAAGACGATTCTCAACTACAATAATGCAGGTGGGCGAATTTTGTTATCTCGTAATGAGGTGTTTATCTGATAAATAATTGATGTCGTGCTGTTTGAGCGGTCTTTAACTTGTGGTGTTCGGGGAAAATTAATAATTGTGCAACTGCTGATGTAGAAGAAGTGTGATTCATCCTTTGTATAATTTGATTGAACGTGGGCGAATGTTGTTTTTATTGACCATCTAGTTCAAGTGTAATCTTATTTGCCTTGAAATAGATATAGGTACATGAATCGTAAATCTATGTGTGATCGATAATTATTGCGACTGCGTCTTTGAAATACAGGGCGTCCACAAGTCACGCTCTCGCATAAATTAGTTTTTATACAAATGCAACATTTTCACGTAGGTAAATCCCTAGATGAGTAGTTGTTTAATTACAATTAAGTGGTAATAACGTACCTAACACCCTATACCTATATTACTGATTTCACTTCAAATCTCCAAAAATTACTGGACCGAATGTTTATCACACATGATGCCAGAATAATTTAACCACACTAAACTTTTCAAAAAAATGTTGTTAAATATCATATTCAAATAGTATATTGTTTGAAGAGCACCGAATGATAGTGATTTCCAACGAGAGCATTCCGTGCGAGTTATACACTATACGTTTTCTATGGCTGTAACAGATAACAGCGGCTTTTTTTATTTATTTGTCTTGTAGCCAACTATATTTGTTCAGAATTATATTGGTAGAGTATTTAAAATCACTAGTCATAAAATCGTTGGTAAAATATTTTTCGACCAATATTTACAAACTTGAGGAACATTTCAGTGTAGCATGAAGTGGTTCAATAAGCTGATTTTTTTCGTTTTTGAGAATTAGAACTAGGCCGCCAGTATCATTTTACCCTATACCTTTCACCACGTGAGAAAATAGATAACATATGACAGAGTGGAATGACATTACAATCATGGAAAGATGAAGTAACAACCAAAAAAAAATCGAAGGATTGACCTGCTTTCTTCCCTCCCTCCTAAAATAATATGAGTATGGAAATTGTCAATTCAGGATAAATTAGAAAAATATCCTGATACTCACATATTTTTCTGATAATTAACGGAGAAATCAATTTCAAGAAATATTTTCCATTTTTTATGTTGAGAACGGTAGCAGATTCGTTTCGAAACGTCCAAAGATTCGGACATTTTTCAAACTAGGTGTCACTGACCTTTATTTAATATCTCTTATTTGTATGGTATGGTATGACTGACTGAGATGTTTATGATTTGATTTGATAATTGAATGGCCGTCAGCTGGTGTCTTGGCGTGATTGTTAATCTCACTAAAATTTGAAAATAATACAAATAAATCATACTTCTTGCTAACTTTAGGAAATAAAATGTGTTATTGAAGTACAAAGTGCCCAGTGATGGAAAAAGAAGGACAAGTACCTAGTTGTAAATGAATATTCAAGATGGGTGACAAAAGGAGGTGAAATTTCGAGCTTTTTCGTAAAATATCTCGATAAATTGCGGTTTGTACACATTTTGATTGTGAAATTCGTGTTTTTCAGGCAAAAAACCGGGTTGTAAGTACCAAAAACAATTTCTGATAAAAAAATTCATCGCATGATAAGTGGCCTTTCACCAATTAATTTGTTGTATAATAAGATGCCCTCCTTGAATGACGCCCATGCACATTATCTAAGATCTTTACCGGAATTTTTCCTCGCGTACCAAGTACTATAAGCCTAATTTAAATCCGTGACTTTCGAGAATTCCTCCGCGACCTGGCAACATCCCGAGACGCTCATATCGTTTGTTACCTTCACGATTCGCGATTAGGACAAGCTCGATTTGACGTGAGACTCGGTACAGTAATAACATCGCGGCCGTCCCGCAGACAGTGAACAGAGAGTGCCGTGATTCAAATCTTCTTCGATCGCCGTCTTCGCCGTCTTTTTTTTTTATCGCGCCTACTAGATCTAGATATCCCGCGATGCTCTGCTCCTTATCGGTCGACAGGCGGACAGTATCTGCGTTCTCGTGATGAGCACAGCTTCTATGAGTACGCTGCCGAAAATCCGCGTGAAAACTCGCGGAAACAGGCTGATCATCAAGGCCGATACCCTTCCCAAATCCAAAACCCCTTTGACTTTACAGAAGCAACAGGTACCGACTACCCCGCGCAACAACAAGCGTCATAAAAAGACGATTCTCAACTACAATAATGCAGGTGGGCGAATTTTGTTATCTCGTAATGAGGTGTTTATCTGATAAATAATTGATGTCGTGCTGTTTGAGCGGTCTTTAACTTGTGGTGTTCGGGGAAAATTAATAATTGTGCAACTGCTGATGTAGAAGA